TCACGATGCAAAACTGGGCCACTTCCCTCCCCTAGTCCAAACCTACCCCAAGCCTCTGCCACTATCTTCCCTGTGGGTTGCTAAATCTGGAGTGTGGAATTAAGTTCACAACGGGAAAAGCATCTCTAACATCAAGCAGCTGAGCCCCAGGCCTAGGCAAGGAAGTGCACAGGGCAGCTCACTTGGGAGCTAGGCTATGCTGGAAACTCAGACCTACCTCTTATTCAGTCATTCAACAAACATTTGTGGATCACCAGTTATGTACCAAACATTGTGCCAGGGGCTGGGAATACAATAGGAAACAGAAAGGCCAAAGCCCCTGGCCCTTGTAGAACTGATAATCCAGCTGCAGAAACAGAACAAGAGAAATAAGTAAAGTATATTCTAGGTAATGAAGTGCCGAGGACAAAAAAATAACAATAAAAACAGGAAAAAGAGGATCAAAGCTAAAGGGTGGGACTATAAAAGAGCATCTGGGGAGGTTTTCCTAAGAAGGAGCAAAGACCTAAAGCAGGTGAGGAAAGAACCATGTAACAATCTAAGGGAAGACTCAAGGCAGGGGGACAGCTATGCAAAGGTCCTGTGGTAGGGCCTTCTTAATCAGATGACCCCTGCTCTTCACAGGTACCTGGGCTTAGGGATTCAACTTTTTATTGGTTTTTTGGACAAGGTCTCACTGTGTAGTCCAGGCTGGCTTTGAACTTACTGTGTAGCCCAGGCTGGCCTTAAACTCACAGTGATCCTCCTGCCTTAGCCTCCCAATGCTGGGATTACAGGCATGGGCCACCAAATATAGACATGCTGCTCTTTTAGAGGGTGGTGTGTGCCTGGCAGGACTTCTGCATATTTTGCAGGGAGATTCCATGCAGATCACAGCAGGGCAGTGGACCTACTTTTTTCACCCATGTGCCTCAGTTTCCCCACCTGGGAGGATGGGAATGACTACATACCACCTCATGGGATTCCTGAGAGGGTGAAATGGGTTAAACAGGGCCAAGTTTCTTTCTGTCACACTGTGCTGGGCAGCACGTCACACTGCCAGAGGCCCGTAGACCATCCGGACCTGGACTTGGGCAGGCACAGGGCTCACTGGCAGCCCCAAGATGGAGGGGCCACCATGACTTCTGCCTGGCTGGTCCTGCCCCCTGCCCATTTCCTTCCGGGGAACCTCTGACCACCAGCTTCTTGCTTCTTGCTGCCCAGATTTGCTCTCAGGTTATATTTAACCTGGAGAAATTGGAACAAGAAACCAAAGCAGCCACAGCAGCAAGCAAGGAACAGCACAGAGCCAGCTGCCAGGATTTCACCCTTCCTATCCCAGCAGGCTCTTCAGGGCCTCCCAGAACACGGTGTGGGCTGGGATCGGGAATCAGTTTCCATCTGTGGTCTGTGTCTGTGCTGAAAGCTGGCTCCCTTGTTTGTTTGTCTGTTTTCTCTTCTGCATGATAAAATGCCTGTAACATGGAATAACCATCCTAACCCTTTTTTGTGGTACTGCAGATAGAATCAGAGCCTCACACCTGCTAGGCAAGTGCTCACCACCAGGCCACACCTCAGCCCTGTCTTAACTATTTCTGTTATTTTTCTTTAATTTTTATTTTTATCGGTGCATGTTTGCAATACATGCCTGCCTTACAGAGTAGCCACCAAGCAAGAGAATAGTGATGGCAGGTTAGGCAAGGATGGGCTGATCGGGGCTGGTGTTTTTGATCTCTAATTTTTAAGGCTGATTATTTTTCAGCTAGGTCTTATTTTCAGGGAAAAGAGGAAATCTTGGAAGTGGCCCATGTGTCCATGAAGAAAATGTGGTATTTACACAGAATGGAGTGCTACTCAGCTGTAAAGAAGGATACTTGAGTCATTTGTAGGAAAATGGATGCATCTTGAAACCATAATGTTAAGTGAAATAAATTAGACACACAAACTTAAATACTGCATGGTTTCTCTTTGGTTTTGTTTATTTTTTGATACCGGGGATCAAACTTGGGACCTTGCGCTTGTGAGGCAGGTGCAGGAACCACTGAGCTAAATCCCTGGCCCTGCATGATTTCTCTTATGAGAAACCCAAAGTATAAATAAAGACCAAAAGATCGATAATAGGAAATAGGGAGATAGATTATTTGCAAAAGGAAAGGAACCAAGAGATGGAGGGAGTGGGGAGAAGGGAGAGGGGAGGGAGATGGAAAAAATAATTAAGATGCTTTATGTACATGTACCGACAAGGAATGTGATGCACTGCGTACATGTACTAGTAAAGTTAAAAATTGGGGGGGGGGGGAACCTATTCATTGGTCTAGGGTTGTAGCTCATTGGGTAGAGCACTTACCTAGCATGTTCAAGGCACTGGATTCCATCCCAGCTCTGCAAAAAGAAAAACGTCCTCATTCTGTGCACTCTGATCCAGCGTGGCTGGTGTCCTTATAAAGAGAAACGTGGGCAGAGACATGCTTGGGGAGCAGGCTGAGAAGATGAGATCAGCATGGGGTGCTGCATCTCTAAGCCGGGGAGCACAAGAGGGCAGTCAGCCACAGGGCCTGAGAGAGGCAGGGAACAGAGTCTCAGCCACAGCCCTCAGAGGGAGCCAGCCCTGCTGATACCTCCATCTCAGACTTCCTGCCTCCAGAGCTGTGAGGAGATAGGTTTCTGCTGTGGAAGCCTCCGAGTGTGGGATTATTCGCCACAGCAGTGCACAGAACTGATACACAGCATCACCACTTGTCAGCAGCCTACAGGTGTTCCTGCTGCTCCACAACCTCACCAACACCGGAGGGTGTCGGTTCTCATTTCAGCTTGGGCAGCTGCAGCATCATAGGTGGGTTTTTGAGGGCTGCTTTTTTTGTTTTTGCAATACTGAGGATGGAACCCAGGGCCTCACACATGCTAGGCAAGGGCTTACCACTGAGCTTCACCCCAGCCCTGTGCTCTTTTTTCAAAAGAGCATTAAAAGCCATGCTTTGGAGTTCTGCATTCTGCAGGAGGTGCAGTTGAGGACCGCCTGGGAGGCTCCCCCTAGTGGCTGGAGCCAAGACTTCCCATGCTCAGCGGTCCAATTCTTGGAGTGGGGTGGGGGGGCGTCTGGCTCAAATTCATGTCTACCGCTGACCAGCGCTGTAACTCTGGACTAGTGGTTTTGTTCTTTCTGAGCCCCAGTTTTCTCAGTTGTAAAATGAGCAGGATGATAACACAGGGACATCATGCAGATGACTTAAGTGAATTAATATATAAGGTGTGAGCAAAAATACAGTGAATGTTTAAAAATGTATTACAGTAAGGTACAATGCCATCAGTCACCCCCAAAAAATTTCCCCTTTGCTTTGAACACACTTACCCAATCATTCTTGCCACTTTCCGAAGTTCTGGAAGTCCTTTTTTGTGAGTGTCTTTTCATGGCTTCCTTTATGTCCTGAGGTGATTCAAAATGTACATGGCAATTTCTATCAAATAAAAACATTACAGTGTGTTTTCATCCACCTTATTCTCTGAATCTGGCACTGTATGGTTTCTGGATCTTCCCCAAAGTCAAAATGACCATGAAAGAGAAATGTTTTGAATCAGTTGAGGACATCAAGAGAGCCACAACACAACTAATGACACCCACAAAACAACTTCTAGAGCTGCTTCAGAAAATGACAAGAATGATGGGGATATGTGTGCTCGATGCAAGGGAGGAGTCTTTTGAGGGACATTCATGGCAATGTGTCTTTTACTGTAATGATTTTTTAAATTTAAACACCATATTTTGTGACCAACATCACACATAATGTTCTGCTGGTTTTATCATTCTTATAGTGTCTCTCTCTCTCTCTCTCTCTCTCTCTCTTCCTCCTCCTCCTCCTCTTAGTTCCCTCTTACTGCACTGTCCTGTTCTCTCTTTTACAGAATGTTCTATTTATGGAATTATTCCCCTTTGAGAATTGAACTGGGCTCTTCTGGGAGCTTTTTGTGCTTGGTATTAAGGCCTCAGGGAATGTAGGGGAAGATTCTTCACAAAAAGGCTCACAGCGCCACCGTCTGGCTTGGTGGCTTCACTAGGCTGAGAGCCTGTGGCCATGCACCTCCACTAAGGGGGAGACTGGCAGTATAGGGAGATGGGAGGGAAGCTGGGATTTATTTCTTCTTTCCAGTATGGTTTTGCCTTCCTCTTTTTAAAGAAACTGTCTGAAGTTTTATTTTATTTTTTTATTAGCACAAGTTTGCAGTACATAATAATCGCATTCATCTTGGGGAATTGGTACAGATACATATCACATCTTGATCCTTTTTACCTCTCTGTCCGCTTCCTTCTCTCCTATCTCTCCCAACCCTCAAATACCCTTCACATCTCCACAGAGTCTCTCTGTTTCCTATCATCTTTTATTTTGCTCTTTAAATCATCTATACTTTGAGCTTCTTATATAAGAGAAACCATGTGCTATTTAACCGTCAATATCTGATTTATTTCACTTAGCATTATGGTTTCAAGGTGCATCTATTTTCTACAAATGACTCAAGTTTATCCTTCTTTATGCCTGAATAGTACTCCATTGTGTGTAAATACCACATTTTCTTTATCCATTCACCTGTCGATGGGGATATAGGCCTCCTCCACGATTTAGCTATTATGAGGTGTGCTGCTATAAATATGGGTGTGCATGGATCACTGTAATATGATATCTTTCACTCTTTGGGGAAGATACCTTCAAGGGGACTAGCTGGGTCAAATGAGATTTTTATTTCTTTCTGTTTCTGGAAAGTCCTCTCACATTTTGTGCTGGTTCCCAAGTCCTCTGAAGACCGTGTCATGCTAAGACAGAGCTCTTCCCTTCTGATGGTACTTCTGGATTTCCCCTGCCGGTTGGGCTGCACCCTCCCATTTCCCTCTCTGGAACTCCAGAGCTCCAGGACTCTATAGGAAAGTTTGCAACACAACCTCGGGAGAACTGAAGCTCTGCCTTCTCCTGCCTGTCAGGTCCTCCAGAGCCCACTGTAATCTCACCTGCTTTCCCTCTTTGCACCCACAGAGCAACGATGCCTCAGGGAACACTTGGAACTGGTTGTACTTCATCCCCCTCATCATCATCGGCTCCTTTTTTATGCTGAACCTCGTGCTGGGTGTGCTATCAGGGTGAGTCTGTGCTGTGCATCCCTCCACCCCACGCCTCCTTGGTCAACTTCTTCCCAGGAAGAAGCCATCAGAACTTTGTGTTCATTCGTCAGGCAGATATCAGGCCTCGACCCTTGCTTGGAGTCAGCCAAACTGACCTTAGCCTGCCGTTGACAGATGCCCAGGTTGTTACTGCTAGGGGAAACCAGTGAAGGGAGCTCCTAGGGGCTTTACTGTCTGTAATTCACATTTTTTAACCAAAAAAATAGTGTGGGTTTCCTTCTCTCTCATTTTCCAAATCTAGTCATAGAATACAACCAAAAATGTATTTTTCTGACACAGATTGCCCCCAAATCCCCCAATTATTTTTGGCTTAATTATAAATGGGTTCTCTAGGGATGGGGATATAGCTCAGTGGTAGAGTGTTTGCCTAGTATCACAAATCCCGGGGTTCAATCCCTAGTATCACAAATGAACAAATAAATAAGCTTTGTATTTCTTGACCTAAGAAGTCTGGATTGGTGTGGTGGCTGCACAATGCTATCAACAGCCACAGATTCTTCCAGCTTTCCGTTCAGACATCCTTACGAGGAGCTCCCAACCTCAGGGGCAAAGCATGGTCTCAAAATGGCTGCTTCGTGCTCACAAGATAACATCCTATGTTCTGAACAGGAAGAGGAAGAGAAAAAACAAGACGAGGTAGGGCCTTCAAAGAGGAAGTAAGGGTGCTACAGAAGTCCACAGCTGATGCCTTTTTGTCCTAACTTAAAGGAGGGCTGAAAATAATTTTTGGCCAGGGATAAAGAATGGAGTGTAGTCATCAGTGGCTGGCATGGCAGAGTTTTGTGCTCCTTTTTCCTCTAGCTGGTTGCAGATGTTGGGAAGTGTGAGACTGGCAGATACCCAGCCCTCTAATAGTCTCATCTTCTCTAAGAAAACTGATTCTGTTGAAAACCATAGTCCCCCAGTGAACCCCTAGATACAAACACACACACGCATGCGAGACTTCTTACAAATTCCAAAGCAGCAGACCCTGTCTTTTTTGTGCTTTGACAGAGAGTTTGCCAAAGAAAGAGAACGGGTGGAAAACCGACGGGCTTTTCTGAAGCTGAGGCGGCAACAACAGATTGAACGCGAGCTCAATGGATACATGGAGTGGATCTCAAAAGCAGGTGGGGCCTTTCATCCTGGGGCTCAGGAGCAGAAATGCCAGGCCGTGGAGCAGAGTCCCATGTGCAGTCTGGAGAAGCCTAAGGAGAGGATCATGATAAGGAGAGAAAAAGGACCTAACTTGGTAGTCCCAAATTTTAGCAACAAGAATCCAGAATAGGGCCGGGGATTTAGCTCAGTGGTTTCACCGCCTGCTGCGCAAGCGCAAGGACCCAAGTTCGATCCCTGAGGGCAGTACTTAGCACTCACACCTTCAATCCTAGTGCCCTTAAGCCTAGCATTGCACCATGTATCAATTCCAGCATCACACACTCTAGATCCAGCCACCTCTGAAAAAGTCCCACCCGTGACCTCATGAGGGTTTGGGGAGACATCTAGACACAAGCCATAGGGCTGGGGATTTAGCTCAGTGGCAACGTGCCTACCTCGCAAGCACAAGGTCCTGAGTTCAGTCCCTGGTACCAAAATAAATAAATGAACACAAGCCATAACATTCTGCCCCTGCCCCCCCACCAAAGACTCATGCATATCCTTTTATGCAAAAAACATTTAGTCTGTCTGTAAGAGTTGCCCAAGTCCTAACAGTTTCAGCATTGCTGTAAAGTCCACGTCCCAAGTCTCTGAGTAAATTCCTAGCTTCAAGGCTCTGTACAAATGAAAAGAAAGTTAAACACTTCCAACATTCAATGGAAGACAGACATTTCCTTTCTAAAAGTTTTAGAGAGATAACAAGGCCAAAATCCAACAGGGCAAATATTAAATTTCACAGTTCCACTTCCAGCATCCCCAGCAATCTGTGGCAAGCTGTGCACTCCAAAGGGCTTGGGTAGCTCCACCCTACAGCGCTGCAGGTGGTTGTAGCTCCCCTGGCTTCTTTCTTGGGCTGGCTCTGCTCCCTCCTTGTAGTTTACCTCAGACAATCCACATTTCTGGCTTCTCCAAATTTCTGGGGTGTCCACTGCACCTTCAGCTTCACTCTCACAGCTTCACACACTGTCCCCTCAGAAGCACACTGCCTGGTGGCCCTGAAATCTGAAATCTGGGTAGAAGCCTTCCTGGCGCCACAACTCTTGCATTCTGCACGCACCTAAAACCAATGCCACGTGGATGATGCCAAGATCTGCCACCAGCTGGAGCAGTAGCCAGGCTTCCTTCCCTCTTGGCTGTAGGGGTTGAGTGCCTGTGAACCAAATCCTGAAGAACAACTTCCCTAGGCTGCCACCATTCTGGAACATGGTACTCTGGGGCTCTCTTCTCAAAGCAACGTCTTTCACTTTTGTAATTTTGAGGCTGCAAAGGCTGGAGTCCTGCTGCGTCTTGTGATGCCCTCAGGCCATCTTTTCTATTCTCCTGTTCTTTCTCAGCAATCAGGATCTCCTCTGCTCCATCTTTGCAGTCTACCACTTTACTATAGCTTCCTTTCTGGCCAAACTCAAAATATTTTAAATCATTCTGCTGGGCTCTTTGCTCTTGACTCTCAACGTAAATCTGTCTAAAAGCCCCCAACAGCAGCCATGCCACTGCCTCAACATTAGACTGCCTTAAAATTTCTTCTGCCAGATTAATTAGTCCACCATACTTAATCTTAGTTGCAGGCAAAGTCCCTGGTTATGAGCAAAATGCAGACCAGTTTTCTGCCCAAATATAACACACATTATCTGGAGTCCAAAAGCCAATGCAGTTCTTCTTCCCAGCAGAAACCTCCCAAGCCTGGTCTTTACCAGCAGGATTTCTGTCCGCCTTCTGGTCTTCTGAGGTCTGACTAGAATCTCCCATCAAGTACAGCCTAAGGCATTCCAGCTCTGCTTTTTCAGCTGGCACCTCCTTTCCTAACTCTTTGCCCTCCCACAAGCCAGCTCCAAAACCTCCTAAGCCAAATGGTCAGGTAGAGCCACAGCAATGACCTCTCTTCTCTGGTACCATATTCTGTCTTAGTTACTTTCTCTCCTTGCTGAGACAAAATATCTAACACCCAAAGTTAAAGGGGAAAGGGTTTATTTAGCTCACAATTTGTAGAGATTTCAGTCCATAATCAACTGGCTCCAAGGCAGGGCAGCACATGGCAGAGGGGCAACAGTTCATGGTAGATAGAAGGTAGCAGAGCAACAAGGGACTTTATCAGCATCTTTCTCCCCCTTTTATCTCATCCAGACTACTGAGGGCGGTACTTAACACTCACACCTTCAATCCTAGTGCCCTTAAGCCTAGCATTGCACCATGTATCAATTCCAGCATCACACACTAGATCCAGGCACCTCTGAAAAAGTCCCACCCGTGACCACATGAGGCTTTGGGAGGACATCTAGACACAAGCCATAACAAGTCTCTTATAGTAAATGAAGTAGTATTTTCATAAAACCTGTGCATATCCTCCCACAGAATTGAAATCATCTCTAGATGACTTGTAGCACCTAATATAGTGTAAGTGCTGTGTGCATAGTTGCTCTACTGAGTTGTGTATGGAATAATGACCAAAAATGTTTACACCTGTTTAATGAAAATGCATTTTTTCAAATATTTTTAAGCCATGGTTTGTTGAATCCATGGATGTGAAACCTGTGAGTATGAAGGGCTCACAGAGTTATTTGACTCTTCAGGAAGATAGTCCAGACTAGCTCACTTAGGAAGAACAGTTCCTGACTCACAGTAGGCACATATTTATTTGTTCATCCATCCAGCAAACGCTTAAGGGGCACGTGCCGTGTACCGGGCATTCTTCCAGGTCCTGAGAATATGGTAAGAAACAAAATAAACCAACTCCCTGCCCACAGGGCTCTGACATTCTTGAGAGAGACAAAACAAATAAATAAGTATAAATAAATACATTTCATGCTGTGTCTGCAAATGCCAAGAAGAAAAATAAGGCAAAGCACAGTAAGTTCAACTTAGGAATGAGTTCCATTCTGGGAGAATGTTCGTAAGGCAGATTTGTTCCTAAGTCCAACCAAGTGAGTCATATACACCTTTGAATCAAATATACAGTGAAAACATTAAAAACCAAACACACACGAAAATACTGTAAATAAACTATTTTTACTTTTACAGTTACCTAAAAATGGTAAGGTAGACATGTGCTACCTCTACAATTTGTTTCCATCTACAAATGCTCATAATAGGACGTCCGTTCATATTTGTGAAAGTTTACAACTTGATTGTTCGTAAGTCCGAGACTTACTGTAGGAATCAGAGAACAGATGGAGTCAGGGTGATTAGGGAAGGCTTGTCTGAGAAAGTGATGTCTGAGCAGAGACCTGGAGGAAGTGGGAATGGATGCTCCGGGCATGCTGGGAGGAGTCACAGATAGAGGAAACACAAGTGCCAAGGCTGTGGGGCAGCAGTGTAGTGAAGACAGCAAGGAAGCCAGTGTGGCAGGAACAAAATGAGTAAAGGAGAGAGGAGGAGGAAAGAAGAAAGAAGAAAGAGAAGGAGGAGAGAAAAGTGAGAAGGACTAGATCAAGAGGCGCTTATAGGCTAAGGTGGAGGTACTGAGTTTAAGGTGGGGTAGGGATGATGTTGGTGAATTAGTTCATCTTTTCTTACTATAACAAGATACAGAGGCATGTAACTTTTTGTAGAAAAGAGGATCTAGAGGCTCAAGGGCATGGTGCCTGTATTACCTCAACCTGGTGAGGACCTTATGCTGTCATAGTGTGAACACTTACGAGAGAAAGAGGGATCACATCATCAAACAGGAAGCCAGGGCTGATTTGGGGACAAGTCCACTCTTGTAACAGCTTGCTCTTGCAAGATAATCTCTGAGGCCCCATGGAAACTATTTTAATCCCTACCAAGGACATGCCCCCAATGACGTAAGGACTCCCTCTAGGCCCCATTCCTTGAGGTCACCTCACTTCTCAGCACTGCCACACTATGGCATCCGACATATGAAACATTGGGTGACAACCACATCCCAGCCATAGCAGTCTGCCATTGATACTGCTACCAAGATGGGGCTGGAAGCCAGAACAATTGAGCAGCACATTTTGGGCTGGTTGAGTTATACCATCAGGAAAGGAACTCGTCTTCCCAGTCTAAGGGACCCTGTCCCAGGAGAGTCCTCCAGACATGGGAGCTTAACTCTGTATTCTTCCTCCTCAGAAGAGGTGATCCTCGCAGAGGATGAGACCGACGTGGAGCAGAGGCATCCCTTTGATGGTAACTGCTCTGAACCCACCTCAGCGTCGGGTCCCTGGGGAGATGGAAGCAGCTGGGGCTGGGGGAACAAGTGACTTGGTTCTAATGCATTTCCATGGGATGAATGTTCAGGGTCCAATTCATGCCCAGAATACACAGGAGAAAGATCAGTGGTAAAGTTTAATTTATAAATTAGGTGCAACAAAGGATTAACAACAATAACTAATGATAGAGTAGAACAACTATAGCATAGACTGTTAACTGAAGTTTATGAATTGTTTATTTCCAGAATTTTCCATGTACTGTATCAGACTGCAGATGACCAAGGGTAACTGAAAGCTCAGAAAGTGACACCACAGAAAAGGGGGGTCTCTGTGCCCACCACACTGGAAGGTTTCTAAGAATTACTTTATTTGTGCCAGAGAGAGTGCCTGAAATTGTGCCTACCACAGGATCAGCACCATTTCTAAAAAATAAATAATAATATTAATAATCTCACTGAGAATCCAGGTTATTATTCAGGTTTGTTGTCCCATGTGTTAAAAATTTAGGGGACTGGAGATTTAGCTCAGCAGCACCATGCCTGCCTTGCAAGCACAGAGTTCTAAGTTCAATCCCTGATACCAAAAAAAAAATTTTGTCTAGAAAGAACCATGGCTTGATTGAAAATACTGTGCAGAAGAAGAAAATAGAAGAGTTGAGGATCTGTTCAGTCTGTTACAAAACCAGTATTACCAGCCACTTTTCTAAGGAGTGTGAATTACTTTCTCTGGAGTATAAAGTCATTGACCCCTGGAGACCTGGATATGGGAAAGGGAGCATTAAAAAGTATCCATAAGGCCAGGGATGTAGCTCAGTGGCTTCACCGCCTGCTGCGCAAGCGCAGGGACCTGAGTTCGATCCCTGGTACCAAAAAAAAAAGTATCCATAAACCCAACTTTCCCAAAACTCGTAAGTCCAATTTGCTACAGAGAGTCAAGGGGCGGACTGTAAGAGTCACAAGGGGAAGACTGTAAAAGTCACAGTGTATCCACCTTAGGGCTCTCTGAAGGTCGAGTTTCTTCAGATTTAGAGATAGACAAAAAGAAAGTGTTTGCAAGATAATAATATTAACAGTAAAAATACTACAGATAGTCCTCTTTTTGTGTGTATTTTTTTGAGACAGGGTCTCGCTGTGTAGTTCAGGCTGGACTTGAACTCACTATGTAGCTCAGGTTGGCCTTGAACTCGAAGCAATCCTCCTGCCTCAGCCTCCCAAGTGCTGGGATTATAGGCATGTGCCACTATGCCTGGCCAAGATGGCTCTCCTCTTACAATGGGGTAACATCCCAGTAAACTTGTCAGAAAATGAAATTATCATAAGTTGAAAAGCATTTAATCTTCAAACCCACTATAAAGTCAAAAAAATCACAAGTTGAACTATCATAAGTTCACACGCTCCTTGATTTTCAATGGGATTACATCCTGAGAAACCAGTCTTAGAGTTGAAAACATCATAAGTTGAAGATCATCAAGTCCAGGACCATCTGAACTCCATCTGGTTACCTCAAGTTATTTTGTCACATGTTAGAAAGCTTATTGGAGCCAGGTGTGATTGGGCATGCCTGTAATGCCAGCACCCTGGGAGGCTGAGGTAGAAGGATCATAGGTTGGAGCTCAGCCTGGACAACTTAGCAGCTTAGCAAGACCCTGTCTCAAAATAAAAGTTTTTTTTAAAAAAAGGGCTGGAGCTGGAGTCCAGTGTGAAGGCCCTGAGTTAATCCCCAGTACCACAGAACAAAAGGAATGAAAAAAACGTTAGATAAGGCAGTGGCTTTTTATTGAAAATCCTGGAGAGTCGAAGGAAATAAAGAAACTGGAATTCTGTCCCAGAAGATTGTAAGATGAACATTAAGAATCCATTCTGGCTGGGTTCCTGCTAGCCAGCCTGGGTAACATAGTGAGACTCCCATCTCAAAAAGAAAAAGAATCCCAATTCTTTCATTTGAGTGGTAAGAAGAGATTACTCCAAGAAGTGTTTAAATTTCCTTATTGGAACTTATATGAACTTACTGTAACCTGGAGAGTCCTTGCAGGGTGAGCCTCCATATTTTGGGGAAAACATTCACAATTCCAGCCAGCGCAGCTACTATGCTACAAATCAAGGGTGGAGTGTTTTTCTGTGAGTCACTCATTATGTATCAAGTCCTGGGATCACTGGGAAGTGAGGTTTCTTAGAATTTAAAAGTAGACCAGAGGGAAAGTAGTAGTTGAGAGACCAGACTTTGGAGTCAAATGGAACGGGTCTAGATTCTTGTCTTGACACCTTAAGCAAAGTGATATTGCCTCCCTGAGCCTCAGTTTACACTTCTGTAAAATGGGCATGCTATGGATTCCCAACAAACCGTCATGAGGGTTACAGTCAAAGATGCACTGTGACCATGTATCATCACTGTTGCAAAAAGGGTAATGTCTTTTTCTCTTGCCATGTTTCCATTGTTGGAGCTCTGCGGAGAGCCACTATAAAGAAGAGTAAAACAGACTTGCTGAACCCAGAAGAGGCTGAGGATCAGCTGGCCGACATTGCCTCTGTGGGTGAGTCCCTTCCCCAACCCTCACCACCCCAGATACGAGGGGAACCAGGCTGCCTGGATGTGAGTCTCCTCTCTGCCTCTCGCCCTGTGTGTCTGGGGGCATATTACATGATTGTGGAAATAACAGTGCCTGTCTTCTAATATCATTAGAAAGATCCAGCCAGCATTTAGAATAGGCCCCCAGTAGTGTTGACTGATACATGTGATGGTTGGGAATCCCTTATCTGTAATGCTTGGACCCAAAAGTGTTTCAGATTTCAAATTTTTTCAGGTTTTGGAACTGCATATATGTAATGAGCTATCTTGTCTCGTTAACACAAGGAGATGGGGCCAAAGTCTAAACACAGAATTCATTTATGTTTCCTATACACCTAGCTGAAGGTAACTTCATACAAAAATTTTTTTTGGTACCGGGGATCGAACTCAGGACCTTGAGCTTGCGAGGCAGGCCATGGAACCACTCAGCTAAATCCCCGGCCCTATAAAATATATTTATAATGTTGTGCATGAGACAATGTTTCATGGTGTGGAATTTGCCACTTGTAGCATATTGTCAGTGCTCAAAACATTTCAGATTTTGGAGCATTGTGGATTTCGAATCTTCAGATTAGGGGTGCTCCATCCATTCTCCTTCAGGAATCTTGGTGTGGGACTTGCTCCTGTTAAGTGCCTGACGTGAACAAGACAGAGGTAGGATCCCTACCCACAGCTTGAAGCCCAGCCCTGGAAATGGACACTACAGAGAATTATGCAAACAAACCTACAAGGGTAATGAGCTGCAGAGGAACCACCCTAGGCTTGGCCAGCTCTGCAAGGGTGGGGATGGTCAGGGAAGTTTCCTGGAGGAAGTGATTTTTTTAGCTCAGAAGAGAAGGCTGGGTAGAAGTTCATCATGATGGGAACCATAGAGAGAATGATGAAGACAGTGCCGAGACCGGTGCCATTGGTGCAAACAAAGGCTGGAGTTTGAAGGGGATGGGCCGCTTGTTCTTTTCCTCCTCACCCCTCATATTGATCGCTTTTTAGTGCTGTGAACAAATACCTGAGAGAAACATCTCAGAGGAGGAAAGGTTTATTTTAGCTCATGGTTTTAGAGTTGTGAGCTTGAGGTGAGGCAGGAACATGATGGCGGAAGGGCATAGAGGAGCCAGGTGCTCACTTCATGGCAGCCAGAAAGCAGAGAGGGAATGAGCCAGAAAGGAAGGGCCTGGGGACCAGACATACCCTCCAAAGTCACACTCCAGTCACCTGCTTCCTCCAGCTGGACCCCACCTCTTCACAGCCTATTCATCTAATGAATTCATTGAGGTCACCACTGTCAACGACCCAGCCACCTCTCCCTCCAGGCCCCACTGTGACCGTGGCTGCACTGGGGACACAGCCCTTGATACACGGGCTCTGGCGAACTCTTCCTATGGAAGCCATAACACCACTCCTTGCTGATGATTTATGGGTGGAGGCGGTGTTGCTTCTGACCTTCTACAGTGAGAGTCTATTTGGTTTTCTTTGGGGGTTTGATGAGTTTTTTAAAATTCCAATTGTAAAAGAGTGGATGGAAGAGGATCCAGGAACAGGAAATAAGACTGGAATAAGATTGAGGGGAAAAGAGATTTATACTGTTTGGGAATTATGTGGCTATAGTGTAGAGAGAGAAAAGATGAGAAAGAGGATAGAGGAATGAAAGAAGGGAAGAAGGAAAGAGTAGAGAGAGGAAGAGGAAAGAAGAAGGGAAGGAGGGAGGGAAGAAAGGAAAGGGGAAGGAGAAAAGTTGAAGGAGAGCAGGAAGTAGAGGGAGAGAAGGAAGAATGTAGAAAGGGAGGAAAGGAAGAATAAGAAGGAGGGAGGATAGCGTCTGCATATGGCTCTGATACACAGCGCACATTATATTGTGTTCTGCTGTTTTCACCAGCCCTAGTTTTTAGCTCCAGTGCTGAGTTCTGACCTGGTTTCTGTTGCGATGCCACACACCGCACCCACGGGCGGGCACATGGGGGCCCACACCGTGTGGCTCTGTTGCAGTGCTGGCCTTGATTCCAGTTTCTTCCTTATGAGGAACACTGCTGCGCACACTGATGGACAGTTACACTCTCACCCTTTGGGCATATTCCCTCAGGGATAATTATAGGAGCAAAGTTATTAACCCCTTTTCAACTCACTATTCACTCAGCCATCCGTAGTTTCAGAAAGAATGACACCCATTTGTAAACCTGCCAAACATGCCTGCATTCAGTTTCACCCACCCAGGGCCATTGCGTATTACCAACTTAATTTCCATTCCCAGTAATGTCGGTTTGTGATGATATGTTAAAGCTTGTTTGCATGTACATCTTTAATTTCTAGCCAAAATATGCTCTTCCTGATAATGATGAACCAGTCCTATTTCCTCTTCTGGGCACATCTGTTCATCTTTGAGTGAATGTCAAGAATTGCAGGGCCGGGGATGTAGCTTAGTGGTTTCGCCGCCTGCTGCTCAAGCTCAAGGACCCGAGTTCGATCCCCAATACAAAAAAAAAAAGAGATGTGGAAGATTTAGTTTAGGGCCGGGGATTTAGCTCAGTGGTTTCACCACCTGCTGCACAAGCGCAAGGACCCGAGTTCGATCCCTGGTACCAAAAAAGAAAAAAGAATCGCAGCCCTTGATCACTGTTTTGTGCAGTTGATTAGTTATCTGCCCCATGTATTATGTTGGTTGCCTCCATTTTTAAAAAATGTATTTTGCTGAGTTGTTTTGCTTTGGGGGTTTTTTTGGTTTTTTGGGATGAGGTTTCACTATGTAGTCCAGGCTGGCCTTGAACTTCCTATGCAACCCAGGACACTCTCAAACTCACAGCAGTCCTCTTTACTCTGCCTCCCCAGTACTGGGATTACAGGCATGCACCACCACACCTGGCTTATCTTGCTGTATTTTGATGGGCATTTTGTGTGTGTGTGTGCACACGCACTACTGGAGACTGAACCCTGGGCCTTCACCATGAACTATATCCCCAGTCCTTTTTTTTTTTTTTTTTTGAGGCAGGTTTTACTAAGTAAATCACTAAGTTGCCCAGGCTGGGTTCAAACTTGCAATCCTCCTGCCTCAGACTCCAAGGAGGCTGGGATTGTAGGCATGAGCCACCATGCCTGTCTATTGATACACATTTTTTATATGTCAACCATGCAGGGAAGGGAACTCTACTACACTACCGTGGGGATGTAAATTAGTACAACTATTGTGAAAATCAGCATGGAGATCCTCAGAAAACTAAAGATAGAAACACCACTCAACCCAGTAATACCACTCTTTGGTATATTTCTGAAAAAATTAAAGTCAACATACTACAGGGTTACCTGCATAACAAGATTTATTGCAGCACAATTCATGGTTGCTAAGCCTGGGTGCCCCTCACAGGTAAATGGATTAAAAAATGTGATAGATGGATGGATGCAGTTAAATATTATTCAGCCATAAAGAAAAACAAAGTCATGTCATTTGCAGGAAAAATGGATATAACTGGAGTCTGCCATGTTAAGTAAGATAGATTAGATTCAGGAAGTCAACTATCTCATGTTTTCTCTCATATGAGGAATCTAGGGGGGAAATGTTTTAAAGAGAGATGATGGGGAAGGAGGAGGGTAGGGAGAGGGATAAAGCAATCAAAAATGATCAAGATATGATACATACATGTACCAGCTCCCCAAAGCAAATGTGACTATTATGTTACAAATATATACTAGTGAAAAAAAGAGAGATGCTATGCAAATAGAAGGGAGATGATTAGAGAAGAGGAAGGGTAAGGGAGGGAAGGAGGGAAGTGGAGATGAGAATGATCAGAGTGTTATGTGCATGCATGAATACACCAAACTGAAACCTACTGTTCCACATAACAAATATGCACACAAAAAACGAAAGAAATAGGGGAAAAGTGCTATGACATTGGTCCAGGCAATGCTTTCTTGGACAGCACCCCAAAAACATAGGCAAGAAAAGCAAAAGTGGACAATTGATATCACACACCTCATCCTGGGGGCCTTCCAAGCATGCATGGAGGAATGCTTCCTCTCATCCTGTGGTGCGAGCCCAACCCCACCCCGAGGCATCAGAAGTGGTCAGAGCCTCCTAGTGGTGCTTCCCTATACTCTCAGGACTCTGGGAGGCTAAGGCAGGAGAATCCTCAATTTCAGCCCAGCCTGGGGAACTTAGCAAGACCCTCTCTCAAAATTAAAAAAAAAAAAAAAAGGGCTGGGGATGTAGCTCAGGTTCAGTCCCCAGTACCAAAAAATCACAGTGACAGGCATGGAAAATTGGGTCCAGCAGTGGAAGTCATTAGCCTCTCGATCCAAAACTCTCATTAGTTATTTCAATTCTGTGATTTTCAAGGACATTGCTGTCTCCTATGCTGCATCTCTGCAGAGCTGAGCTCTGGATCATGACATTTCCCTTGGGCCAAAGGGCTTGCTGGGAGGACCAAGGATCCCCAGCCAGAATCCACGCCCAGCACATGCTGGTGAATTCTCTCCACGGGAACAGCCTGAGTCTAACATTCTGTCCTTTCCCTGGCAGGGTCTCCCTTTGCCCGAGCCAGCATTAAAAGTGCCAAGCTGGAGAACTCAACTTTTTTTCACAAAAAGGAGAGGAGGATGCGTTTCTACATCCGCCGCATGGTCAAAACTCAGGCCTTCTACTGGACTGTGCTCAGTCTGGTAGCCCTCAACACGCTGTGCGTTGCTATCGTCCACTACAACCAGCCCGACTGGCTCTCTGACTTCCTCTGTGAGTACCGCCCTGCACCTCCACCTTTGACCAGATCCCTGATCCTTTCCTCATACCCTTTTTTCCACTTTCCTTCTTCACACCCTTTTTTCTACTTCTTTTCCCTTGGTGGTTTATGTTCCTCCCTTGGTCCTCACTGAATCTTCCCTTTCACTTGACCATTTCTACAAGCATTATTGGGGACAGTGTTGCTGCTGCCACAGTGGAACCTGTATTAGTCAGATTTATGTCACTACAACAAAATACCTGAAGCAGCCAACTTTGCAAAGAGAAAGGGGTCTATTTAGCTCACAGCTTTGGAAGTTCAAGGGCATGGTGCCCCCATCAGCTCAGTTCTGGTGAAGACCTCATGGTGAGTGGTGAGTGGTGTGGGTGGGAAACTCACGTTGGAGCACCTGGTTATGTCTCAAGCCAGGAAGCAGTGAAAGAGACTGGGACCCCACAGTGCCTCTGGAAGACCTATGCCCGGCTGATCTAATGCCCTCCCACTAGGCCCCACCTCTTAAGGGTCCACACCACTTCTCAATGCTACCCATGTGGGGATTAAACCTCTAATCACGTGAACCCTTAGGGTGACCGACCCAAACCGTATCCAACCCATAGCACTGCCTGTCTTCCTCCGGCCTGAGAGATGGAAGAGGAATTCAGGCTACTCTTCTGAGAGAGACCAGGCTTTCTGATGGAAGAAGCATTGGAAGAGAGACAGAGAAAGACATAGAGCACAGACAGAACACCTTTAATTTCTGGATAGGTGTGGCAGAACACACCTGTAATCCCAGCACTCGGGAGCCTGAGGCAGAATGATTGCCATGAGTTGGAGGCCAGCCTAGGCTACATAGCGAGATCCTGTCTCAAAAAAACAAACAGAAGAAACCACATCTAATTTCTATGTGCATCTCTGGGAGTGTTAAAATAATTCACAGCCAAAAGACAGGGGTACCTCACAAACAGGAAGTGTTTCTGTATGTTGTCTTTATTTTCTCTGCTCATTTCTGACCCCCCATTTCTCTCCCGTTCAAACCCTTTGCCTCTTTCCTGCTTTCTCTTCCCTTTTTGGATTCCTTATGGCTGAGATTCATTCCTAGAAGATCCTCTCCAACAAATATGAGTGCATCTTGCTTTCTTAGTGGGTACCAGAACCCTTAAGACTTTGTCCTCTGTCTGGGTTTATTCCCAGATTCCAGGGATTAGCATGAGACACTGTCAGACTTGAAAACCAGATGGAGATGAGGAGAAGTAGTGAAGGTAAAGACCTCTGACCAGATTCAGAAGTGACGAGCTCTGGGGAGTAAAGAGGTGTGACTGCACTGGGAAAGCAGTGCTCAGCCTGGATCTGGCTCGTGCGCCCTCACTAGGGACTTCCTTTTCCCTCCCAGATGCCCTCTTCCTGCATCAGTTGGCTGTCTGACTTACTTCTTGCTCTCCCGACCTGGTTCAGAATTGACCTAGGACAGCTGCAAGAAATAGTCAAGTCTTTGACCTAGAAAGGCTCCAGAGCCAACCCTTGATCATTGTCTCCTTGTCACCTTCCTTGTCCCCATCCTGCTGGCTGACCTCCAGGACACCCCTCAGTGGCCAGTCCTTCCGAGTGTCCTGACCTAGTTCCAACCTTGGTAATTGCTTGGGTCCCTCTGGAGCCTTACAAATGAGGCCTCTTCACTTCTTATAACCTCCTCTGATAGTCTATTTTTACTCACCTCTAATCTCCCCACTAATCACCTTGCAGCATGTCCCAGTTTAGGAACAGGGGATTGAGACTTCTTACCTGGGGATTTTGCGTCTGTAAAGGTCCACAATTATCCCCATTTTCCAGTTGAAGAAACCGAGACATATAGAGAGGTTAAGTAACTTGTCTAGGGTCACACAGCTAGTAAGTGAAGAAGCCAAGACTGGAACCCGGCAGTTGGGCTAGAGTCCAAGCTGTGTCTGGCAACAGATCCCTACTCTGGTGCACCGGGTGACCTGGATTCTCAGTGCCTGCCCTGTCCCTACCTCACTGTGAGACCTTGGGCAAGTCATTACCATCATTCATTGTTCGGAGATCTTCACTTATTTTAGATGCCAGTAAGGAATAAAACGATGCTGCCATCAAAACCAGGACATGCTGATTTTAAGACACACCTCGATTTCAGTGATGTCAAAATGTAAACAAAACTGTGTGTCTTGAGCTGGTCATGGTGCCACACACCTGTAACCCCAGACTGAGGCAGGAGGATCGCTGTGAGTGTGAGGCCAGCTTGGGCTACATAGTGAGTTCAAGGTCAGCCTGAACTACATAGCGAGACCTTATTTCAAAAAAACAAAAAATATGTGTCTCAAAATCAGCAAAGGGTAGTAAATTCTCTGGGTTTCCGACTCTTCATCCATACTGGATGGAAATTAGATTTGATGGCCCTGAAAGTTTCCCCAGACTCAAAGATGCTAGGGAAGAATCAGCCTCTTCCTCCACCCCCCGCCTTTTCCTGCATCACTGAGCTGTTGTGTTTCCTTGGTAAGCATCTCAGAAACTGTCCAGCACTCCCAGAATTGCTTTGGGTAAGTCTTAGAAGGCACCAGATGTTATAGACAAGAGTTCTTTTGCAGATACTCCAGTTCTAGAGATGCTAGAGTTAGCCCTCAGATGATAGGAGCTCTGTAGGGCCCCATAAATAAGAAGTGAATGTGAGGAATCTTGGCAATCCATTCCGACTGGAGCTGGGGAGTTAGCTCAGTGGTAGAGTTCTTGCCTAGCATGCACAAGGCCCTGGGTTCTATCACCAGTACCAAAGAAAGGGAAGAAGGAACAAAAAGCAAGATCTAGCCAGGGATGGTGGTACACACCTGTAATTCCCAGCACTGTGGGAGCCTCACCCAGGAGGATTGTGGGTTTGAACCCAGCTTTAGCAACTTAGTGAGACCTTGACTCAAAATAAAAACTGTTTTAAAAGGGAATGTAGCTGGGGAAAGGACGTGGGTTCAATCCTCAGTACCACACACACACACAGAAGATCTAGCAAATACTTGTGACCATTTTCTTAGTCCATTTGTGCTACTGTAATGAAACAACTGAGACTGGGAAATCTAAAATGAACAGAAGTGTGTTTTCTCACAGTACTAGAAGCTGGGAATTGAAGATCAACCTGCTGGAGGTTCTGGTCGTGGGACTAGGGGGGTTGCTGTCTGTTTCCAGGATGGCGCCTTGAACTCTCCATCCTCTGGAGGGGACTACACTGTGTCCTCATACAGCAGAAAGCTGAAGGACAAAGGGTCATCAGGCCATGCGGGAGGGGTCTACCTCATGACTTATTGCCTCCTAAAGCCCCACCATTTAATACTGTTCCACTGAGAGTCAGGTCTCAGCATGGATTTAGGAGAGGACACAGACATTCAAACCTTACAGCCACCAAGCAGAATTAGCCAGGCAGCCATCACTGTGACATTCATGGAAGCCCTTTGAGTCCTTGTCTTTCCCTTCTGTAGACCCCTCCTTATTTCTCCCTGTCCACTAGGCGAGGACACTGGTCCTCCTGCAGGCCAGGCAAGCCCTCTGCCGCTGCGCCACACCGCCAGGCCCCATGTGCTTTTTAATTCCTCATCTTCCCACCCCACCTAGAAAACCGTCTCTGGAAAGGACCTCATACTTGCCACAAATCTGCTAGAGCAAAGGAAATTCCACGTTTTGCCTTTCCCGGAGGCATTTGCATTTTTGTGCTTTCTCATAAAAAAACCATAAGTCTTTGTCTTGTTCTAGACTTTTACACAGCCAGCAAGACAGGATTTTCAGAGGGTATCAGGAAAGTTATGCCCTGCATAGGTTGCCCATGGGCTCCATCCAAGTCCCCAGCACAGGATTATAAGATGGTCCCATTACGATTTCTGTGTCTTCTCACCTGCTTTGGAACTCCGTCCAAGTAGACAAAGTGCCATTCTTAGATAACGACACTCTGGCATTATGAAGCCTTCTATGACCCATTGCTGTTCTGTGAATTATGCACTTAGTTAGCTTTTGGGGGGGGTTGGCTTTTGGTTTTGGGGGTGTTGCAGTGCTGGAGATGGAACCTAAGGCTTCACACATGCTGGGCAAGTGCTCTACCATTGAGCTGCACCCAGCCAGTTGGTTAGTTTGTGAAATAAGTGAACACCCAGGACCCTGTCAGTCAACACTAGGACCTTGGTGATAGCCTATATCCGACCTTCTCATCAAACCAGGGCAAAGACTGCCAGGTGAGGGCTGCACACTTTTCTGTACTCCTTTAAGATTGGCCTAATGGTCCTTGGTTGATTAGATGGTAGGGGACAATTGGTACTCTTGTTAGCAAAAGGTAAACTGAAGCCCATGGCATAAAAGCTTTGCATAACCTTCAGAAAAGGTCCCTGAAGAATCTGGGGATGGTGGCGCACACCTGCAATCCAAACACTTGGGAGGCTGAGGCAGGAGGATGAGCCATGAGTTCAAGGCCATCTTGGGCTACATAGTGGATTCAGGGCCAGCCTGGACTACATAGCGAGACCCTGTCCCAAAAAACCAAAAGAAAAAGGAAAAAGAAAAGCCCCCCTCCAAAAAAAAAGAAGAAAAAAAGGGTCCCCAACGGCCCTTCCCTCCCTGCCTAGCAGGCCGAATAAGGACAGAGTTTTTCTCTTCAGAGAAAAAGCAGCACCCTACAGTTTTTACCATCAGAACCCTAACCTCCTCTCTCTTCTCCCTTCCAGACTATGCAGAATTCATTTTCTTAGGACTCTTTATGTCCGAAATGTTTATAAAAATGTATGGGCTTGGGACACGGCCTTACTTCCACTCTTCCTTCAACTGCTTTGACTGTGGGGTAAGTGTCTGGGGGTCGGAGGGTCCCTGGCTCCCTCTCCTGGCCAGGACCTAGCACCCCCTGCCTGCGGATGCCAGTCGGGGGAGGCAGGGTGGCCCCAGGCAGGCAGTGACCACAATGCCTGCAGGAAAGGGACGGGCGACCCAGCTTCCTCCACCCCACAGGGAAGGGAGTTACAGATCTTTGGGTGCACAGGGCTTATCCCGCCAACTCCACCACCAGAGACCTCTCAGAGGAATCCACACAAGTGCCCAGGAGACAAAGATAAGAATGTCCCTGTTGCTGGGATGCAATTAGGGTCTTTCTCCATTAGTCAGCTTTCCACTGCTATAACACAGTACCCAAGATGAAAAGACTCCTGGTTTGGGAGATCCTAGCTCTTGACTCCCTGTCACTCCCTGTTGCTATGGGCCCGAGGCAAGGCAGCTGTCCTGGCAGGAGCAGGTGGCCAAGGAAAATGATTGACTTCAGGGCCAGGAAGCTGCCGGTGAGGGAGGATCTCTTAAGGCCCTGACAACAGCAACCTAGAGACCCCACTAGGCTTCACCTCTTAAAAGCACCGCCACCTCCCAGGGGCTCAATCCTGAAAGCCTAGCTTTTAACACATGGGCCTTTAAGATCCAAATTATAGCAGAGATGTTAGCAAATAAGTGGAAAATGCTTCCCACAGGGCAGCCAGAATCATGTGCTGCACTCCTGTTAGTTTCAGAAAGGATCGATGATTCTTAGTGACTCTGAATTTCTGCCCTGTTAGAGGAAATAACATGATGTTGGATGGAGGAAGGATGGGAGGGAGGAAAGGAGGGAAGAAAGAGGGAGGGAGGGAGGGAAGGGAAGAAGGAAGGAAGGAAGGAAGGAAGGAAGGAAGGAAGGAAGGAAGAAAAAAAGCAAGCCAGATATGGTGATGCACATCTGTAATCCCAGCGCTTGGGAGGCTGAGGCAGGAGGATTGCCATGAGTTCGAGGCCAGCCTGGACTACATAGTGAGACCTTGTCCCAAAAACAAAGAGAAAAACAGGGCCAGGGATTTAGCTCAGTGGTTCCAACACCTGCCTCGAAAGCTCAAGTTCCTGAGTTCAATCCCCAGTACCAGAAAAAAGAAAAAAGAAAAAGAGAGAAGTCCTGAATGGCCTTATCTGCCATAGACAAGGGCCATGGCACCCAAGTGTCCCTTTCCAGTAGAGGGGAGCAGTGGTGGCACAGGTACACCCAGATGGTCCCCCATCCACAGGGGTTCAACTCACAGCTTTCCCACGTAACTCCCGTGTCACAGTGAGCTGCATTCAGCGGAAGCAGCACTTCAACTTCCATCATTTTCCTGATCCTCTCTCACAGTACTGGGTAGCAGGGGGCTGAAGCTCCACAGTGGTGAGTGGACACCCCCTGGCCCGCAATAGCGCAGTGTCACTAAGCTAGGGTGTGCAATAGATTAGGGGCGGTAAGTGCATTTTCAGCCCCAGCATGGTGGTACACACTGGGCAGGAAGATCCCAAATTCAAGCCCATCCTGGCCAAATTCATAACTTAGCAAAACCCTGTCTCAAAACAAAATTTAAAAGGGTTAAGGATGTAGCTTAGTAGCAGAGTGCCCCTGGTTAGATCCCCAGTTCTGCAAAAAGAAAAAGATTTTTAAAAAGAAGGCAAAGACCTTAAAATTGTGCTGCTTCATGAAAGAAGACAGACACAAAGGTCACAGGTGGCATAATTCATTGCTAAGCAATATCCAGAGCAGCAGCAGTCCAGCAGGAAGTAGATTAGTGATGGCCAGGGACCAGGAGAGGAATGGGGGGCTGCAAATCAGACCAGGCCCCCTGTGGGGGCAATGAAGATGATTTGGAATCAGAGACGGGGGCTGCACATTATGAATGCACTAAATGTCACTGAGTTACACACTTAAAAGGGTTAATTTTCAGTTGTGTGAATTTTGTGTCAATTTTTTTTTAGATAAAGGGGCAGGGAAATGATTATTGCAAAATTCAGGATGTTACTTATGTCTCAGGGTCTCTGGAAGCTTGTAGTGTGTTGTGGGCTTTCCTTCTATAATTCAGGGTTTCAGGCATTCTCGGGTCTGTGTGAGCTCTTTATAAATTAAAAAGGGATGACAGGTATGTGGCATAAACCTATAATCCCAGCTCCTCAGGAGGCTGAGGCAGGAGGATTACAAGTTCAAGCCCAACCTGAGCAACTTAGCAAGATCTTGTCTCAACATAAAAAAATTTTAAAAATAGAAAAGGAAATGATGAGAGGAGTGTGGAAGCCTCCCCTGCTTCCAGTTAAGGGTGGGAGTGGGCCTGGGTTACACCCCTGCAGAGTTCAGGCCTGGTGAATGTGTGTGGTGCTGAACTTGAGGCTGGCCCTGAACTTGAGACCCAGCTGTTGGTTCCAGGTTATCATCGGGAGCATCTTCGAAGTCATCTGGGCCGTCATAAAACCTGGCACGTCCTTTGGGATCAGTGTGTTACGAGCTCTCAGGTTACTGCGTATTTTCAAAGTCACAAAGTAAGTCCCTTGGCCTTCAGACAGAGGTGGGGATGGGGAGCAGGGTGGGGTGACCCCCAGAAAGTCGGGCCTCGCAGCTTCCTCCTCCTGGCCCAGCCTCATCTTCCCCTGGCCTCTGTTGGCAGGTACTGGGCATCTCTCAGAAACCTGGTCGTCTCTCTCCTCAACTCCATGAAATCCATCATCAGCCTGCTGTTCCTTCTCTTCCTGTTCATTGTCGTCTTTGCCCTTCTGGGAATGCAGCTCTTTGGCGGCCAGTGAGTACCCGGCAGCATTTCCACCCTGTTTCCCTGGGGTCCTGCCCAGAGCTCCCAACTGTGGACATCCGGGACCCCTCCTCATGACCCAGATGCCTGCTGCAGTCATGCAGGTGGGTGAGGCCCTGGGTACCACTCAGAATGTTGTCCTGGAGACAGAGATGCTGTAATGTTGCTCCAGCAATGGGATGGTGAGCAGACCCTCAGCCAGGGCAGGGCTCATGTGAATGTCTGTATCATCCCCACAGGTTTAATTTCGATGAAGGGACTCCTCCTACCAACTTCGATACCTTCCCTGCAGCAATAATGACAGTGTTTCAGGTATGACCCTGACGGCTGGTGAGTGGACACCTCTTAGCATCAGGGATGAGAATACCTGCCTCACTGCAGAGCAGCTCCCTCCAGAGCAGCTCCCTCCTCTGAAAGCCTGTGTGTTGCCTTGGACTTTTCTCACTGTTTTAGAATGCAGATTTTATTATTGCTGAGATACGATGAGGCCAACAGATCTGGAGAGAAATATCATTGAAAACACAAGTTCTAGCTGGGCATGGTGGCATATACTTATAATCCCAGCGCTGTGGGAGGCTGGGGCAGGAGGATTTTGAGTTCCAACCCAGCCTGTGCAATTTGGCAACTTACTGACAGCTGTTGCAAAATAAAAAAATAAAAAGGCCTGAGGGCCATCCAGGCATGGTGACATATATCTATAATCCCACCACTTGGGAGGCTGAGGCAGAAGGGTCACCATGAGTTTGAGGCAAGCCTGGGCTACATAGTGGGTTCAAAGCCAGCCTGGACTACATAGCAAGACCTTGTCTTGAAGTGGGGGCGCTGGGGATGGAGCTCAGTGAGAAGGCCCTGGGTTCAATTCCCAGCACCACGAAAATGGAAGGAAGGGAAAGAGGGAAGGAAGGAGGCAGAGGCAGAAAGAGAAAGAAAAGAGAAAAGAAAAGTACACCTCGTTATACATCTCAAACCACATGAGAAGGGTTGTGAGACAGAATGAGGGGGAAATGTGGGTGGGAGATTTGATTATGGTCTCTACAGCAAGCAACAGGCAGGCTGTGCAGGCTTACAATGCACCACTTTCTATTATGTCAGTGGGCTCTGGGGCACAGGCTCTGTCCCTGGTTTCTGGTACCTGGTCCTGGGTGATTAGAGCAGGTGGGGAGTGGCCTGGAGAATGAGAGCCCAACAAAGGAGGGAGCCAGCTGTGAGCTCCAGACTGCTTGGTTTGCTTTTTGTTTTGTATGGGGGATCAAACTCAGGACCTTGCTGCTTGCAAGGCAGGCGCAGGGCCACTGAGCTAAATCCCAGGCCCCAACTAGTTTGCATTTTAAAAGTGTAGCCAGGTCACAATGGTGCATCCCTGGAATCCCAGCACTCTAAAGCAGGAAGAGCTCAAGTCTAAACTTGGCTTGGGCAACTTAGCAAGACCATGTCCCAAAATAAAAAGGGAAGGGGATGTAGCTCAGGGCAAAGGCCCTGAGTTCAATCCCCGTTACTATATATATATATATGCAAAAGAGGGTACTGTCTGTAGCACCTGTCGGGCAGAGCCCCAGCTATGGGAGCGTCAGAATACAGAGGATAAAAGGCTGAGGACCAGCTCTTCAGGGACTCCAGACCCTTTCCGAGGATTCCTTCTCCCGGGGAGGCAGGAGACACGGACAGGGGCTCCCATGAAGCAAAGCTCCAAGCCCCTTGTAATAGGCCCTGGGCGGCATTGTAGCCAGGGTCCCAGCCACATGCCATGCTGTCCCCCAGGACACACAGGATGTCACAGCTGGGGAGGGGCCTGTGCTGCACACATGGGGGGTGAGGGTGCTGCTCAATCCCCCCAGTGTATATATGGACCGGGCCCGGAGAACGAGTGCCCCAAACTCAGCCAGTGCCTGCTTCCACCCATCATATCCCTACAGCCAGGAGGAGGGAACTCGGAACTTTTTTTTTAGTTTTCATTTTTTTATCAGTCCATGATTGCAACACATAGCAGTTACACTCCTGGTGGGGCACTGGTACAGGCACACAACACATCTCACTTCCTTTGTCAACCCCTCCCTCTCCCTGCCCTCCCCCATCTCTCGGCCCCCTTGCCATTTGCAAAAGATGCATCTCCCTGTTTCCTATTATCCATCTTTTATTTTGCTCTTTAATTTATTTATATTTTGGGTGTCTCATATAAGAGAAGTCATAGAAATTTTTTCTTTATTTTTTCTTCTTATTTGACACATAATGATTGCAGTGTGGCCCCAGTGGTAGAACGACTGCCAAGCAAGCATGAGAACCTGGGTTCCATCTGGAGCACCAGATAATAGTAATAATAATAAAATAGGTATATTTATGCGCTGCAGTATATGTGTACAATGTGCACCAAAGGGAAATTACCGTTTCCATCTCTTTATTATCTATTCGTATTGGGAAAGTTCAGCTCCCTATCGGGTGTGTGTGTGTGGTACTGGGGGTGGAACTCAGGGCCTTCTCACTGAGCTCCATCTCCAGCCCCTTTTTTTATTTTGAGGCAGGGACTCACTAAGACCCTAATTTGCCCAGGCTGGGCTGGAACTTGCAATCCTCCTCCTGCCTCAGCCTCCCGAGTGCTGTGATTACAGGCATGCCTCACCACACCCAGCTATCCCAGCCTCTAGTAATCATGATTCTACTCCTGCTCCCATGAGCCTAGCTTTTCTGGCTTCGAGTAAGAGTGAACTCCCAGCATCCATCTGTCTCCGTGGCTTGTGTCCTGTGACACCCTGACCTCCGGGCCATTTTCTTCTAAAGCAGCACTTAGATACCCCCGGGCCTTTTCCTGTGCATCCTGGAAAGTCCTCCTGGCCCAGCCCTGCATCCCTCTGTCCAAGGCTTTCTGCAGTCATCAACACCCGCTGGCCCAGGCACAGGTCCAAGGGTACAAGTACATTTTGTGCACATGGCCAGGCAGCCTGGCCCTCCCTCCGTGTCACCTTTGTGCCCTCTTCTCCCCTGCCTTGCTCCCCCTCCCCTGCTGGTGCTTCTGCTGATCCACTCCCGAGTACCCTGCTGCGCTCAGCCCTGACGTCAGGCGTGGCCTCAGGCCCAGGGCAGCATGTGTGCCGGGCACCCGGTGGCTGGATCACGCAGTTCCAGGGACCAGGAGGAGTGGAGATGAGCTCTGATGTCCACTCCTCGCCTGTCCTGAGGCTCCAGGACAACACCAGGGCCAGGAGGCAAGATGGCAGACACCTGTCTCTCAGGCCCAAGGGTGGGAGAGCTCTCCGTGGCTTGTGGATGGTGGCCTTCTTGCTATGTTCTCATGTGGTAGAGAGAGGCCTGGTCTCTCTTCCTCCTCCTCTTCTTCTTTTTGTTTTTGGTGCTGGAGATTGAACCCGGGGCCTCTGGCACTGAGCTATATCCCCAGCCCTTTTTCATTTTTCATTTTGAGACAGGGTCTCACTAAGTCACTAAGTTGTCCAGACTGGGCTCCAACTTGAGATCCTCCTGCCTCAGCCTCCCAGAGTTCTGGCATCAGAGCCATCGCCACCACACTTGGCTTCTGTTCCTCTTTAAGGGCTGTCAGGAATCCTGTCATGAGCACCCTACCTTCAGGATCCCGTGTAACCCTAATCACCTCGCCAGGCGCCAGCTCCAGCTCCCTGGCCATGGGGAGTTAGGATGTCCACACCCTCATTGAAAGGGGACACTGTTCAGTTCACAGTCAAGCCCCTCATCCCACTAGGGGGACAGCGGTACAAGGAGGTGTGTGAACCCCTGTACCCTCTTCCCAGCAGCCGGGCTGCAGCCCCAGGGTAGGGGCGGCCTCCGCGCCGTGCAGGCTGGGGGCTCATGCTGGCTGAGGTCAGCCGTATCTCTTCCCACAGATCCTGACAGGCGAGGACTGGAATGAGGTCATGTACGACGGCATCAAGTCCCAGGGCGGCGTGCAGGGCGGCATGGTGTTCTCCATCTACTTCATCGTGCTCACGCTCTTTGGGAACTGTATCCTGCCTAAGGGCCCCAGGGACCCCGGGGAGGGGAAGCGGGGGGACACGAAGGTCCCCAGGCCCCGGCGAGCGGTGTCTGTCTCAGCTGCTTCCCTGACTCTGGTGTCAGACACCCTGCTGAACGTGTTCCTCGCCATCGCTGTGGACAACCTGGCCAACGCCCAGGAGCTCACCAAGGTGCGGCCTCAGGGACCACCGGGCACTGTCACCTCCTGCGTAGCAGAGCAGGACGAGGGTTGGGAGGATGGAACAGCAGGGCAGACCCACGGAGTGCTGGTCCCTCCTCCTAGGCTCATGCGGACCCTAAAACAAGCCAATTCCATAGCAGAGAGGGTGGGAGGGAAACCTGGCACACTCCACCCAAGGGCCTACTACAGAAACCAGACAGGAAGCGGGGTGTGGTCACATCCGCCTGTCATCCCGGCACTCTGCGGGGCTGAGGCAGGAGGACCACAGGTTTGAGTCCAGTCGGGGCAACTTAGAGACTTAGCAAGACCTGTCAAAATAAAAAATAAAAAAGGGCTAGGGATGGAGTTCTGCAGGCCCAGGGTTCGATCCCCCATAATGGAGGGGGGAGGGAGAGAAGAAAAGAGATGGAAAGGGAAATTGGGCAGAGGCTCCTTGGACTCTGTGGTCAGTGACCCTCCAGAAGGGCGGGTCTGGGAGCCGTGCTGCAGGGACCCTGACACCTGGAGCTGGGGGAGAGGGGCTGACACCGACCCTGTGACCTGAGGGGACCGTGCCAAGGCCCTGGAGTGGCTGAGAAGCACACCCTCTCTGGGCCCTGGTCACCTGCAGGAGCCAGGCAGGGGCACAGCCCACATGGGTCAGCCTCTGAGGGGACAGAGAATGTGGCCAGGATGTTGCGGCCCCACCTCTGTCCCCTTGTACACAGGCACTGGCCTCACTTCCAAGTGGCACCAAAGCAGAATGAGAGGATGCTTGTGGTGGCCTGCACTACTGCAGCTCCCTGCCCTTTTTTGTTGTTCTTCTGGGGGTTTTGAGGCAGGGTCTTGCTATGTAGCTCAGACTGGCCTCGAACTCTCAGCGATCCTCCTGCCTCAGCCTCCCGAGTCCTGGGATGACAGGTGTGCATCACCACACCTGGCTAATAGTCCTTCGTTTGCAGAAGGGGAAACTGAGGCCCAGAAAGGGGAAGCCCCTCCCCATAGATGCCGTGTAGCAGCCATGCTGTAGAGCACCATTTCAGCTCACAGTCAGTCCTCAGGAAAGGCAGGCTCTGTGACTGACATGGCTCTGGTCTTGAACCAGAGCCCTTGTTCTCCAAGGGGGAAGCCAGGATGTCAGACCCAGCCAAGCTGATAATGATAAAAACCAAAATAACATCCGCAAAAAAACTGCCTTTCTCGTGTACCAGGCAGCAGCAACCAGAAGAGGGACGAGAGCCATGCTCTCCCCGTATCACAGATGGGAGACCAAGGCCTGGGGAGCTTAGTGACTTTCCACACAGCTAGGGACTAAAAGAACAGAGACACGGCCCCTCACAGGGCAGAGAAGAGAGAAGGTTGGGGGGTCAGAGAGAACTGGGGAGGAGGAACCATCTGTGTGCAGTGAAATCCCTTTTTCATTCATGATTGGTGATATTGAATTATCTGGGTAACATTTGGTACCGTGTACCCCTTAGGGCAGCCTTGGACTCCCTGAGAGTAGACAGGCACAGGGAAGGCAACATTAGCAACATTACTTTCAGTAACATAGTTCGTGCCCTAGGACAGTCCATGAGCAGGGCTGCCAAGAATGGATGAGCAAGTTACACACTGCACAAAAGAACCTAGGCAAGGAGGGGCTGTGCAGGCTGGAATCCAGCGCGGATGAATCGACCAGGAGAAGGAACAACAGAAGGGGCACAGTTTGCTATTGGGAGGTGGCGTGTCAGGAACAAAGGCATCTTAGAAGCTAGCATGGAATGAAAAGAACATGTCACATGGTCCAAGTCTTCCTCCCAGTGCTCAGCTTCGAAGCCCCATCCCCAGTGCCCAAAGGAACCCAGGACACGGCCACAAAGCAGATCGAGCCGACAGTGCCAACCCTCCATCTGCCAGCCCTGGCAGGGGGTGGAGAGAGTTTCCCCGCATCCCTCGGGCCTGGGAGAAACAAGTCTCCACCGTCCCCAGCATGCAGCCATGGGCCCGGCCACCGTGGGGCCAGCTGGAGTGTGGCACCATAGGGTCCCCTCTGGCCCCTCTCCGGAAGCCCAGGGGTGCATTTCATCTGTCATCCTACAAGGGCAGATTAAGCCCCTCCTGGGCGCAAAGCTGAAAACAAAACAGCCAAACTCCCCACCCTTGGGAGACAGGGATTCAGACTGTGGGTGAGAGATGAAAAACCCAAATTGGGCAAAATACGTAGCTCATCAGATGTCAAGAAATGCAAAGGACAGAAGCAAAGTAGGAAGGGTTGGAGAAAACTGGAATCTTGCATGAGAATTGTAAAGCACAGAGAGGTCAAGAGAATTCCCGAGGCCTCACAGCAGTGGCAGAGCTGGGATTTGAACCCTGGCCGTCTGGAGCTGGATTAGTGCTTTAGCTGCCATGCACTGCTTCCTTAAACTGAGCATATTTCACACTCACCTGGGGGTTTGATGAAAATGCAGATGCCAGGCAGAACCCTGGTTGTTTGGCTACGTCAGGGGAGTGGGAATCTGCATTTCCAGTGTTGACAGGCAGAGGGAGCAGGGCTCTCAGGGACTAGTCCGAGGTGCCAAGCACTGGGGGGAGTTTGCTTCCTGCCCAGGAACTCAGCACAGGCAGGGAGCAGCAACCACCCCTGAAACCACCTGGTTTCTCTTACTGGTGGTTTGTGTCTATTCGTTTCTTTCATTGTTTTCTTTGTTTTGTGTTGACTTTTCTGTTACTTAAGGTTTTTGTTGGGTTTTTTTTGGTACCGGGGATCGAACTTGGGACCTTGTGCATGCAAGGCAGGCACCAGAACCACTGAGCTAAATCTCCGGCCCAACTTTTCTGTTTAGTGAATGAGGCCATGCATGATGGCTGAAGGAGGATGTAAAGTCCAAATCCCTCTTTGTCAGGATGCACTGTATTTCACCACGGCCCCCACCCTTCTGCTCTCTGAACCCAGCTACCCGGCCTGCCCCACCCACCACAGGGGCTGAGAGTTCGGGGTCCTCAGGGCTGTGGGCCACACCTGGCGTGAGCCTGGGACTCAGGACTCAGGGCTTTTCTGTGCATGCTGCTGTTTGGCACTTGGGAAAGGGCAGGTCAGGCTCGGTCTACTTGGAAAGTGCAGGAAAACCTCTGCCTTCCCCCGAAGCCCCCAGAGAGGAGCAGGAACATCTGTTGTGGGATTCTCTCTCCTTTGGCTTTCTTCTGGCTGTGTGTCAAAACAGAGTTCATAAAGAGCTGGAAAAGGCAGGCACACTGGCCCATGCCTATAATCCCAGCACTCTGGGAGGCTGAGGCAGAAGGATCACAGGTTTGACCCCAGCCAGGGAAACTTAGTGACTTAGTGAGACCCTGTCTCAAAATTTAAATTTAAAAAAACAAGTTTGAGACAGGATCTTGCTATGTAGTTTAGCCTGGTCTCAAACTCATGGTAATCCTGCCTCAGCCTCCCCAGTGTTGGGATGACAGGCATGCACCATCACACCTGGCTTAAAAAAAAAATTTTTTTTAAAGGTCTGGGGATGTAGCTCAGTGCAAAGCCCTAGGTTCAATCTCCAGTACTGGGAAAAAAGAAAAGGAAAAAGGAGTTGGAGAGGGCCAGGGATTTAACTCAGTGGCGCCACGCCTGCCTTGAAAGCACAAGATCCCGAGTTCCATCCCCCCGAGTTCCATCCCCGATACCAAAAAAACAAAAAGAGCAGGAGAATGAGCTTGTGCACAAGGGTATCAGCAATACATTTCTCCGACATCAGCTGCCCATTCCTATCTGGATGTCAGTTCTGATTGGTCAACATCCAGCCCAGCGTGCTTTTAAGTACCACAGAGACACCCCGGCTCAGCAGTAGGATGCAGAGCAAGGTCCTGAGGCCTGTTCTTGTGAACAGGGATCTTATGTGCCTTCTAGGATGAACAAGAAGAGGAGGAGGCGGCCAACCAGAAACTCGCTCTACAGAAAGCCAAGGAGGTGGCGGAAGTGAGTCCCCTGTCAGCAGCCAACATGTCCATAGCTGTGTAAGTTTCCCACCCTCCCTGCCTACCCTCCCAGGCAGGGGTCGGGAACAGGGAGGGTAATGGCTGAGTCTTAGGAACAGATCCACTTTGACCCAATGGATGTTTCCTGAGCACCTACTACATGCCCAGCCCTGTTCTCAGCCTGGTTCACTTGTATAGCTATTTGAGTCAGGGAGAGAGATGATATATTAGATAGGTACATTAGATAGGGTATAAGGAGGTGACAGACCTGTTAGGGGTGATGGCCCGTGCCTGTAATCCCAACTACCCAGGAGGCTGAGGCAGAAGGATCATAAGTTTGAGTCCCACCTTGGTAATGTAGTGAGACCCTGTCTGTCTCAAAAGAAAAAAGATCTGGGATGTAGCTCCGTGGTAGAGTGCCTGTGGGTTCATTCCCTAGTACGGAAGGAAGGGAAAAAGGAAAGAAAGAGAAAGAAAGGGAGGAAGAAGAGGGAGACAGGCAGGTTGTGCATAGCCTTGTGGTATAAGGAGAGACTTGGGCTTCTGCTCTGAGTTTGGTAGGAGCCATGGAGGGTCCTTGAGCAGAGGAGAATCAGGACCTGATTCAAGTGCAGTGAACACCCTCTGTCCACTGCTGGGGAACAAGCTGTGGAGGTGAAGGTGGGTGCTGGGTCAGCAAACCATGCTGCAGACACTGGGCTGGTCCTTGCCAAAGAGGTGGGAACTGGGAGACTGAAACAGGAGGATCCCAAGTTTGAACCTAGTCCTGGCAAATCAGCAACAGCAAGACTCTGTCTCAAAACAGAAAATAAAAGAGCTGGGTGTGTAGCTCAGTGCAAAGGCCCTGGGTTTGATCCCCAGTACCAAAAAGGGGAGGGGATCAATACCCAAGACCTGGGAAATCTCCTTGGGCCCAGGGGACGCTCACACTGCAGCCAGCGGGTCAGTTTGCCTCAGCACTGCCCCAAACCCCCAAGTGCCCACCCTGGGTGCCCTGGCTGCTCCTTGGGACCCTAGGCAGCCTATGATCCAAATTAAAGGGCCCTGTCTGGGACTTGCTCCAGGCAGGCCACTGTCTCCCATTATGGGCCATGTCGAGCCTAAGGTCATCAAGGCCTCCCCAGAGAGTCGTGTGCTGCCATTTGAAGAGTAGAGGGGTCAGCAGGGACTCCTGCCTGGGCCGAGGTGTCCACCTGTGGGTACAGACACTTGTAAGCCAAGAAGCCTAGCCAGGGCCACTGAGGCACCCACCTGGGCCAGGCTGCCTGGCAGGTGGCGACGTCCAGCCAGGCTGAGTGGGAGACTCTCACTGGGCTGAGACAATGGCCAGGTGAGTCACCTGTTAGCCGGGCCACCTGGCCGGGCAGTCGCTGGGCACCCACCCAGACGAGTAGCCCCTTAGCCCGAGGGTCCTGGCCCGGCCCAGCGTGGCCCCAACCCCGGCCCCTTGCAGGAAGGAGCAGCAGAAGAACCAGAAGCCGGCCAAGTCCGTGTGGGAGCAGCGCACGAGCGAGATGCGCAAGCAGAACCTGCTGGCGAGCCGCGAGGCGCTGTACGGCTGCGAGCTGGACGCCGACGAGCGCTGGAAGGCCGCGTACGCGCGCCACCTGCGGCCAGACGTGAAGACGCACCTGGACCGGCCGCTGGTGGTGGACCCGCAGGAGAACCGCAACAACAACACCAACAAGAGCCGTGCGCCCGCCGAGCCCGCCGTGGAGCCGCGCCCGGGCGCGCAGGACCTGGCCCGCAAGGCGGCGCGCGGCCACGAGCGCTTGCGGGACCTGGGTTCGGCCGACGTGCCCAGGGCCTGGGCGGGCACTCGCGACGCCGCTCCGGGCCGCGAGGGTCCCTACGGCCGCGAGTGCGAGCTGCCGCCCCCGCGCGAGGAGCCCGCACCCTGGGACGGCGACGCCGAACGCGCCAAGGCCAGCGACCCCTCGCGCAGACGAGCCCGGCCCGGCGAGCGCAGCAGGGACAGCCGCGCGGGGTCGCCACGCGCCGGGGACGGGGAGCCGCGCAAGCCCCGCGTGCACCGCAGGCCCGGCGACGACGAGGAGCGCAGGCGTCACCGCGAGGCCGATGGGCCCGAGGGCGCAGAGCGAAGGCGGCGGCACCGGCACGCGGGGGCCCCGGGCGCCTACGATGGTGACACACGCAGGGAGGACAAGGAGCGCAGGCACCGGCGCAGGAAGTGAGTGGGGCGCGGGCGGGGTCACACAGCGATCTCCTGCCTCACCGGCCAGAGTGCTGGGACAGAGCTAGGTTTACACCTTGATAGGAGTTTCCCATCATGGCCCGTTTCACGGATGGGGAAACTGGAAGGGCCCATTGCTGAAGCTGGCGCATCTTTGTATTCATTTATTGTCCTTATTCAGAACGATTTTCACGTTCCCAGTGGGAGTCGGTGCATGCGCATGACGTGTATTGTCCTTTTTACATCCCCTCCCTTCATCTCTTGTCCCCTTCCCATTTGTGTGCAAGTGAGCAAACCCTGGGGATTGAACCCAGAGTCCCCCTCCTAAAGTGTTTTTTTTAACCTGACTCCAATTCTGGAGGCTGTGAGATCCAAGGACACAGTGCCGCTGCCTGTGTGAAAGTGCGTGCGTGCCGTGTGAGACCGAGCCCATGGAAGCTCAAGTCTCATCCTCTTTTTACAAAGCCACCAACACCAACGTGATTTCATCTGCTGCTTATCACCTTCTAATCACCCAAACCCCCACCCCAACAGTATATGAACTGGGGTGTCCAGTCCCAGCCCGTGAATTCTGGGATACACTTGCCAATCCCGGCAGAGGCTTTCTGGGAAATGAACAAGAAATGGTGCCAGGCAGGCGTCTCAAGTTGGGCTTATGAGATGCTGGAAGAGGGAGCTGAGCTGCGTGTGCTAAGATTGTGGAGTTTGACTCAAGACAACCTTTTTGCAGGGCATGGAGCATGAAGCGGAAAAAATGACAGGGACCGTGATATGAGGTCCCCAGGACCCTGGATCCCTCGGGGGAATGAGAGGCCCCTGGAGAAGGTGGACTGAAGTGTTTAGCACAGGATTCTTTAGGTAGTGAGAACTGAGGGCAGTAATTACTCTCATTGTGGTTCCTCTTTCAGATATGACTGTGATTGTCATCCTTGTTATTGTGTCTGCTGTGGTGATTGAAGGAGGCAGGAAGACAGGGACAGAGTAGCTGTCCTTAATCATGTGCCAGGAAGAGGTTTTAAAAGTGGTGAAGGGCCCAGGCCAGCCTGTAATTCACAGCAGTCCTCCTGCCTCAGCCTCCCGAGGGCTGAGATTGCAGGCATACATCATCATGACCTGAAACATTATTTTAGCAGTAATAGCCTTCAATAAGTGTTGCCTATTACTAGATTGTTAGACATAACATTGGTAGACATAGAAACTCAGCCTGTAGCTCGTCCACTCTGATTCCTTGCTTTTGTAGAAGGGAAACCTGAGGTTCAGAAGAGCAAAGAATTTTCCCAAGGGCAACCACTAGCAGGAGCAGGGTAAACATCCAGCTTTCCCAGACCCTGCTTCCCACCTCCTCTCCAGAGGCAAAAAACATCCCACTACTTCTGGCCCCAGGGCCTTAGTGGGTCTAACCTGTTCAAAACCTGGACGTTACTTCTGGGTGGGAGGTACTAATCAGCGTGTCCAACCCCAGAACCAGGAGACAGACATGTTCTTCATTTGGTTGATTTTTTTAAAAAGTTTTTGGAAATAAAACTTTGTGAAGATTTGACACTATTTACTTATTTTTTGAGACAGGGTCTCACTGTGTTGCCCAAGCTAGCCCCAAACTCCTAGGCTTGAGCAATTCTCCTGCCTCAACCTCCCGAGGTACACAGCACCATGCCCAGGTGACTCAGGCATTTTAAAAGGAAAAAAAGCCAAGATGAGGCATTCATCCACTTTAATAAATAATAGTAAGATCAATGAAGATAAAAGCCAGGGGTGGTGGCACAGGCCTGTAATCCCAGCACTCAGGAGGCTGAGGCAGGAGGATCACAAGTTTGAGGCCAGCCTGGGCTGCATAGTGAGACCCTATCTCAAAAACAATCAAAACAACAAAAAAAGCTATGGATCCCAGAGCACCAGCCACTCCCTGGCTGCCATCCTGGCTGAGTTTGACCTGGCCCAGCCCTGGATTCGCATCTTAGGTCTGCTGTGTCTGACTCCATGACAGCCACCCCCTACCAGAGTGGGAAGGGAGCTGCTGGGCTTCTGAGCCTTTATCCTGCAGGGCCAGGGACTGTGTCATCCTCTAGTACCCAGATTCTTACAGCACCCCGTGGCTCCTCACTGGCCTCCTCGGCCCTGTTACTCCATGCACTCCAAATCATTCATTCTCATTTCCTTTGCTCATAATGCTATAGTTTGAAGTCTCTAGGACCGGCATCCAGCTCAGCTTTTTTTTTTTTTTCCCCTGGTGCTGGTGGTATTGAACCCACAACCTTTGAGCTGAGCTCTATCCCCAGCCCTCTTTTGATTTTTTTATTTTGAAACAGGGACTTACTAAGTTTCCCAGGCTGGACTTAGAGTTGCAATCCTCCTGCCTCAGCCTCCCAGAGTGCTAGAGATGACAGGTGTATTGCCAACACACCATACTTAGCTCAGCCCTTTCTAAACTTGGGGCAAATGTGCCTCTGTGCCTCGGTTTCCTCACTGTGAAATGGGGCCGATCCTGATAACCTACCCCACATGGCAACTGTTACAGGAGTCACTGAGTGAATATGCTATGTCCTTGGTTGGTGGGGACACAGGCCCACTTCCTGTGATTGCCCAAGGGGACTCTGGGTCCATCTCCTGGGTCCCCGGGCTGAGCACACCCCAGGCGTGATGTCCCTGGTCCCTCCAGAAGGGATTGGCTGGCGTTGTGCAGTCACCACTGTCCTGGCAGCTCACACCTGGTCCCAGAGGAAGGGGAAAGTGCCCATCTCTGAGTCCTTCACATGCACTGGGCTGGAAGCTCCTGAGGTTGGTAGTGGGCCCTGCAGCTGCACTTGTTAAAATTCCCAGCACACACAGCTGGCAGCAACTCCACCAGGAGGCAAATCCAAGATCCAGAGCCCCAGCCACCACACGGGCTCTGGCCTGTGCATCATGCTGTCCCCTCTGGAACACATGACCATGAGTGGCCTCAAGCTCTCAGCAGTGGTATCTCTTCCCACAGCCTCCTTACATACCAACCGAAGGACCAGGTTCCCTTAGGGTTATAACCAAAATGGGTCTGCTGTTCTGGGAAGGCTCGCTCTCTATCAGAAATACACACTCGAGGGCTGGGGATTTAGCTCAGTGGTGCTACTACCTGCCTTGCAAGTGCAAGATCTTGAGTTCAATCCCTGAGAAAGAAAAAGAAAGAAAGAAAGAAGGAAGGAAGGAAGGAAGGAAGGAAGGAAGGAAAGAAAGAAAGAAAGAAAGAAAAGAAAGAAAAGAAAGAAAGACACACACACTCGGGAAGGCTGACGTAGAAGGATCACAAGTTTGAATCCAGCCTGGGCAACTTCTGAGACCCTGTCCAAAATAGAATGGGCTGGAGATGTCGCTGAGTGCTAGGGCCTGGCCTGGGTTCAGTGACCAGTAGTGAGGGTAGGGCTGGGCATAAGAGGACCGAGCCACACATGATGGCACATGCCTGTCATCCCAGCACTCATGTGACTAAGGCAGGAGAATCGCCATGAGTTCGAGGCAAGCCTGGGCTCTGTAGTGAGTTCAAGGCCAGCCTGAATGCCATAGGGAGATCCTGTGTTGCCTGGTGGAGCAGATGTCCCTGGGGGCACTGAACTGGAGAAAGTCCAATGAGGAACCATCACATTTGTGTCCTCTCCTCCAAGTGCCCTGGGCTCTCAGAGAGGTTTTGCTTCTCATCTCTGGCCATGCAGCAGGAAATATTAGAGTCACTGAGGCACCAAACTCCTACCTGCTGCAGCTTCGCTGGCTCCGCCAGTCTTCTGGCTGCTCCTGAATGCAAGCTTGAGACGGCCCCAGGGCCTTTACACTGCTGCTCCTGTGCTTTCATACTTTGCCGGCCTCTCCTTCCTGTTGTCTGTGCTGTCCTTTTGTGCTGCCCCTGTAAGAGGCTTCCCTAAGTGCTTCCAGGTCCTTGTCCCAGCTGCTCAGCCTGCACCCACCACTCTGCCTTCCTATGAGCAGGTACTTTGCTGTGTGGCCTTGAGCTGAGCCTCAACCTCTCTGGGCTTCAGAGTTCTCACCTATAAAACGGCGATGGCACAGATGTCCCCGGTTACCCTCCAGGAATGGCTTTCCAGGACCCCCTTTGGATTCCAGAGCCCATCAGTGCCCAAATCCCTGTTGTAAACTAGTGTCATGTTCACACCGAACCCTGCACCTCCTCGTGTAGACTCCGGAATCATCTCTAGGTGACTTATCACACCTGAGATAACAGGAATGCTGTGGAAATTGGTGTTGTAATGTATTGTTTAGCAAATAATGACAAGAAGAAAAGAGTTTGAACTAGGCATGGTGGTGCACACTTGTGATCCCAGGTACTCAGGAGGCTGAGGCAGGAGGATTGCAAGTCTAAACCCAGCCTGGGCAATTTGGTGAGGCCCTGTCACAAAAAATAAAAGGAAGCTGAGGCTGTCTCTGTCCTGAGTTCAATCCCCAATGCTAGGAGAGAGAGAGGATTTATGGAAACCTGGCCAGTAAAAGTCTGGCGCTGTAAGCAGGAATGAAATGAGTCCAGCTCTTTTTTATTTTTCATCTTGACAGGAGCTCGCTAAGTCACTAAGTTGCCCAGGCTGGGCTTGGACTTGGGATCCTCCTGCCTCAGCCTCCCACAGTGCTGGGATCAGAGGCGTGCCCACCACGCCCGGCTGGACATGCCTTTCTGACGTCCACGCTGTGCCCTTGGCAGGGGCATTGCACACAGATCCCACGATGTCGCTCTCCGGCCCTAACTCCTTCTTCCCCTCGGTCCACCTCCGCAGAGAGAACCAGGGCTCCGGGGTGCCCGTGTCCGGCCCCAACCTGTCGACCACGCGGCCCATCCAGCAGGACCTGGGCCGCCAGGACCCACCGCTGGCAGAGGACATCGACAACATGAGGAATAACAAGCTGGCCACTGGGGAGTCGGCGGGTCCTCACAACGGCCTGGGCCACCCAGGGCTGCCCCAGAGCCTGGCCAAGATGGGGCCCAGCGGGGACCCCGGCCCCACGCCCAACCCACCCGCCGTGGCCACCAACCCCCAGAACTCTGCCAGCCGCCGAATGCCCAACAACCCAGGGAACCCAGCCAACCCCAGGCCCCCCAAGACCCCTGAGAACAGCCTTATCGTCACCAACCCCAGCAGCACCCAGCCCAACTCAGCCAAGACTGCCAGGAAGCCCGACCACACCTCGGTGGACATGGCACCCGCCTGCCCACCGCCGCTCAACCACACGGTTGTGCAAGGTGAGGCGGCGGGCACTGGTCCCCAGCCTGTACTCCCTGGGGAGCCAGAAGCCTCCACATTGGGGACAGTGGGGTCCTCGTGTAGAAGTGGGGCGGGGGGCTTGGAGGAGGCCCCGGGAGCCAGGCTGCGAAGAACACGCACGGCACTCACTGAGAAAAGGGAGGAAGAAGTGGGAAGGAAGAAAGTCTACAAGAGCCAGGCGCTGTTGCACACGCCTGCAAGCCCAGAAGCTCAGATGGCTGAGGCAGGAAGATCCCAAGGTCAGGGGCAGTTTGGGCAAGTTTTCGAGGCCCTGTTTCAAAATTTAAAGAGGACTGAAGATGAAGCCAGGCGTGGTGCTATGAACCTGTCATCCCAGCACTTGGGAGGCTGAGGCAGGAGGATTGAAAATTCTAGTTCCTAGCCGGGGATTTATCTCAGTGGCACCTCTCCTCCCGGGCAAGCGCAAGGTCCTGAGTTCAATCCCCGGTACCAAAAAAAAAAAAAGGAAAGCTCTAGTCTGGGCAATTTAGCAAGACCCTCCCTCAAAATGAAAAAGATTGGGTCTTAGCGAACGAAACCTTGTCTCAAAGTAAAAAAGCAAAGCAAAACAAAACAAACAAAAAAATGGGTGGGGATGTAGCTCAGTGACGGGGGCCCCTGAATTCAATCTCCAGTACCACCGAAACAATATTAATAGTAATGCTATCCCACGAGGGTCCCAGCAGGTTTGGGGTAGAGTAGTAGAGAGAAGCATTCTGGGGCCAGGTTGCCTGGGGTCGAATCCCTGCTCTTCCTTCTCTGCTGTGTGGCCTTAGGCAAGTTACTTTACTTCTCTGAGCCTTGATTGCCTCATCTATCACATGGAAATTACGAAGTAGCAACCTTGGCCAGGTGTAGTAGTGCAGCACTCTATAATCCCAGCCTTGTGGGAGGCTGAGGCAGGAGGATCTCAAATCTGAGCCCAGCCTAAACAACTTAGCAAGACCCTGTCTCAATTAAAAAATAAAAAGGGCTGGGGATCCAGCTCAGTGTGAAAGCCTTGGGTTCAGTCCCCACCACTTCAGATAAACAGGAGCCCCCAGTAGGGTCCTGTGAGAGACAGCTGACACCCTGTGGTGCCTGGATCCTCGCCCCGTGCAAGGGCAGACGGGACGTCGAAGCAGGAGGCCACTGCCTATTCTGCTCCCCACAGTGAATAAAAACGCCAACCCAGACCCACTGCCAAAAAAAGAGGAGGAGAAGAAGGAGGAGGAGGAGGAGGATGACGCCGGCGAAGACGGCCCCAAGCCCATGCCGCCCTACAGCTCCATGTTCATCCTGTCCACCACCAACCCGTGAGTGCCGCGCAGGGGCCAGGGCCAGGGTCTGGGGAGAGGCCCTGGAGCAGGTCAGAAAGGGCAGTCCTAGCCGGACTTGGGGTCCACTCCTGCCATCCCGGCTACTCTGGAGGCTGAGGTGGGAGGATTGCAAGTTCAGTCCCATCCTGGACAATTTAGCAAGATCCCTATGTCAAAATTTTGAAAATGGACTGTACGTGTGGCTCAGTGGTAGAGCACTGGCCCTGCATGCCTAAGGCCCTGGGTTCAATTTCGGAGATTCCCAGTGTGCCAGGCGTACATCAGCCCTTTTAGTCTCACTCTGTGACCATTTGACAAACGAGTGCACAGAGAGGGTGCATAACACACCCCGGGTCACACAGCTAATTTCAAGAAGAGAGGAAGGAAGGGCAGGCGGACTCTGCTGAACCCGCAGGTGTCTGAGTGGCCAGGATGTGCTGTGCGTGGCAACCATTCTGTCTCCCGCGTGACAGCCCGGTTAGGGAGTTGGCATCCCAGAGAACTGCTGGGTGGAGGGGACAGGGTGCCCATGCCTGGGGCAGACAGGGCTGGGCAGAGGAGCCCTGCACACCCGGGTTCACATAGGAACAGGGCAGTGGGGGAGAGGGCCGGAGCATGTCCTGCCTAGACTCAGCACCCTGTGTACCCGCAGCCTGCGCCGCCTGTGCCATTACATCCTGAACCTGCGCTACTTTGAGATGTGCATCCTCATGGTCATCGCCATGAGCAGCATCGCGCTGGCTGCGGAGGACCCTGTGCAGCCCAACGCGCCACGCAACAACGTGAGTCTCTCCTGGGCCCCAACCCCAAGACACCTGGGGCGGCCATGGCCACTGCAGGGGAAGCTGGGAGCCTAGGGACACAAGGGAGCAAGATGTCCCTCCGAGCAGCTGTCATCCTGCTGGAATGCCGGTGGCTGGCCCAGCATCCACAAGGGCTGGGTTCCATCCCCAGTACTAAAAAGAAAAGAAGGAAGAACAGATGTACAATTTGACTTAGAAACAAAACAGCTTTAAAAGTGAGGGGGAAACACTGATGCTTGTGGCAGGGGCAGGGCCCTGGCAGCCTACAGTGCCCAGCATCACGCCCCAGATGAGGGTGTGAGCCTCAGATCCCAGAGCCTGGCCCCACACTCACTCAGCAAACATTTCTTGAGCACCTGCTTGGGTTCCTGGCACTGTGTCATGAGCTGGAGGGGCCTCAATGGTGCCAGTCCTTTTGCCGTGGGGCTGGCACTGGATGAGGAAGACAAACAGCCTCCCAGCACTCAGGAGGCTGAGGCAGGAGGGTCACCGTGAGTTCAAGGCCAGCCTGGGCTACACAGTGAGACCCTGTTTTGAGATAACAAAAATAAAAAAGATCATCGACAGCCATAACCATAGTGTGTCAAGAAGTGATGGGTACGAGAGTGGGGAGGTACAGATTTAGTGGGGAGAACAAATGCCTGGAGGTGGCATTTGAAAAAGGTGGGCCAGGGGAGGGTACAGTGGCAAAGTGGCACTGGACATAAGCAATGGGAGGAGAGGTGTGGCCTTGCCGGGAAGGATACAGTCAACCATGGCTTCCCCAGCACCACCTCAGTCCACCCAGAGCTTGGAGCAAATAGAAAGGCGTCCTTTGCATTGGTAAAGCCACTGCTCCGTGATTTGGTGGGGTTTGTCGCCCTCTGCCGGCCACCACCACTCACAACCCACAGCTCTGCCTCCAGCAAGGAAGGGCAGTTAGGGTCTCCTTCAGTGCTCACCTTTCCCTGCGTGCAGTGGCTACCTCTGCTCTGGGTGGAAATCTGCTCGTTGGGGACTCTGTGTTGCAGAGGGTGTTGTTAGATTCACAGAGCGCTCTGTGGGAGCAAGCATGTGACCCTGTGCCTTTCTGTTCCCTGCAGGTGCTGCGGTACTTTGATTATGTTTTTACAGGCGTCTTTACCTTTGAGATGGTCATCAAGGTAAGGGCAGAGAGAGCAGGGTGAAAGCCTGTCATCCCAGCACTCTAGGAAGCTGAGGCAGGAGGATCACAAATTTGAGCCTAGCCTGGGCAACTTAGCAAAACATAAATTTAAAAGCACTAAGAGCCTGGGGATTTAGCTCAGTAGTGCTGCTTCCTGCCTTGAAAGCGCAAGGTCCCAAGTTCAATCCCTGGTACAAAAAAAAAAGCACTAGGGATGCAGCTCAGTGCAAAGGCCCAGGGTTCAATGCCCAGTACAAAGAAAAAAGAGGAAGGAAGGAAGGAAGGAAGGAAGGAAAGAAGGAAGAAAGAAAGAAAGAAAAGAAAGAAAGAAAGAAGGAAAAGAAAGAAAGAAAAAGAAAGAAAGAAAAAGAATTTCTGGTGAATGGATCGAATATGGATGGATCCATCTGGTGGTTGGATTGTGCCCCAAAGTCTGGGCCTAGGCTGACCTGCAGGCTGTGGGCCCAAAAGAACAGCACCCTTGTCCAAAGGATGCCACAGCCCAGGGTAGAGCCAGAGTCCCAGCACCCTTTCCTGTCCCCTGCAGATGATTGACCTGGGCCTTGTCCTGCACCAGGGCGCCTACTTCCGAGACCTCTGGAACATCCTCGACTTCATTGTGGTCAGTGGGGCCCTCGTGGCCTTTGCCTTCACGTAAGTCGCCATGCAGGGCCCCATACAAGGCCACCTGTGGTTGGACTGGGGGACATGTTCCTGGGTACAGAGATGGGGATGTGGGCTCTGGGGCGGTGGGGACACCAGCATGCCCCCAGGAGGAGCTTCAACTAGCTTTGTGCATGACTGTGCACCATGGGGTGGGAGGAAACACTCTTACTTCTGCCTCCACACACATCAGAGGGCTCACCACATCATCGGCCCTGCTGTGCGCTTTCTGGGACATCTCATCCCCCTTCCACTCCACACCCTCTGCCCCACTGCTGTCTCTTTGGGAAACCCCTAAAAAGACAACCAGGACATAAGTGTGCATGAAAATCCTGACCCCATCTTGTGCCAGAGGCCTTGTCATCATAGCCCTGATGACATCCTGGTGTGTGTGTCACTTCTCCCACCAGTCTGAGGTCACTCTGCCCTCTCAAGGTCATGTGTCATCACACAGCCCTAAGTTGGTGCCCTAGTTGTAAGTGGTGACTTCCAGATGGTGCCTAAGGGTTGAACAGCCATTCCGAAATAGCACCGTGGAGCTTAGTAGCTATCTAAAAGGGTAACTGAGTCTGGGTGGCCATTCCAAGATGGCTTCTAACTTCTGGACAGTCATTTCAAAATGGCACCCTAGGGTGTAACAGGCATTCTGAGGGGGTGCCTGAGTTCTGGGCAGCCATCTCACAATGGCATCAAAGTTCTAAATACCCATTTCAAGATGGTGCCCAAGAAGTGAGCAGCCAATGCAAAATGGCAACCGAGTTCTGGGAGGCCATTTCAAAACGGCACCCAAGTGCTGGACAGCCATTTCAAGATGGCACCTTAGGGCTTAGCAAGTATGTTGAGAGGGTGTGTGAGTCCTGGATACCCATTTCAAAATGGCATCAAAGTTCTAAATTGCCATTTGAAGAAGGTGCCTGTGAGTTGAACATCCATTCCCAGATGACATGCTAGGGCTATGTAGCCATTCCTCTTAGAGCTTATCTCAAAATGGCAACTGAGTTCTGGGCAGCCATTTCAAGATGGCACACCATTTCTAGTAGCCATTTCAAGATGGAACCCTGGGGCTTCATAGCCACTCCAAAGCTGGTGCCTGACTTCTGGGCAGCCATTTCAAGATGGTATCTGAATTCTGGGCATTCTTTTGAAGGTAATGCCCGAGGGCTGAGCTGCCATTCCAAGATGGTTCCTGAGTCCTGGGTGGCCATTCCAGGGTAGCCCTCAAGGGCTGAGCAGCCATTAGCCCTTAGGGGCCTGGTAGTGAGTTTAGCAGTACCATCCCCACATTAGAGACCTTTGTTACAGACTAAAAGGTGACAGATTCAGGAGCGGATCTTGAGGACCCAGCCTCAGAGGTCACAGAGTCCTGTCAAAGAAGTCATTCCCAAAAGGAGGGTCTTGTAGGGATCCTGAGCCTGCAGTGGGAAATCCTAGGTCCCTCCTCAGCAGGCGGAGTACTGAACAGTCTCCGCGACCTGACAGAGGGCCCGGATAGCGCCCCGTTCCCAATTCCAGAGCTAAACCAGGCCACCCTCAGTCTGCCCTGGAAACACAGCAAGGTCAGGTTGGGTCTAGGTAAGAACTCTCCAGGCTTCAGGGCACTGGAGCTGGGGACGCGGCATGAAGGGGGCAGCTGGCGTCTGTGACTGGCTGACATCCCCACTCCTCCTCTGTCCCTCACTGTCTCCTTCCTTGCCTCTCTTTCCACCCTTTCTTCACCTCTCCCTCTCCAGCTCCCTTCCTTCTTCTAAAGTAATTAAGTATTTATTATTTGAAGAAATCATAAATAACAACAAATCAGGGTGTCTGGCAACATTATCATTAAGATGTTCTGTAGGATCCGGGTGTGGTGGCACACCCCTGTCATCCCAGACTGTGGGAGGCCAAACCAGGAGGATCACAAGTTCAAGCCCAGCCTCCGCAATTTAGCAGTTTAGCGAGACCATGTCTCAAAATTTTAAAAAGTAAAAGCTGGGCGTGAGTCAGGGATTTAGCTCAGTGGTTCCACAGCCTGCCTCATAAGCGAAAGGTCCCGAGTTCGATCCCTGGTACCAAAAAAAAAAGGCTGGGCGTGATGGTGCACACCTGTAATCCTAGAATTTGGGAGGGTGAGGAAGGAGGATCACCAGGAGTTCAAGGCCAGCCTGGACTACAGCAAGAACCTGTCTCAAAAAAACAAAAAAAATTAAAATAATCTTTTAAATGAGCTGAGCTGAGGATAGAGCTCAGTGCAAAGGCCCTGGGTTCAATCCTCAGTGCTAGGGGAATTGGGAGAGGTTCTGTAGGAAATAAATAAATGCACAATAAACTAGGGGAGGAAGATTGCCATAGACCAGACAAGGGGCTGGTGTCCTATATGAAAAGTTCTTGCAAAGCAAGAAAAACCTAAATCTCAGTAGGTCTATTAAGAAAGGAAGTAGGGCCGGGATGTGGCTCAGCAGCGTGGCACCTGCCTGGCAAGCCTAAGGTCCTGAGTTCCATCCCTGGTACCGGAAAAAAAAAGGGATGTGAACAGGAGTTTCACAGACTGCTGATAGCTAATAAAAAGGGGCCCCAAATGAGGTGGTGCACACCTGTGATTCCTGGAGCATCTTGAGTTCGAGGCCAGCCTGGACTGCAAGAGAAAGGCGGCTGGGGAGTCAGCCTGGAGAACTTTAGGTAATCACAGTGTATGTGAGAGCGTGACGCTGTAGGCTTCTTTCTCCCTCCGTCTCCTATTTAAGCAGATCCTTCAGACGTCAGGCAGGCGGCATATGAGAAAACTTAGACTCTGAAAAGCCAGAACCTCTACCACGCTGAGCCTGGAGTAGAGCGGTTCCCTAGGAGGTGACCTAAGGCTTTCTGTCCCCTCCCTGCTCCTGCCATCTCTGCCCTCATCCTGTCTCTCCCCACCCACCCGGAAGCCTGCTCCCAAGTCGAGCTGTCCGGGTCCCCTGGGTAGTGTGGCCTGCAGGAAGCCCTCTGCCGTCACCCATCCACCCAGAGGGTCCGACCACCCTGACCTGAGCTGTGGGGTGGGCTGGGGTGGGGCCTTCAGCCCCAGGCAGAGCCCGGGTAGAGGAGGAAGCCCAGCAGATGCAAGCTCTCCAGGCCCTGTGGGCAGCGTCTGTGGGCAGAGTCCCAGGTGCCGGAGAAGGATGGGGTGACCATGTGTGTCCCGCAGTCCACACCCTGTGCCCCTTTGCCCTATGGGAACTGATGCTCCACACTCTGAGAAGGGGACCTGTTGCCATCTGGTCCCTCTGGATTCGGGCCCGGAGAAACCTTCCAGTCCCCAACCTTTGAGCCTGTGCTGTTATGAGCCAAGTTCACAACAGGCTCTGGAGTCACCATGAGCCTGCTTTGGGGGTTGTTTTGGTTATGGTTTTTGGTTTTTGAGTTTCTTTGGTTCTGGGGATTGAACCCAGGGCCTTTGCACTGAGCTCCACCCTCAGCCCTTTTTTATGTTTTATTTCGAGACAGAGTCTCACCATGTTGCCCAAAATAGCCTCAAACTTGAAACCCTCCTGCGTCGGCTTCCCATAGTGCACCACCATCCCCAAGAATGGCCCCACAAGCCTCTTCTTTAAGCAGATCCTGTCATAGGCTGAGGTGTGGCTTAGGGGTCAGTGCTTGCCTGACACATGTGAGGCCCGGGCTTCCATCCCCAGCACCACAGAAACATAAAGTGAAATTAAGGTCCGTGAGCAGAAGGGTTCCTGTGCCTGTGGCCCTGAGCTCTGCCGAGTCCCCTTTTCAGACACAGTCGAGCATTGTGTGGCAACAGGGACACAGCCTAAGAAGCGAGTCATGGGCACCTCTGTCACTGCACTCACCAGGAGGCCCCATGTTTTCACCACGAGCCCATGTTGCACATCAGCACCAGGGTTGGTACAGACACACATCACAGCTCAGTCCTTTTCACTTCCTCCCCTCCTGTCCATCCCCTCTCCTTCCTTCCCCAGGCCCCTTCTCATGTCCACAAAGTCTACCTCCCTGTTTCCTACCATCTAGCCTTCATTTTGCTCTTTAATTTATTTATACTTTGGGTTTCTCATGTAAGAGAAACCACACAGTACTTAACCTTCTGTGCCTGCTTTATGGCACTTACCGTTAGGGTGTCAAGATGCATCCATTTTCCTCCACATGATTCAGGTTTATCCTTCTTCATGGCAGAGCAGTACTCCGCCGGATGTAAACACATTTTCTTTATGAGTGATGCAATTGTATGGTGATGCCTTGACCGAAACATCTTTTTGCGGTGCTTGACTGTATAAAGTTGTACAGGGTCAAGAAGTAGTCCGCCCCTGGGCATCACAGTGCACACTAGTAATCCCAGTACTCTAGGAGATGGAGGCAGGAGGATCACCAGATCCACCCCAGCCCAGGCAACTCAACGATTTAGCAAGACCTTGTCTCAAAATAAAAATATTTTAGGAAGGACTGAGGCTGTAGCGTGGTGTGAAAGCCCTGGGTTCAATCCTCAGCAAAAAGAATGTTGAAATCTGCAGTTCACAGTGACTGGGCAGCCTGCGCTGCAGTGAACTTGAGAACCCTCCTCGTGACTTGGAAACCCTGCATGCTCAGACGTTCCTACTTGGAAGGTTCTTTCCCTGTGTGGGGCACATGGGCAGAGATTTCTGGCCACTCTGTGTGCGTCTCCTGCTCTGGACTCTCTCGGGGAGTAGAGGCGGGGGAGATTGTTTGGCCAGTGCCAGGAACTTGGTCCAGCGGGACCGTGGCAGACTGCATCTGGGGCCGTCACTGCCTGAATACTGGACAGGCCCCGCACAGCCCCAGTGGCCTGGATCAAGCCAGTCCTGCTACCTCCCCTCTAACTGCCCAAAGCAGTGAAGGAGCCCAGAGCTGCTACTTTGCCCTCAAGGAAAGTTAGAGAATCCACTCCTCCTCACTGCAGATTCCCACCTCTGTGGCCTGTGAGCGCAGTGCTTTCTGACTTTCCTTGTGGGCAGAGTAGAGGAGGTCCGAGGCTCTCAATTTGCTTCTTCTCCTTAGTCTTTTGCTTTATCTGTCCCTGTCTGCTCCCAGCAAGTGTCAGGTTTCTCTCTGGATGTACCAGTCCCTTAGCCTCCCTGTGCCTCAGTTTCCCCATGCAGCAGGGAACGCGGACTAGGCCATAATAAACACAGTGACCCCACACACACACACACGCCACCCAGTTGGGCTCTGTGATCCCGGCACTTGGGACGCTGAGGCAAGAGGACTGCCCCAAGTTCAAAGCCATCCTGGACTACATAGCTAGTCCCTGTCTCAAAAACAACAGACAAAAACAATTGCAGCCTTGTTTGTAATCTGCATCCACAGTGCGAAAGCAGGGCTATTGTCAGCCTTGGTTAGCAGATGGGGAAACTGAGGTACACAGGGAAGTGGGTCCAGCCCGGACCTGAGGCGGCCCCAGGAGGTGCAGGATCTCCCAGGCCAGGTGAGGCCGGTCCTCTCGAGTGCAGAGGCCAGGACTCTGCCTGGGCCGAAACTGTGGTCCCGACCTGAGCGCCCCCACCCTCCCGAGACTGTGTGTGTGTCCTCCATCCCCTACCGTGTCCGTGTCCCTGTGACTCCATCAGCACACCATTTCACAAGCCATTGGCATCGCCCGAATGTCACACACTCTGCCCAGGCCTGGGGCAGTGGCTGACAACACTCAGCAGGACCACGATCCTGTCCTCACTGCCAGAAGCCCGTCAGGTGTGGCTCCTGCCCCCAAGGCGGGACTACAGGCCAGCACTGCTGACAGAGTGCCTGGATCAAGCCGTGCCTGCACCCATAGGGGCCACACTTCCAGGAAGCCACAGAAGGAGCCCCTTTGCTTCCATTTTATCTTGAAACAGACGCCACTTGAAAGGCATTATTCTCCCTGTGGGGGAGGAAATGGAAAGAGGAGCAGGTGGGTTCTCGAGCCTGGGTTTGAAACAGCCTGCTACTGCCCAGCTGCATGGCCTAGGGATAATTGTTCTCCCTCTCCGGGCTTCAGTTTCCTCATCTGGCAAGTGGGCATCACAGTCCCATCTTCATGAAGTCAGATGCAGTGACGTTCACAGAACTTCCGGGTTGCACTCAAAGTCAGCAACCCAAGCAGAGATCACTGTCAACGGAAGTTCCTTCAATTGTCCACAAAGTAGAATCTGTCCACGTTTGCGTGCGCTGATCCTTGGACACACTGCGGGGCGTGGTGGCGCACAGCTGGAATCCCAGCACTCCGGGAGGCTGAGCCAGGAGGGTCACCATGAGTTCAGGGCCAGCCTGGGCTACATAGCAAGACCCTGTCTCAAAAACCCAAAAACATAGTAAATATGTACTAAAGCCAAGGGCTCATGGGACCCATGAAGTGTATGAGTACCCTACCCCATTTCCCAGATGGGGTCAGGAGAGACAAGCAGGATTTAAACCCAGGCCCTCTCCCAACCCAGAGCTCATCTTTCCAGACCAGCTTCACCCTCCCAGGCCAGAACTTCTGGGAACAAAAGGGATTTCCTTCGCCTTGGTGGCCCACAGCTACTTGAAATGTGGCTTCCTTGGGTGCTCTGGCCAGGCAGGGATCGAGTCTGGTGGATGTGGGGCCAGAGGCATGACGAGATCTGCCGTCCTGATCCACCCCTCCGGGTCCCCGGGCGGGAATCGGGGGCTTGGGGACCATGCGGCGGTGTCGTGTGTACGTGTCTGTGCGTGTCCTGTGTTCTCTTCTGAGGCCGCTTACGACCTGTCTCTCCCTCCAACGCCACCTCTCCAGGAGCAGCACACGGTAAAGTCTCTCGCTCTCGCTCGCTCGCTCTCATTCTGTCTCTCGTCCTCCGTGCTCTGGTGCAGTCACGTCAGTTCTGGCCTCTTCTCCATGGCCCTGTGCCCTTGCGGCTGTCCTGTTGCTTATGATGACCAGAATCTACTCTCCCGTGGCCAAGGGGACCAAGGGCTCTTGGCTGTGACCTCGCCGTGACTCACCAGCTCTGGCAGAAAATAGAGCAGGCGATGGGGTCTGGGGCGGGCGGTTAGCAGAGTCGGGGCCTCTGGCTCCCCAGGTGGGAGAAGCCAGGAGGCTCTAGCTGGAGAGAGCAGGTGCACCCTTCGAGGTGTCTGCACATGCAGCAAGTCTGGCTTCAGGAACAGTGCCTGTGTTCCCTGGGGTCCTCTCAGGACAGCTTCTGGGCCTCGGGTCCTTCCTCCTCCTGGGGGAGAGAGCACTAATGCTGGTGGGGTCCATCTCAGATGAGGGAACGCAGGCACCCAGGCAGACAGTTCTCCAGCAGCAGTCCTTTGGCACATGCAGAGTTCAGCCCTTAGCTACTCGGGAGACTGAGGCAGGAGGATGTCGAGTTCATCCTGGGTAACAGCAATTTAGCAAGAACCTGTCTCAAAATAAAAACAGGCTAGGAAATGTAGCTCTGTGGTAAAGGGCTTGCCTAGCATACAGGAGGTACTGGGGTACAAATGAGGGGAAATTGTGGGTGTCTGGATGCCATAAGACCACCGGCACACATTGAAGTTTCTGCTGCAATAAAGACGCCAGGTGTGGTGGCACACGCCTGTGATCCCAGCACTCAGGAGGCTGAGACAGCCCAGCCTGGACTACATAGCGAGACCCTGTCTCAAAAACAACTTACTGAGACTGCTGGGTCTTGTAGCACTAAAATGTAGCTCTTCTGACTCCCTGAAGAATACCAGAAAGGTACCTAAAAGAAAGGCAAAATTTTTTTTAATTGATGTTTTTGCACATGGCTCTGCAGGCTCATCATAGTGAGGGCCTCAGGGGCCGTGACCACAGGAAGAGGTTTTCACCCAGGAACACTGTCCTGGGTCCATTCAGGGTCCTTGGGCCAGAGCTGGGTCGGGAGCCAGGGTCAGAAAAAGTGGAGCTAGCAGCAATTCCGGCGCCAGCCCCGGGCCCTCTGTCCAGTGCCAGGCGTCAGGATCCTCCCAAGGCAGGGCTAAGGCGGCAGAGCCAGTGAGGGGTTGGCCTGGAACTTGGACTTGGAGTTGGGCTGTGCCTTGGGAGTGGACGAAGACAAAGGGCATGGCTGAGGCAGGAGCCACACGGCAAAACCCAGACAGAGGCTGGCAAGCTTTCAGGAGCCGGGTCTGCGTGGCGAGTCAGGCTGGATTTCAGAGAGCATCGAGGGCTGTGTCCAGAAGTCTGCATAGCTCTGCTAAGAGTCCAGTCTCCGGGATTCTCAGGGACTGTGACCTGCTCTGCCTGCTGGCTTCGGCCACCGTGGGCAGAAACAGGGGAAGAAGAGAAAATGGGGATTTGGGGAAGGAGGTGGTGAAGGGTGGGGGCGTCTGAGGCGGACGACGTTTGGGGAGATGCCCCAAAGTGGAGGAGGCCGGGGTGGCACAGGCAGCCGGGACTCAGAGCTGCTGGTGCGGGCCCTGGGTGGGGGTGGTGCCACTGTCCACCAGCCCTTCCTGGGTGTCTGGGACCTGCGAGGTCTACGTTGCTGAGCTCGGCCTGGCAGAGCCTGGGTCACATCTTGGTGAAGCCCTGTGGTGGCCATGGGTGCAGATGCCCTCCAGAGGCTGAGGCAGGAGCCCATGATGGCCAGCATCGGCATCTGAAATGACCATGGGGTGTTTTCCTCCCTGTGGGCCCCAGATAGGCACAAGGAGGTCTCTGTCCAAAGGGCGTCCTCAGTCCTGTTGGAAAGAGGGGGACCCCATTGTCTAAAACCATTTTTAAAGAGAGCACAGGAGCCCTCGACTCCCACCCCAAGAAGTTTCTTGGAAATCACTGTGCAGGGATTAGGGGTGGGCAGCAAGCTGAGGACCACCCCACGCCAGGTAGCATCAGAAACCAACCCGAGCCAGGCGTGATGCCACACTCCTGTGATCCCAGCACTCGGGAAGCTGAGACAGGAAGATTGCTGTGAGTTTGAGGCCAGCCTCAATAGCCAGCCTCTGTCTCAAAAGAAAAAGAAACCAACCCTGAGACCAGAACCCCAAGAGCCTCAGCCTGCTGCCTCCCCTGCCCAGTCGGAGCAGGCAAACCCGGCAACTCTTGTCAAGGAAGGGCAGGGTGCACCTGGCTCACACCAGACTTTAGACCTGAGAAGGTGGGGTCAGTGGAGCTGCAAGACTTCCCACCTCCCACTCCTGACTGCCACTCTTTCTCTTCCCTTCTCCCTGCCCTGATGTCCCTCCACAGTGGCAATAGCAAAGGAAAGGACATCAACACAATTAAATCTCTCCGAGTCCTCCGGGTGCTACGACCTCTCAAAACCATCAAGCGGTTGCCAAAGCTTAAGGTGAGATTCCAGAAGGTGGGGGTGGAGAGGGTGCTTTCAGGGTTGCCATATACAATTGAACAGGTTGTACACTGCTCAGTACCACGTCAGGTAGATGTGGTACACACCTGTAATCCCAGCTACTTAGGAAGCTGAAGTGGGAGGATCACGAGTTCAAAGCCAGCCTGGTCAGTTTAGACCTTTTCTCAACATTTAAAAAGAGAGGGGCTGGGGATTTAACTCGGTGGTGCCATGCCTGAGTTCAATCCCCAGTACCAAAACCAAAATATTTTTTTAAGATATTGTTTTTTAAAAGGTCTGGGGATGTAGCTCATTGCACAGGACCTGGGTTCAATCCCTAGAACTGCAAAAATAACAATTAAAAGGAAGGTGGATTAGTAGTAAGTGCTTGCCTAGCATATGTGAGTTCCTGGGTTCGATTCCCAGTACTCTTAAAACTTTTTGTCAAGAACATTACACCAGGGGCTGGGAATTTAGCTCAGTGGCACCACGCCTGCCTCACAACTGCAAGGTCCTGAGTTTGATCCCTAGTACCAAAAGAAAAAGGCCAAGGATGTAGCTCAGTGGCACCGCACCTGCCTAGCAACCACAAGGTCCAGAGTTCAATCTGCCATAGTGGGGGGGGGGGGAATATTACATGGAAAGGAGTGCTGATAACATTTCACAACCTTCACAAATGAGAGTATATTTATTATTACAATGTCTAGCAGGTAGCAGTAAAGTGAATTCGCCTGACAACCCTTACTATTATAGCAGTTTTACACTATGTGAAATGTCAAGTCTGATTCCTTGTCTTAATTCATGTGAAGGTATTTTATCGACATTTCCAAAATGAGGGGATCATTCTAACCTGAGAAGCAGGAAATTAAGCTTCTGGTCCTATGTAACCTTTAACTCATTATCCACTTAGTGTAGGTTCCCAATTTCCCCATTCCAAAATGTCTGAGCCAGCATTTCCCAAAAGCTTACCATGGAAAGAAGAAAGAAGAAGGGAAGAGAGGAAGGGAGGGGAGATAAGGAGAATCCTGGTATTCAAGCACCCCTTTTCAATTTAGGTTTCACATAAGGGCCACCTGTATCACTTGATATGTTTCATTAAGTCAGGTCACTTAATTTTTCTTACTTAAGTGAGCTTATTTTAAAAGGAAAGGCTCAGCTGGACATAGTGGTACATGCCTTTCATCCCAGCACTTGGGAGGCTGAGGCAGGAGGATCACAAGTTCAAGGTCAACCTGGGCTCCACAATGAGTTCAAGGCAACCCTATCTCAAAAAAGCCAAAGAAAACTTAAAAGGCTCTGCCACATCTCTCACGTGAAAATCCAGACCCCACTGTTAATAGAAGATAAAACTAAACTTTTCTTGTAAGAAAATGAAATGCTGCTACTAAAAGCTAGCCAAAGAAGCCTCCAGGCCAAAGGCTTTGAATATGGATAGCTGCTCTTTCTTGGCTAGGAGAAAGTAGCAGGGAGAGGAATGGGAGACAAAAAAATTAATTGAAAAACAAAGTGAAAAGAGAAAGTACCATGGTCAGGCACTAACATAGTAGCATCAAAGCAGGACTCTCTCCCTTGCTCAAAAGGAATGGAAGGAAACTGGAGAGGAATAACTCTGTTACCATGTGATTCTATGCTGGGTTCCTGTGTCATCTAAAAGTATCTCTGAGCAAGGCAAGGTGGCGTAGGCATGTCATCCCAGCACTCTGGGGAGGCTGAGGCAGGAGGATCCCAAGTTTGAACCCAGCCTAGGCAACTTAGCAGTTTGGCAAGAACCTGACTCAAAATAACAAAAATGGCCTGGGGATGGAGCTCAGTGCAAAGGCCCTGGATTCAGTCCCCAGTTCTGGAAAAAATAAAAATAAAATGAAATACTTGATTTCAGGTACTTCTGATGTCCTGTTTGTGAGAAAGTGTCCCTCCTGACTGGAAATCAGATGAGTGTCCCATTTAGGGGATGCATGTTAAACAAGAGAGATGGCTGCACTTCAGAATTAAAAGCTTGAAACACATGGGACCTCAGTCATTCAGTTCACCATCTTCCCATCACAACCCCCCTTGAACACCTGAAAACCTGTCCTTCCTACCCTGGAGAAGGCTGGCCACACTCCACCCATGAGCCCCTTAGCCTCAGCCATCCTTGACAACCACTTGTGATTGGGAAATAATGCAAATTTGGAGTCAAATAGAAGACATTCTGAAAAGGCCAAGGCAAATCCAGAAACCCCCAGCCATGTCCAATGGGCAGAGCTGCAGTCAGTGAGGTGGGGGACATTCCAAGCTGGGACCCCCTAATCTTCTCTGGGAGAGGATGGGAGATTCCATCTGGCATGTACAGATTCAACTGGCTTGAAAACACTATGTTGAAGGAGGTGCTAGTAATATCGCAGCCTTCCTATGCCTTATCCCAAGCACACAGAGTCATCTCTGAAATCCAGAGAATTCCCCACTTCTCAGCAGGCAAAAAGGAGACCACAAGGGAAGCTGAGGGAGGACAGTGGTCTTTCAACCATCTCTGGATCACTTAGAACCCTTGGTACAATGAAAATATGGGGAAGTCATTGTTATACTGTTCTGTTTAGGAAATCAGGACTAGGAAAAATCTACATGCTCAGGACAGATAGAATTTTTTCCAAATATTTTCCATCCAAGGTTGGTTGAGTCCATAGATAACCTATGGGTGCCCAGCATGGGTAGCACATGCCTCTAATTCCAGCTATTCGTGAGGCCGAGGCAGGAAGATCTTGAGTTCAAGGCCAGCTTGGGCTACATAGGGAGACTCTGTCCTTCCATTCACCCACCCCCCCCAAAAAATAGAACCCACAGGAACAGAGGGGGACAACTCTCCTTCAGTGGCACAGGCTGCTGGAACAGGCTGGCCAGGGTCCTAGCCCCTCTCCTCTTTCTCGCCCACCCCCAGGCTGTGTTTGACTGTGTGGTGAATTCACTCAAGAACGTCTTCAACATCCTCATTGTCTACATGCTCTTCATGTTCATCTTCGCGGTGGTGGCTGTGCAGCTCTTCAAGGGGAAATTTTTCCACTGTACTGACGAGTCCAAGGAGTTTGAGAAGGATTGTCGGTGGGTCTCACTCCCTGGGGCTGGCACAGGCTAGGCCATGGCCAGGGGCACCAATGACCAGGGCTTGGAGATGGGAGCCCTTTGGTGTTGAGAGGGAATCGATGGTAACTAACCTGGATCTGGATAAGAAAAGTTTGGGGGCCAGGGATTTAGCTCATTGGTTCTGCCACCTGTCTCATAAGCGCAAGGTCCTGAGTTTGATCCCTGATAGAAAAAAGAAAAGTTTGGGAATTTGAATACCCTACCCTACCCCATCACAGCAGGAAAATCATAAACTTTTGTCTCCTTTGTCACATGGGGGCATTAATACACTTGCATGGGTCCTCCTTTGAAGCTTGCCACATGCAGATATTAAAACACATCCATCAAGCTTTCTTTGAAACCTTTCTGACAGAGCTGTTCCAGCATTCAGTATCATAGGGTGGGGGTGCAGCTCAGTGGTAACCACTTGCCTGTCATGCATGAGGCCCTGGGTTTGATCTTCAATAGCACAAAAAAAATTTTCATCATATTTTGAGACAGGAAGTTTGTACACTGCATGCCCCACCTAAGGCATGAATACTCCCAGCAGCCCTGAAATCAGACAGAATATTTCTGTCGAGAAACATGCAGCAATTTGTCCCAAATATGGTAAATAATGAGTATAAAGAGTGTTCCATCCAATCAGGGCTGGGTTTGTTGCCAGATGAATTACATTCATCATTAATTCTTTCTGACCAAGGGCCAAGAGGTAATTTTGTCTTTGCAGACCACATGATCTCTGTTTTGCTTGCCCAGTTTTGCGCTTATATCTCAGAAGTAGATGTAGGTACTAGACCAATGAACATGCATGGTTGTACTCCAATAAAACTTTATTTCTGGAAACTAAATGCTTAAAAAAAACACACCAGGGATTATGTTGTCCAAGCTAGTTATGAACTGTTGGGCTCAAGGAACCTTCCTGCCTCAGCTTCCACAGTAACTCAAACTACAAGTATTTGCCAACACACCTGGCTGGAAACTGAAATTTGAGAAATACCAAGACCCTGTCACACACACACAAACACACACACACACACTCCTGAAATTTGAATTTTATATGATTTTTTAATTGTCATGAAAGCATATGTTATTTAAATGTAAATGTTCTCAGCTTGCAGGCCCTACAGTGGTGAGTGGTCCAGTTTGGGCTGTGAGCTGTGGCTGACCAGTCCCTGCATGAGGAGGAAGAGATTTGGCCCTCAGACCTTCCTGGGTTTTAGAATTGTGCAGAAGGGTTGTGACCTCAGGGCACTCTCCCCTGTCACGGAGCCAATGTCATGACTGATTCTCAGATATCCAGGGGATTGATTCTGGAATCTGTTTGGATACCAAATTCAATAGGTGCTCGAGGCTCTTAAAATGGCATAATAGCCAGACATGGCGGCCCACACCTGTGATCCCAGCACTCTGGGAGGCTGAGGCAGGAGGATCACAAGTTCAAGCCCAGCCTGGGCAACCGAGCCACTTAGCTGGACCCTGTCTTGAAATAAAAAAGGGCTGAGGATGTAGCTCAGCCCCAAAGCCCTAGGTTCAGTCCCCAGTACTGCAAAAGAAAAAAGGAAGAGAGGGAGGTAGGAGAGAAAAGAGAGAGAGAGAGAAAGAGAGAGAGAGGCAGGCCAATGCTCCGAGCCCTCCTCCTGTTGACTAATGGTGCCCTGTCCACGGCAGCGGCAAGTACCTCCTGTATGAGAAAAATGAGGTGAAGGCCCGGGACCGAGAGTGGAAGAAGTATGAGTTCCATTATGACAACGTCCTCTGGGCCCTGCTGACGCTCTTCACAGTGTCCACAGGAGAAGGATGGCCACAGTGAGTACACACGGAGAGGCTGAGGCAGGAGGAGCTCAGGGCCTGGGGAGCAGGATGAGGGGCTGGGAGAAGGGTGGCTGTTGCTTCACAAGGTGGGGAGGGCCAGGGATTTAGCTCAGTGGTTCTGCCGCCTGCCTCACAAGCAAGGTGGGGAGCCTTGTAGATCCAAGGGGCCGTGGGCTAGGGGGAGGCAGGGAAGCTGAATCATGCAAGTTCAAGAATGGACCTGGTCTTTACTGAAAATCTTGAGCCAGGCATGGTGGCCCACACCTCTCTCCCAGCTACTCAGGAGGCTGAGGCAGAAGGATGGCAAATTTGAGGTCTTAAAAATTAAAAAGGCTGGGAGTGTGGCTGAGTGGTAGAACATCCCTGGGTTCAGTCCTCAGCAGTACCAAAATACCCCACAAAAAACCCAACCTAATATTTAATTCATCAAGAACTTTTTGCCATTCATTTTGATTTTTTAAAATACCACAGTGAGATTTTTTTTTAAATCCTGATTGCTTGTGTTTTGGGAGCCCTCATAATTTTTACCCAGGACAGACGCCTCCCTCTCCTCTCCTCATCCTGCCCTGGGCTTCCTCCTTGAGTCACGAGGATGTCTGGTTGGAGGCTGACAGAGCCCAGCACATGCCTTCTCTCCCTCCCCATCAAACACGAAACCCAAACACGCACGTCTACACCCCATGCCCACCTCTAGGACCCACACAAGTGAAGTCAGTGCTAGCCACAAGGCACCTTCAAGTGAATTATTTTTAAGCTGCCCATTTACCAGGCTTCACTTCTGTGTGTCAGAAAATCATTGCTGTACACCTAAACGATTTTGTTCAAATAAGACACTTAATGGCAACCTGCCAAAAAAAATCATCACAAATATACAAATCTGTCATGGCTACTATATGAAGTAGCACTGATGAAACACAGACCTCTTGGGCAGTGCACAACCTGTGCAGCTTTACAGAGCTGCTGTGCACAGATACTCTCCCACATGCATCCCTATCACACCTCCTCAGGGCCCACCACCTCCTGCAGCACAACTGACATACTCCTGCCATCACTCCCTGCTCACTCCCACTCATCAGCACAAATCTGGCTTCATTGTATACCTAAAATGTACCAATGAAATTAATAAAAAAAAAACACCAAAGGAAGACTCTTATGTTACATTAAACTGAAAAAAAAAATCTAGTTTCAAATCCCAAAGGGACCACAGCAGCTCCCTTTAAATTGCCGAGCCTCAGTTTCTTTGTGCATAAAAGGGAACTGGTCATCACCTCCCTGAGAGGTTTGCTGGGAAAACAAATGTTGAACATTATTTTTGGCACACAATAAACCATGATACGTAGCCATAGACATAACTGGCACCATTACCAGGGGACTTTCATCTCTCTTCCATCCTCTTTCCGTGTTCCCTCCTCCCCCCACCCCACCATTCTGCAGGGTGCTTAAGCACTCCGTGGATGCCACCTTTGAGAACCAGGGCCCCAGCCCCGGCTACCGCATGGAAATGTCCATCTTCTACGTCGTCTACTTTGTGGTCTTCCCCTTTTTCTTCGTCAACATCTTTGTGGCCTTGATCATCATCACCTTCCAGGAGCAGGGGGACAAGATGATGGAGGAGTACAGCCTGGAGAAAAATGAGGTACTGCATCCTGGTGCCCCGCAGATACCACATACACCCAGGAACCCCCCCCCCGCCCCGCCCCGTCCCGCATGCACATGCACACAAACTCACCCAGGAACCAGCTTCCAGGGCCCCGGGGCAGAACAGCAATGGCCCCAATCAGGGCACAGTGTGCAGGGTGACCCCTCCCTCAGTCTCTAAGGGAAAAGCCATCGGTCACATGGCACGTGTATGAGTCAGCTTACACCAGGTTATGCCTCAGTAATGAGCATTCCTGCACTGGCACAAAGGGGCCGATTCTCTCCCATGCTGCAGACTGGCTCTTTTCTGTGGTATCTTTACTCTGTCCCCAGCCTGGCACAGCCACCTTCCTCTGAGATCCTTCAGAGCCAAACGAGGGGGCAGACCACTTTGCTCACACCGTCCTTAGCCAGACCAGATCCTGCGTCTGTGTCTGATGTCAGGGGCAGGGAAGGACCTAGAGCACATTCAATCTTTGCCTCTCCACCTCCCTAAAAGAAAAAGTAGGAGAAGCGAGATATTCAAGAAAGAATGGCTATGATATGCAGTTGGCTCTCATTTGAGTCCAGACTCAGCCCCCTTGGCCGCTGTGCCTCCTCAGACAAGCAGCTCTGCCTCTCTGAGCCTGTATTCCTCATCAGCAGAGCAGGCTATAGACTCGTCTTGGCTGAGGAGAGTCTGAGATCATGAGGCCTCCCCACTCACAAGCTGGCCGGCAGGGTGCAGCTTCCGGGGCAGCTGTGGTGCAGGAGGAGGGGAGCAGTTCTGAGGAAAACAAGTAGCAGGAGCCCCGGCATCTGGATAGCTGCGCCTGGGAGCTGTGTGGGGTCGGGGGCAGAGGGCTCGACATCCGGCCCCTTACGTGTCTGTCTCCTCACCCCAGAGAGCCTGCATCGACTTCGCCATCAGTGCGAAGCCGCTGACCCGGCACATGCCACAGAACAAGCAGAGCTTCCAGTACCGCATGTGGCAGTTTGTGGTGTCCCCGCCATTCGAGTACACCATCATGGCCATGATTGCCCTCAACACCATCGTGCTGATGATGAAGGTGAGCCATGGCCACCTCTCCCCTCGGCAACAAACTCGGTCACCTCCCAGCCCTCGCGCCAGCTGCTCCCTCCGCTGTCCACACTGTTCCCACCACACTTTCTGGCCAGCTCCTGGTCCCAGTTGCCCCAGAGGACCCCTCCCCTGACTGCCCCAAACTGCGCCAGACCCTGTCTTGGCCGGCTTCCTGGTGACACGAGGAAGTTAGTGTTGAGTACTCAGTGGAGTCTCCACCATCCTAAGAGCTCTTGGAGCCACAGCCCTGAATCCATAGACCTCAGCCAGGGTCTGACTCAGCAGGAGGACACCCCCAGGAATGTATGTGATACACCTGTCATCCCAGCAATCCAGGAGGCTGAGGTAGGAGGATTCCAACTTCGAGTCCAGTCTGGGTGTCTTAGCAAGACCCTGTTTCAAAGATAGCTTTGGTTTGTTTTTCTTTTCGGTACCGGGGATCAAACTCAGGACCTTGTGCTTGCAAGGCAGGTGGCAGCACCACTGAGCTAAATCCCTGGCACTTTTATTTTATTTTATTGGTACCGGGGATTGAACTGGGGACCTTGTGCTTGTGAGGCAGACAGTGGAACCACTGAGCTAAATCCCTGGCCCTGACCCTGTTTCTATTTAAAAAATAGAAGAGGTTGGGGATGTAGCTCAGGGCAGAGCCCCAGTGCTAAAAAGATGGGTAGGGGGAGGAAGGAACAAAGGAAGGAAGGGAGGGGAAAAGAAAGCACTGTGAAATGAGGGAGGAGGAATGAGTTGCAGGGCCTCAGAGCCTATTCATGGTCAAATCTCAAAATCTGTTACCCTGAGGTTCAGAGTTCTGGGTTCAAGTTCAACTCTGCCATGTAACTCACTGTTTCATTTCCCACAAGTCCCCAGTGATGTCCTGGGGCCTCACTTTCTCTGTCAATAAAATGGGAGGATTGGATGAGAAAACCCAGGCAATCTTAGTGCTTTCCTAGCACTTAATACATGTAGCTAATCATTCTTCTTTTTTCCAGTACTTAGGATTGAACCCAGAGCATTTGCACTGAACCTACATCTCCAGCTGTTTTTTAAAAAAAATTTTAATTTTGAGACAGGGTCTCCCTAAGTCACTAAATTGCTGGGCTCCAACTTGCAATCCTCCTGCCCCAGCCTCCCAGAACACCACCATGCCCAGCTTAGCTGTTAATTCTTTTTTTTATTGTTCTTTTGAGACAGGTTCTCACTGCGTGGCCCAGGCTGGCCTCAAACTCATGGTGATCCTCCTGTCTCAGCCTCCCGAGCACTGGGGTCACAGGTGTGTGCCACCACGCTCAGCTTAGCTGTTAATTCTTGAATGGCGGGAAGGCTGGGCTGATTCACTCCTGAAAGTTCTCTCCTATGGTGACCTCCTTGCTTGGTGGGGCTGAAACCAGGCATGGCACAGCCCTCTGCAGTATATTCCTGTGCTGGGTTTCTTCCTCGACATACATGTTAGAGTGGAGTTTATGTGTAAATTAGGCACAGGAGGTTGGGTGTGGCTCAGGGGCAGAGAGAATACTCAGCATGCGGAAGGCAAAGGCGTCACATTCCATCCCCAGCAACAAATAAGTAATAAGTAAGGCACAGGACTGAGATTAGCAACAGTGATTAATAATAAAGTAGAACATTCATGACAATCTGCTATAATAAATGTTAGCTAAAACTTACAGAATAGCCGAGTGCAGTGGTACACATCTGGTCCCAGATACTTGGGAAGCTGAGGCAGGAGGATCACTTGAGCCCTGAAATTTGAGGCTAGCCTGAGCAACATAGTGGAATCTTATCTCAAGGAGGGGAAAGTTTTTTTAATTTATGAATTATTTCTGGGATTTTTCCATTTATATTTTTGGACCTTGGGTAACTGGTAAGATGGTAAGATAAGGTGGGACTACTATATAAATAAGTTAGTTTCTTTTTTTTACTTTTCCATTTTTACTGTTCTGAACCATTTCACACAAGGAAACTGCCACGTGCATATGCATGTAATCCCAGCTACTTTGGTGGTGAGGCAGGAGGTACACAAGTTCAAGGCCCACCTGGACAACTACCCAGCATTCTGAGAGGCTGAGGCAGGAGGATCTCAAGTTCAAGTCTAGCCCAGGTAATTTAGTGAGAGCCTGTCTCAAAATATAAATGGGCAGGCCAGAGATTTAGCTCAGTGGTTCCAGCACCTGCCTTGCAAGCGCAAGGTCCCAAGTTCGATCCCCGGTACCAAAAAAAAAAAATATATATATATATATATATATATATATATATATATATATATATATATAAATGGGCTGAGGATGTAGCTCAGTGCAAAGACCCTAGGTTCAACCGTACCACAAAGGGAAAGAGAATGAGAGAGAGAAAGACGGGGGATCTGGAAGTGATGTATCTGAGATGATAAATACACTTGTTACCCCAAATTAAGCATTATACATTATAACATGTATTGAAAGATCACACTCTACCCCCAAAACATGTAAACTATTATGTGCCATTTAAATTATACATAAATACTTTTTAATTTTAGTTTTGATCTTGGGTGTTTGAGACAGGGTCTTGCTTTGTAGTTCAGGCTGCCTTGAACTCACTATGTAGACCAACCTGGTCTTGAACTGGCAATGATCCTCCTGCCTCAGCCTCCAAGTGCTAGGATGACAGGTGTGCACCACCATGCCCAAATACATATATATGTATAAATTTGTTTTGTTTTGTTTTGTTTTTTGTACTGGGAACTGAACTCAGGGCCTCATGCTTGCGAGGCAGGTGCTATGCCGCTGAGCTACGTCTCTGGCCCAACATATATATTTTAAAGCTTTCTACAATAAAAATACCTAAAAAGAAAAATCATATATTTTATCACAAATTATAAATTTTTCACATAAATGATTGTTAAAAAAAGAAAAGATTGATATTGTGAAATAGGAAGAAAAGGTCTAAAGGAGTAGGGGAAGTGGGAGGGGTAAGGGAAAGGAAAGAAGGGAAAAGAAAAAATATGAGAAAAGGAAAAAATGGAAACAAAACCTTTGTAAATAGGGAAGGGTGGAGGGGGTGAAGGGGGGACAGGGGAATGGGGAAAAAATAAGAACCAAGATACACCATGTACAGGTACAAGCTCCCAATGATGAATGTAACTGTGTTGTATACCTAAAATGCACCGATAAACTTAATGTAAAAAAATAAAAATTTAAAAAACTGAAGAACCACTCTGGAAAAAAAAAAAGAAAGGAAAGGAAAAGTCAAAGAAAGCAACCACAGACAGGATGCCTCCCTCTATATCCTGTCAGGGCTTTACCAAACCAGGCTGTCCTAGGATCTGGGATGCCAAGACAGATCAGAAGAAAGCTTTTGGCCAGGCATGGTGGTACACATCTTTTATCCCAGAACTTGGGAGGCTGAGGCAGGAGGATCACCTCAAATTGAGGTCAGTCTGGGCTACATAGCAAGTTCAAGGCCCGCCTGCACTACATAGCGAAACCCTGTCTCAAAAAAAATTTTTTTTCTTTTATTTTGAATATGAAAAGATGCCCACAGACCTGGGAAGATCTGGGCTTTTTGGAGCCTTTGCTCAGTCCTTTCCTAGTATCCAAGTCCTGCCCCAGGAAGGACACTCAGGAAGTTGGCTTCCTAGGCTGACCCTGCCACCCTCTCCTCTTCCTCCTCTAGTTCTATGGAGCCTCAGCTGCTTATGAAAATGCCCTGAGGGTGTTCAACATCGTCTTCACCTCCCTTTTCTCTCTGGAATGTGTGCTCAAAGTCATGGCCTTTGGGATTCTGGTAAGTATGGCCATGGGCACAACTGTGGGCTGGGGAAGCCAGGGGTCACTGGATGCTGGGCGATAGTCTCCCCACTCAGTTCCAGGACCACCACCCCCCAGGGTGGCTTAGGCATCATGCTGATGGCTACAAACCCTACTTCAGCATCCCTGTGCTCACCACATAATTCCATTGAGACCGATGCTTTTGAGTGTCACTGTACCCAAAACTGTAGGGATTCAGTTACTCCTCCAGAGGATCCCTTGAGAGAGCAGTTGTCATTCATTTAGAGATAAGGAGGCCACAATCAGAAGCTAACAAGTGCATGATGTTCACGATGTCTTAACCTCAATCCACAGAACCAATTGTCACTCATAGAGCCCTGCGTGCCAACAGGTGTGCAGATAACCAGCATGAAATGTTCAGGAAATCAGCATCTAATCTCGCCACATGCCTTAGACTCTACCCTACTCAGATCTGTTTCTTTTTCTTTTAAATGGATTTTATGAGCCACTAGCTTGATTTCATCTCCACTGATGCACACAGTCTTAACTACAGCCTTTTGGCCCCTAAGATTGGATCTGCAGATGAGGGTGGGGTATTGTGGCCTCACGGAAATTAGATGGAAAAAAAACCTCCCATCTTCATTTTTCACCACCCACTGACTTAATTGCAGCGTTTTGTTTCATCTTGAAGGCTGATGTGCTCATTCGCTTTCCATCACTGTCACAAAATACCTGAGTTAGTTAACTTCCAGGGAAGAAAAGTTTATTTGACTCATGGTTTCTGAGGTTTTACTTCATGGACTGTTGCCCTGTTGCATTTGGACCTGGGGTGAGCAGAGCATTATGGCAGGAATGTGATGGAGCAAAGCCACTCACCCCATGATGGCTGGGAAGCAGAGAGAGACAGGAAGGAGCCAGGGTCCTAATACCCCTTTGAGGCCACGCCCCATGACCTCATTTCTTCCCATTAGGCCCCACCTCTCAAAGATTCCACCACCTCCCTGCAGTGTAGCCTGTAGGCTAGGAGCCAAGCCTTCAACCCATAGGCCTTTAGGAGACACTTATCCAAAGCATAGCAGCAGATGACAAAACCTATGAAGTATTATCAGTATGGTCCATGTCACATGTAAAAATCAGATATTTTCACAGTGCATGACAGGGGTTGCAGATACCTCTGATTCTTATCCATGATCATTATTGTTTTAAAATGCTGGTGGCCATTAGACCTACATTGAGAACTTAGTATTTGGTGTATTGATGAAGTACATGAAGTGTTGGATCATTATTTTAAAAATTTTTTTGCAAAAGTATATCAATCAGAAGAACAGTTCTCCTTCTGATTCTGGCTATTTTTTCTCTCTCTCTCTTTTTTTTTTCCTGTACTGGGGATCAAACTCCGGTCCTTGCACTTTCGGGGCAGGTGCCGGAACCACTGAGCTAAATCCCAGCCCTGGCTATTTTATTTTATGGATTTACCAGTGTTACTCTGAGAAAGTCTTTCAAGATGGCTAAGGGAGATCGTAATACAAAAAAAGAAAGGAAGGGAGTTAGGGAGAGAAGGGAAGGGAAGAAGGAAGGGAGAGCGAGAGAAGAGAGGGGAAAGGAGGAAGGAAAGGAAGGAGGGAGGGAGGGAGAGAACAAGGAGGAGGGAGAGAAAAGAAAAGAGCCAGGCATGGTGGCACACAGCTGTAAACCCAGCACTCTGGGAGCCTGAGGCAGGAGAATCACAAGTTTGAGGCCAGCCTATCCAACTTAGAGACTTAGCAAAACCCTGTCTCAGAATGAAAAAGGGCTGTGCATGTAGCTCAGAACAAAGGTCCTGCATTCCATCTCCAGCAACACAAAAGGAGGAGGAGAAAGAAGAGGAGAAGGAAAAGAAGAAGAAAGGGCTGCTGATAGGCTGTGACTTGGAATATATTAGTCAGCTTTCCATTGCTATGACAAAATACTTGAAATAATCAACTTAAGGGAAGGAGAGATTTATTTTAGCTCACAGTTCTGGTCCACATTGAGTTGGCACTGTAGCTTGGGACCTGTGGAGGCATGGTCCATGCTGGCGGGAGCCCTTGACAGAGGAAGCTTGTTCACCTCTGAGCAGCCTAGAAGCGAAAAGACAGAAAGGGGCTGGGGAGGGCCGGGATTTAGCTCAGTGACACAACATCTCCCTTGTAAGCACAAGGCCCTGAGTTCAATTCCTGGTACCAAAAAGGGGGGTGGCTAGAGTCCTAACAGCCCCTCCAAGGCCACAGCCCCAGTGACCTCACTTCCTCCCACTAGGCTCCACCTCTCAAAGGCCTCACTACCTCCTTGTGGCTCCACAGATTGGTTTATCACAGATTGCGATAAAACATAAACCTTTGGAAGACATTGAGGATCCAAATGATAGCATGGAGGAACTTGTTAAATGACTTTTTGAAGGTCCCCAGTGAATGGCTGAGCTGGCACTTGAGCCAGGATGTCTACTTTCTTAATGACTGGTTGAGTCCAGTCCACCTCTGAAGAGAATGGCTCTCAAAAGCCTGGATCCACCTTGGCTTACTGAGGTGGCTAAGGGCATCAGCGTCAGTGCTGGAGAAACCTGAATCCAAACCCCGCCTCATGCATGTCATGCACAGGTTCTGCCCCTGGCTGTCATCAGAAGGGCACTGAACAGTATGCCTGTGTCCGAAGAACTGAGAGTAGAGCCCAGTGTGAAGTGAGTGCCTGTTGGTGCTAGGGAGGGTCACAATAAAAAAAAATACCCACCTGCCTTTGTTCTCTGAAGCAGTGGCTTTGCTGGGGAGGAGATCTACCCATATGAAGCACTGTAACCGAGCACTCTGGGAGGCTGAGGCAGGAGGATCACACGTTCAAGCCCATCCTGGGCCACTTACTAAGCAAGACCTTGTCTCAAAACTTAAAGGAATAATGGCAATAATAAAATGGGATATAGCTCAAGGCAAAGGCCCTAAGTTCAATCCCTAGCACTGCAAAAAGAAAAAAATGGCATGGTGCCCCCAACGGACCTCCAAAAGTTCTGATTCGCTTGGCTGCGCAGCCCCTGTTTCTAATGAGGGTCCCAAGGGAAAACCAAGGTCCCACGGGGCTGCTGGGCATGGCACTTAGGGCCCCCAGTCAGAGGAGACACCTGCATCTGAACATGGACAGCGGCCCGGCCTTCTAGAGTTGAGGATGACACCCATGGGCTGTGTGACGCGGATGCAGAACGTGGATAGGGAAGAACCCAGCTTCCTGTGCACAGTTCTGGCTTCTGATCCTGCCTCCGCCCCTCTGTAGCTGTATGGCCTCAGCCAGCTCCTTGGCCTCTTTGTACAGGATGGGGATTCTCTGCACCTGGCCCCCAGGACAGAGAGGAGCTGGGTATGCAGTTGTTTCATTCTTTTAGTGGTAAGGTGATTGATTCTTCTGCCAGGAGCTAAGGCTCCATCTCCCTCCTGATCCTGAAGTAGCCTGCGCTGATCCCTTTTCCATTGTAGATGAAGCCCAGAATAACCCCATATGGCATTCAGGCACTAGAAGGAAACCTTCCAGCCCTGAGGTTTAAAGGCTGTGTACAGATACCTAGAAGATGGTTTCATTTGCTGTTCTTCAAAAGCAGAGCCTGAGACGAAGATTAAGTCCAGGGAGTTTATCTGGGAAAAGACCCCAGGAAGGATAGGAGAGGAAAAGGGAAGAAGAGTGAGAACAGGAAGACACCCAGGAAGCAGAAGGGCTGCCTCAGGGTCGCATGCTCTGAGGCCCCAGCCCCAGCCCTGACTGCTCTGGTGAGGACCCTGAGGGCCCGTGTTCTCCACAGGACCCACTCAGGCCCCGGGGAAGGCCAGCCCCCGTTGGACCTCATTCTTAGTTCCAGGCAAGGTGTTGCTAGGAGTGAACTCATAAGTCAGAGTCCGGTTCCCTCCTAAAGGAGCAAGCACTACCATTTCTGTGCTAATTTGAGGAGAGCAGGGGGTCCTCAGAGGGTTGGGGGCTGTTGTGTTCACCAAACAGCATGGGCTATTTCAGCATTTTCACAGTAACAATGCACCAGTACCAATGTACAGCCAGCACTCAGCCCAGCAATGTATCAGTCAGGAAAGATCAAGTTAAGCTGCAGTGACAAACATGCCCTATATCTCAGTGGCTTCCATCAACAAATGGTTTTGGGGCTGGGGATTTAGTGCAGTGGCACCGTGCCTGCCTTGCAAATGCAAGGTCCTGAATTCAATCCCCAGTACCCCCTCCCCCCAAAAATGGTTTTGTTTTCTCCTTTGGGTTTTTATTTGTTTGTTTGTTTTGGTTTTGGTACCGAGGTTCAAACTTGGGTCCTTGTGCTTGCAAGGTAGGGGGCGGAACCACTGAGCTAAATCCCTAGCCCTCTTTTGGGTTTTTTTACACTGAGGGGAGGGGCGGGGCTTTTTCTTCCTAGTTGCCCAGGGACTTGGGCTCATGGAGTAGCTCCTATCTGGATGTTGCTGGTCCCCAGGCCCAGTTTTTTTTGCTGTTGTTTTTGTTTTTTTACCGGGGGATCGAACTGAGGACCTTGCACTTTCGAGGCAGGCGCAGTGCCACTGAGCCAAATCCCCAGCCTGCCAGGCCCAGTTTTGAGAGAATTGTGGAGACCCCCTTTCTGGCCAGGAAGAGACCACACTACCTCTGCTCACAGAAGCCATGAAGCCCCACCTAACCACAAGGAGTCAGGAAGCACAGCTCATGTGTGCTGGAAGGCTCAAGGCCATTGTTCCCAAGCCCAGGCCACATCTCTGTCATTGTCCTCCTCCAGATCAGGAAATGTTGGCCCAGAGAGATTGAGCCACTTGCCCACAACCATACAGCTCTGGTAGTAGAACTGGGATTTGAACTCAGAGTCTGCCTGCTTGGCAAGTGTGCCATATAGACAGTGGGGTCCTGAATGCAGATCCTGGACCCTGGGTTCAAATCCTGGCTGCACACCTCTGTGTGCTTCCTCAGGCAGATGAGTAGCTTTCGTCTCCAAGCCCAGGTGGCCACAGGAGATGGGTGAAGCTCTTTCCTTAAGAAACCCTTGTGAGGACCCCCATGAGGCCCTTCATAAAGCACCTGGCTTGGAGAGACAGACCCCACTTCAGTGGGCAGCCTCTAGCCTAGCAAAGGGGAAACAAAACCAGAAGCCTCATCTGGAGCCAAGCAAGTCATGGCAAGGCCTGGGAGACCCAAGAAGGGGGACTTGGATCAGATGAGAAGAGGATCTGGTGGGCCTGATGCCCCACACCTATAATCCCAGCACTCTGGGAGGCTGAAGCAGGAGGATTGAGTTTGAGGCCAGCCTGGGCTACAAAGCCAGACCCTATCTCAAAAAACTGAAAAAAAAAGGCCTGGGGATGCAGCTTGGTGGGAAGAACCTGGGTTTCATCCCCAGCACTGAAACAGCCACTACTGTAGTAACACATGCACCTGAATGGCGACAGTGGTTCCCCTGACGTGCCCCCATCAGCCCGGGGTCCCGGCATGGAGCCCTCCATTGGCATCTCTGTCTTATGGGTCCCTGTTCTAGAATTATTTCCGTGATGCCTGGAACATCTTCGACTTTGTGACTGTTCTGGGCAGCATCACAGACATCCTCGTGACGGAGTTTGGGGTGAGTCTCCCGCCGGCTTTTCTCCAGGTGGCTCCGGCCTAAATGGGGTGAGGAATGGGGTGGGGCAGGTCCCGAGGACCATGGCCACATCCAGGGCGGCCACTGGGGGAGAACGGGGTGGGGGGCACAGGCACCCCCCTAGGGAGCAGTGGGGGGTGGCTGAGCCCCAGGGTAGGGCCAGCCCCCCAGAGTGGGCACCCCCACTTCTGGGCCGTGGGTTTGAGTAAATAATGTGGGTTTGCACCGACCAGACCCAAGGAGCCCTGTTCCAAACAGCGCAAGGTTCCAGGGCCACGCAGAGCCAGGTGGAGACTCTGCACCTCACACACCATCCCTTCTCATTTTCCGAAATGTGGGGGCCCAGAGTCCCTGTCCCAGACCCTGTCCTTGGCCATTTGCCAGTGAGCCCAGGCTTGGGGACCCTCAGGAGATGCACTGAGGGTAGGGTGTTCCCCCAGGGGCAAAGGGACCAGGAACTGAGGCAGGTACAGCAGCACCCTAACAACAATGACAGTAATAAGAGCTGGCGAGGGTCGTACCCTTGGCTGCTGGCCAGGTGCTGTGCCAAGCATGTCATATGGATTGGCTTCTGTTGAGGGTCTCCTAGCAGTGCCTAAGAATTCTTTCAGCCTGGCACAGTGGCTCATGCCTGTCATTCCAGTGCTCTGGGAGGCTGAGGCAGGAGCATTGCAAGTTTGAGCCCAGTCCAGACAGCTTAGAACTTAGTGAGAGCCTGTCTCAAAATTTTAAAAAAATTTAAAGGGCTGGGGATGTAGCTCAGTGTGAAGGCCCTAGGTTCAATCCGTAAGACCACAAAAAACAAAAAAGTTTCCTCGAAGGATCCAGCTGGTAGGATCTGAACACAGAGACTCATGCCAGGGAGGGGAAGGGGACACACCTGGATGGTAGGGCGCAGCCCTCGGCCTCCGTAGGAGCTGTCACCTGCCCGGTGTGGAAGTGGGAAGAGCCCTGGTAGAGCCCAGAGCCAGAGCCAGCAGAGAGCAGGAGGAAAAGACATCCCCGCCTCTGTCCCCTGCTGCCTCCATCTCCTGCCAGCACCACCCACTGGCCAAGGTGAACCAGAAAGAGGCCAGGGGACCCGCCCAAGGTCACATATCCAAGCCTAGGAACTCCCGAGTGCCAGCCTGAGGATGTCCCAGGCTGCCCCGCAGAACCTGCTCCTGCTGTCTTCTGTGCTGCATTCGAGGGAGGTGGGGACTGCGGCAGGCAGTCAGGAGTGCTTGCAGCCCAGCTGAGCCCATGGTGACCTTAAGCCTGCATCCCAGAGTTGAGGAACTGCTTAGCGTCCAGCAGGGCAGGTGGAAGAAGTTGAAACCTGTGATTGTTGGTGACAGACCCATAGGGTGAGATCCTGACTGCCTGTCCTGCTTGGCAGCACCGGGAAGGGCAGGATGGTGAGGAATAGAAGCCAATCAGACGTCAGGACCTGTGCAGTAGCCAGACAGCCCTCCCGACCATCTGCTTGATCTTGGACAGCTTATTACCTACTCTTGCATAGATTGGGATCCACAGTTGCAGCTGACCTCATCAACTCTTTACAGACTCCCATTCATGCATGCATTCAACAGGCACTGTTATAGATGATGGAGATGGAGCACAGGGGCAAGACAGATAGGCATGCAGAATGCCTGCCCCCCAAGAACCAATGCTCTAGGGAGGGAGACAACTTTTTTTTTTTGTAAGAAAGAGCGGTCAAGCCAGGTGTAGTGGTTCATGCTTGTGGTGGTATACTCAGGAGGCTGAGGCAGGGTAGCTGTGAGTTCAAGGCCAGATTGGCCAACATAGAGAGTGCAAGGACAGCTTGAACTACATAGCAAGACCCTGTCTCAAACAAAAAACAAACAGAAGAAGAAAGAGACTGGGGCCAACGCTGAGTATGAAGACCCTGGGTTCAGCCCTCCATATTGCAAAAAAATTAAAATTAAAACTTAAAAAATAAAGTGCAATCAATGTAAAGTGCTTGGCACAGAACCCGTTAGGTAATAGTTCCCAAATGGTGGTTATTATTACTGCTATTGCTGTTGTTGCCATGAATGCACTTGGGTGTCATTTTAAGGGAAAGAGAGCAGGTGGGTTTGGGCCACACACGATGACCAGGTCTAACCTGCGTTAGATCAACTGCCCTCTCTGCCTCCCAGGTAAGGCCAGCAGGTCTGAGGCCAGAGCTCAGCTGGGATGAGCCTGGGGAGGGGCTCTGGGGAAGACAGGAGTGGGGCGCTGCAGGGCAGAGACGCCAGCACTGGCCGGCTTCAGCTGCTGGCCCCCAGGTGGACGGGGTGGCGTGGGTTTGTCCTGTACTCAATGGATAATGACTGTGTTTCTTGTCTCTTTTCATGCCTGCTGTTTAAACTGTATATTGGCACAACGCCGTCTGAAAAACTCATCCAATCAAAATGCACTATGAAATCCATTTGCTCATCCGTGACGTGGTCTATGTACTCATACACCAATGACTTTATCTCCCAACCCGCCACCACCACCACCCCCACTCCCCGCCCGGGAACCGAAACCCATTGGTTTTTTGGCACTGGTTACAAATCAACCTAAAAAACGCTGAAACGCCTCCCCAACCGCCCCCGCCCGCCCGCTTCCCCTCCATCTTCAACATCTGCATCTAGAATCCGGTTGGTGTTACTTCTTTCTGCAGTCTAAATGCCCTACATTAACTGTGAACGCACCTCTCGCATCTCTATGGCATGACCCACCCCGGCTTTTTGCGGATGCCTGCTGTGCCCCGCCTCCCTTCTGTCCGTCTGTCCTCTCCCAGGCCCCACCCAGCCCCTCGCCCTCTGTGTCCCTAAATCCCTGTGGTGTTTTTTATCCAGCTTTAGATTGGGGCTTCAGTCTGAGTAGGTGTGGGTCTTTTGCAGATGACGGGCTGTGATTTTCCCTGTGGGCCTCTCTGCCAGGACTAGAGGGCCACCTCACCCCACACACATCACGCACACTCAGGGCTGTTGGAGGTGCGCCCACTCCCACTGCTTCTCAGCATCAGAAAGCTCCCAGACCTCCCCCCATCCCCGGGCTGGGTCTCTCAATCTCCCTTCTCCCTCCCTCTCTCCCTCTCTGTCACATCCTTCACCCTGCACGTCACACCCACAACCCTGCATACACCCCCTCCCCATTTCCTGGTCCCTTTCACAGCCCTCACTGCAACAAACCCACCTGCCCTGCCCTGCCCTGCCCTGCCCTTGACCAATGAGCCTCTGAAGGGCCTGCACTGGGCACCCTTCCTGTGGGCAGTACACATGCATCCATCCACCGGACAGCTAATGAGTCCTTATTTGATGGCACCATTGGCGTAGTGGACAAAAATGGCCACATCACTGCCCCCACCCCTTGCCTACAGTGAGGATAAGGAGGCAGGCACTGGTCTGATAACCCACTTGAAATTGTAGCTGTGCTGCAGGCTGATGCTGAGCAGCATTGACAAAGTGGAAAAGGAAGAAAAGGACATTCCAGGCCCCAGAGCAGTGCATGCAAAGGTCCTGAGGAAGGATAGAGTGTGCAGGAGTCAGAGTCTGGAAAGGGCAAGTGGGGACTCTGACTGGAGCACAGAAAGCAGAAGGCTGCCTCAGAAAGCTAAGCAGGCAGGATCCTGGGACTTTGGTGTGGAATCAGCTTTATCCTAAGCACCAAGAGTGGCCAAAGAAGGTTTGATGTAAGGATGGCGCCATCAGGACTGTGATTAGACAAGACCACCACAGCTGTGAAGCAAGATGGGGCTGGGCTGGAGGGGAGAAAACCAGTGAGAGTTGTCAGTAACGGGGTAGAGACAGCAGGAGCCTCCCCAAGACCTAGAGATGGGGCAGATCTGGGTTGAGGGGATGTGAGGCACTGTGGGGTGTTCCCAAGCCTGGCTGGAAACCAGGAGGTGGCAGTTAGGCAGGGCCAGGCAAGGGCTGGGCTGGGGGAAAGAGCAAGTGTGGACATGGTGAGATCGAGGTGGCCTTGCAGGCAGGCAGGCAGGTGGACGGTCTGGAGTGTGGATGTGAGCTCAGGGCTGGAAGTGGGGTCTGCAATGGCAGGGTTCCTCTGGAGCCCCTGGGCAGGTGGCTTCCATGTGCTGCTGCACCCTGAGGGACAGCTGCCCCCAGGAATGTCACTAGAACAGAGAGGACCCCAAGGACAAGGAGCAGAGGGAATGGTCCAGGAGGGGGCGCCTTGCAGTTCTGTGGACACCCCAAGTCATAGTGCAGACCCGAGAAGCCATGGAGGGCAGAACAGGGCTGACTGGGCCTCCCCACCCCCCCTCCCCCATCCCACCCCACCCTCACGTGTGCCCCCTCTCCTGCGCCAGGACAGCATGCTCTCTGTACATCCCGCTGCTTCTGTAGTGGCAGCTCCACCCCGAGGCTGTTCCCAGAGCCTGCCTGCCTGTGCATGTCCCACCGAGCCCACATGTTATGGTCCGCCCCGTGGAAGGGATGGCTTGTACTCTGGGAGTACACGGGAGGATGCTGGGGACACCTGGGTCATCACCCCCATCTCCAGATGGAGCTTGGTGCCAGGCAGGGCTGGGAGTCAGATCAGCAAAGCACCGAGCTGACTCTTCACCAAGCTGGGTTTGGGGGCTTGTATGAGGCACCTGGGATGACAGGCTGGGGCAGGAGAGTCCAGGGTAGAAGGCTCCAGCTCCTTTGCCACCCTGATGTCTAAGGGTCGACTGGCATCAGCCAGAAAACACAGATGTACCAGCAAACCCAAAGGCCTCTTGCAAGCCTCCAGAGTCCCTGGGCTCCAGTCCCTGCCTCTCAGCTCCCAGGCCACAGCTAGTGCAGGACACAGACCTGGTGGTGGTAAGAACCTGCCAGGAAATGCCGAGGAGAAAGACTGCCCACAGAACTCACTGCCAAAGCAGGAGGCCGGCTGTGGTTGTCAGGGGAACCTATACAGTCACTGCGAGCCATTTGGGGGAAGCCAGGCGGAGATAAATCTTGCTGTGTGGCTCCTACAAACCCCACACATCAGAGTCCATTCAAGGCCCCTCTTCACGGGGGACCCTCCAGCCCTCAGCCCGCTGGACACTGGCTGGTGATTTCTCGTCTCCAAATCTGCCTTGCACAGGACTCAGTCTCAGATGCCTTTGGGGGCCAAGCAGACACCAGCGCACTAGGAAAGCAGGTGTCATTTCCAGGGGACCTTGGAAAACTAGACAGGATGTCACCTGCTTCCAAGGGACAGCCATCAGAGGCCGGGGTTCCAAGAAGCCAGATAGGTGGGCAGAATCTGATTTTTGTTTAAATCAGACTTTTTAATTTTTTAAAAAGACTGTTCAGGCCCAACTAATTAGCTTCATTGGCCAGATCAGGTCACCATTTTCAATGTCTGGCCTTGCACCCTCTGCCAGGGATCCCCAAAGCTCCGGGACAGTCCTGTCACAGCAGCAGGCCGGGTACACCGTGTACACAGTTTCTAGCTTGTTTCTAGCTCAGGCAGGAGGAAAGAGGCAGTGACTAGACGGGGAGGGGTGGGGGTGGGGGTTGGAGCAGAGGCAGGGGCCACCCAGGGAGGTCCTGGGGGCAGGGATGGCCCCACCTCCCACCCCAGCACCTGCCCCTCGGTGGGCCCAGGGCTGATCCCCAGCTCGCCCGCCCCCGGGAGCTGAGTCCTTCCTGCTTCCCGCAGGCCTGGTCCCGTGACACTCCACCCAGTCCCAGAAGCTGAGAAGCCATCCCTGAGAGGGGGGAAAGGGTCCCAAATGCATCTTCTCCGACTCAGCGGGCAGCGAGGACTCACCCTGCAGCCGAACAGCCCCAGCTCCCTCCCGTCCTCCCCATTCCCGCTCGCCAAGGGGGTAAGAAAAGATGCTCTTCTGCTTCTCCCCTGGCGCCAGCCGCTGCTCCTCTTGGCCGCTGAGCGAGATCAGGGCGGGCAGGAGCGGGTGGGCAGCTCGGCAGGGCAGGGCAGGTGCCTGGTGAGTCCCGTGGCAGATGCATTTCTGGCCCGGAGCGTAACATGCCCTCGGAACCTGCACGTGTCCACCAGGCCTGGTGCTGGCGACCCCAACCCCACCTGCCTGGTGTTTGTGCCTTGTCCCCTTGTGATGGGTCCTGCAGTTTGACCCGCTTGTGTCCTCTGTCTCAGTGCATTTGGTTGTTGGGAGAAACAAAAACCATCTCGATTTTTTTCCTGATTGGATGATTCGGATATATTTTCTTTTCATTGTTCTTTTGTTATTTCTCCCTCCTGCCCCCTGGTTTCTTTCTCCTCCTTCCCTGTTTTTCTTTCCTTTTCCCCATTGTGGGTGGGGCTGGCAGGGAAGACGTATGCTTTTGAGTTGATGCTCTTCTTCCTCCCTCCCTCTCTCTCCCCTCTGACTTCCTTCCTTTTTTCGAGTTTTTCCTCTGCTCCATTTGCATTAATAGTGCTTTCTCTCCTCTCCCTCCTTATTTGGGGTCTGGCTTGCTTTATTCCTGTTGGTTGGCTTCATGTAGGGGCCTCTGTGAGTGGTGACAAGTCTGAGCCCCTCTTGGTGGGTGGATGGTCACCCCTCTTTTCCCGTCTCCCCAGAATAACTTCATCAACCTGAGCTTCCTCCGCCTCTTCCGGGCCGCCCGGCTCATCAAGCTCCTCCGTCAGGGTTATACCATCCGAATTCTCCTCTGGACCTTCGTGCAGTCCTTCAAGGTGAGCTCCTGCCCTGCCTGTGCCCCAGGCTCCCTGTGCAGGGAGGAACGTGGCAGTCAGGCCAGAAGCACCTCTGTGGTGCAGCCTGGCTGAGGGTCTGCTCTCCACTGGCTCTAACTTCCTGCCCCTGCCCTGTCTTCACACCTCCAAGGCCCTCTGCTAGTCTCCCTCAAAGCTACCCACCAGCCCTTGAAGGACTGGCCGGCATGTGGCCAGGAAACAGGGAAGGAAAGGGTGTGGTTAAGGGACCACAGCCCCTCCTCACTGTCTTCCTCTTTCCCACCAGGCCCTGCCCTATGTCTGTCTGCTCATTGCCATGCTCTTCTTCATTTACGCTATCATCGGCATGCAGGTGAGTGCCAAATCCCGGAGGTCCCCAGAGCCTCCCCAGGAGGGCAGCACCCTTAGGCAGGGAAGGGTCCAAGGACCCCCAAACGGCGACAACCATAGGGATTTACCTGGGTTTTCCTGGAACCACGGGGTGGAAAGGGGCAGGGGCGTGGCTGCTCCTGGCTGTCATCCTCTACCTCCCCAGGTATTTGGCAACATTGGCATAGATGGGGAGGATGAAGACAGTGACGAGGATGAGTTCCAAATCACTGAGCACAACAACTTTCGGACCTTCTTCCAGGCCCTCATGCTTCTCTTCCGGTGAGAGGGGGCGTGGCTTCATCGAGGGGGGTCAGCCTACTCTGGCGGGGGCATGGCTTCCCCGGTCTGTTCTGGGTCTCTCCCTGGGACTTGTCCTCTTCCTCCCCTCAGGTGAGGGCGTGTCCAGACCTCTTTCAGTTCCTCGAAGCCATCTTGCTCCTCTGATGAGGTTTGGGATGGGAATGGGGACACAAGGAACCAGGCCGGGCAGGAGCCCAGGGCCCGGAAGTCCTTTTCCCGGTATTATCACGTTGACTTGCTGGCCACCCTGGAGGTGGAGACATACAGATTCGGAGCCTTGATCTTTGACTCTGGACCCTGCCTGCACGTTAGAGTCCCTCCATCCCTCAATGGAGGCGGAGGAGCAATTACTGTGTGCCAGACACTGCTATAGTGTGTGGGATATAGCAAGGAACACGGGACAGGAAAAGAGAAAAACCCGTTCTGCACTCTGGAAGTTTGTGTTCCCGTGGGGAAGACAGAAAATTGGTAAACTAATTATAAAGGATACTACAGGGAGATTAAAAACTTTGGGAGCAAGGGGATAAAAATTAAGATCAGGAGAGAATGGGGACACAAAAGGTCAAATACTGCTAGTTGTAGTGGCGCCCACCTACAATCCCAACACTCAGGAGGCTGAGGCAGAAGGATCACTGCAAGTTCAAAGCCAGCCTGGGCCCCATAGTGAGTTCAAGGTCAACCTGAACTACATAGGGAGACCCTGTCTCGAAAAAATAAAAAATAAAACCACACACACACCACCACTTGTGTGATGTACACAGAATGAGGGAATTCTTAGAGGCAGCAAGTAGGACAGCAGGTGCCAGGGGCTGGAGGAGGAGGAAATGAGAAGTTAGTGATTAATGGGGACAGAGTCTCTGTTTGGGATGATGAGAAAGCTCTGGAGATGGATAACGGTGATAGTTGCGTATAATATGAAGATGCTTCATGACACTGAATTGTATATTTCAAAGTGATTAAAATGGTATATTGCACAGTGTGTATATTTAGCCACAATGTAAACAGAAAACTTTCATCTGACATCAGAAAGAAAGGAATGGAGATCAGTAGGGTGCACCTCTCCGTTGTGTGACATTTGCGGGTAGCTGGACAGGAGCAGCCAGGCAGAGGGCACAGCCAGTGCAAAAGTCCAAGTGGGGCTGGCACGTGTGAAGACAATGAGAAGCCCAGTGTGGCCACAGCAGAGTCACCCAGGGGACTGCTAAGAAAGACAGGGGCTCTTTCTGGTGTTGCCAGATGCAGAGTCCTGGGGAGTCACTGCTAGGTTCTTGGTGTCCCAAATAAAGAATTGTGCAGGTCGCTCAAAAAGAGTAAGAATATAGTTGGGTGGGCCGGGGATTTAGCTCAGTGGTTCTGCCGCTTGCCTCGAAAGCGCAAGGTCCCGAGTTCGATCCCCAGTACCAAAAGAAAAAGATTATAGGTGGGTGTGGGGACACATGCCTGAAATCCCAGCTCTTAAGAGGCTGAGGCAGGAGGATCACTGCAAGTTCAAGGCCAATTTGAACTATACAGAGACTCTGTCTCAAAAAAAAAAAGCAAGATTTATTAAAAGGGAAGAAGCAACGATGCCCTCGTCAGGGTGGGTGAGAGGAGCCAGGGAGAAGAGCTCACAGCCCTACAGGGGCAGACAGGTCTGCAGGTCCAGAGATTATGGGAGGATCTAGAGCTGGAGATTGACAGAACCATGGCCCAGTGGCTGCCTGCCTCAGCCACCCGTCGGGAGGGGGAGTTTCTGACCACACAAGGGTTTTAGAGGAAGCACCAAGGCATCAGAGTCCACGGGGTAGCGTCAAAGCCACAAAACCGATGAGATTGGATCAGCCCAGGACCACGGGTTTTCGGGCTTGCTCACTCCTGGATGTGTTGCGGACAGGGTGACCTTTACCTGTTGGCTTTCCGATGCTTTGACAGAGAACACTTCTGCTTTGTATGGCTTCTCCATCCTGTGCCCCATGGCTTCTTGGGGTTTCCTTGTCCCTGCTCTTGCTCCTACCTCACTGAGACCTGAGCCCAGCACGTTTAGCCCCAGAGCCCACACGCTTATTGCTGCGTGTATGCTCTCCTGCGCGAAAGGGCCCAGTCAGCGCTGTGCAGGTCCCTGACCCCCCCTGTCCCCAGGAGCGCCACTGGGGAAGCCTGGCACAATATCATGCTGTCTTGTCTGAGCGGGAAACCATGCGACAAGAACTCCGGGATCCTGACTGCTGACTGCGGCAACGAATTCGCATACTTCTACTTTGTCTCCTTCATCTTCCTCTGCTCATTTCTGGTGAGGCTTTGGATGTGCAAAGAGCTGTCCCTCCGCATGGCTCCAACTCCACAGGCTGGATTTGTCCAGGACAAATCAGATCTCCTGCTGCCTGGAGATCTGCCCTGAGCCAGCCTGGGATGCAGGGACCCCCCGAGCTGCTCAGCCTCAGCGGCACTGACCCAGGGCTGGAGGACACCCTGTCCGGGGCTGCCCCAGTGCTGCGGGGTGCCAGATACCCACCCACCAGGCACCAGTCACACGTAGTGCCCTGTGCCCTCATGGTGACAACCAAAAATGTCCCCCATTGGAGACCCAGGGAAACAGCTCACTTTGGCTGGCCTTGCAGAGGACAAACGTGGCTGTACTGCCACGAGTCACAGATCCCTCCTCTAACTCTGTCACTTCTCATCATTGCCAGTCTTTGTATCTCTCCCTCTCCACCTGTCTCATCTCTTTTCCCCCATCTCTTCTGGATCTCTGTCTGTCTCTCCCTCCTCCTCTCTCTGCCCATCCCTCCTGTGTCTGTTTCTCTCCGTCCGGCTCCCCACCCTTCCCATCTCCCCTGCCCCCATGCACTTGCAAGCATGCATTGAGATGCATTTCCCCACCCCAACTCTCTCTCCTTGTGCTTCCTCTTGACACCCCGTCCCCCCGCACCCCCACCCCTGTCCCCCAGATGCTGAACCTCTTTGTGGCGGTCATCATGGACAACTTTGAGTACCTCACCCGTGACTCCTCCATCCTGGGCCCCCATCACCTGGATGAGTACGTGCGTGTCTGGGCTGAGTACGACCCTGCAGCTTGGTAAGGAGTCACCTTGAATCTCCCAGCGACGTTGCCCACTTTTCCCTGGGGCTGGGACACGGGCTGGGTCAGGTCCCAGATGCCGGGCGTTGAGTCCCTGGATCCGAGCAGGGACCTAGCCGGCCAAGTGCAGAGGAGGAATGAGGACCCTGAGCCTCACACTCAGCAGGTGGAAGGCTTGGGTAGCCTCCCTGCCTGAACCCCAGGCTGCCAAGGGAAGGAGGGTGGGAGTCAGGACCGGGCAGCGGAGCCCCAGCCCCCAGCCTAGCCAAGGGCACTGCAGTCCGTTGCCAGGAGGCCGGGGAGTGGGGAGGGATGTAGCCCACACTGGGCAGAAGAGACAACATTGGAGCCCAGCTCAGGATTTAGGGTGGAGCAGACCTTGGTAGGCAGATGGATACAATTTGAGAACATAGTGTTAAGGAAATCAGACACACAAGCTCGGACATCACATGATTTCTCTCGTATGTGAAACTCAAAATATATACACATATAAATAAAGAGCAAAATATAGACAGAGAAATAGGAAGTAGGGAGTTCAAACAATTCCTCAAATTCTCTACTCTGTTATTTCAAACATATTTCAATAGACATGATAATTTGTTTTATTTAGTTCATTGAAAAGAAAGTTTTGTGCTGTTATCTCTTTTGTAAGAAAGAGAGTTTTTTTTGGTCTATGACCCTGAGTAACATTTTGGCCATTCTTTTAAGATTATGGTACACAGCATATTAACTATTGTTATTCTCTGATTATTTTGTTATGAAATTTTATTTTTTATAGAAGAGTGCTTTTTATCATTTTCTTTATTAACATCTACATGTATTACATTTAAATAAAAATAAATAAATTAGAATTTAAAGTAAAACCAGGCATGCTGGCACACACCTATAATACCAGCACTCCAGAGGCTGAGGCAGGAGGATCACCACTAGTTCAAGGCCGATCTGTCTCAAAACAACAAAACAAAACAAACAAAAAGGCTAGGGATGTAGCTCAGTGTTAAGACCTTGGGTTCAATCCCTGGTACAAAAAAGTTTAAAACTCAGGACAAAACCTGAGGTTTAGCTCAGTGGTCGAGCTCTTGTCTAGCTGTGTGGTGTCCTGGGATTCTTCCTCAGCACCACAGGAAGCAGCTGACAGCAGGTGGTCAGACAGGCCAGGTTGGGACGGAGCTCAGGGCCCTTGTGTCTCTGTGTTCATCCCCATGAAGAGAGAGCTCTCCGGTCTCCAAGGAGCAAGAGCGCCCCTTTCGGCTGGCCAGGAGGGCTCCAGAGAGCAGCTGCCCATACACCTGTATTAAGCTCCTGCACAGCACCAGCCTCCAGCAGAGGATTCTAGTTCAGGCTGGGTGTGGGGCCTGGAGGAGGGTTGCTGGGGGCCTTCAGAGGCTGTAGCGTCCACCTTCCTCTGGCCCTGTGAGGAAAACAGGGTAGAGGTGGCCTGTGCCATTCCTGCAGCCCTAGATGGTGAGACTGGAGGCTGGCATGAGCCACAGGGCTGGGGCTTTGCTTCTGCCTGATTCTTAACTCTTCCTCTTTTGATTTTAGGTCATAGCAATTGGATCCTGGCCCCTCTTCCTCTATTCCACCAGCCCCCCAATGCAGCCCATGTAGACTGCACAGGAGGCAGAGGCAGGGAGAGCCCGGGGAAGGCGTTCCCATCCCAGAGCCCCTAGCGTTCCCAGATCAAGCCCCCTGCCCCACACCAGAGTCTCTGGGCAGCATCTGGGCACGTGGTCAGAGGCTGACCCCTGACTGCCCACCTCCACACCAGGAGTCCCCAGCGCCTGGCACCCTAACCTTGCTGCGTGCGGGAGCCAGTGTGAGCACGCCTCCCTCGCCCCACTAACCCCTCTCTTCTCCTTGCAGCGGCCGCATTCATTATAAGGACATGTACAGTTTATTGCGAGTAATATCTCCCCCTCTCGGCTTAGGCAAGAAATGTCCTCATAGGGTTGCTTGCAAGGTTTGATTTCCACTAAAACCTGCTAGCATCAATGGAATGAGTGTGGCTTGGGGTTCTTCAATATATATATTTCATATATATATATATATATATATATATACCTACAACACAGAGCCAGCGCTCTTTCTTGCATTAAACTAGAAAACTCTCTTAGGCACCAGAATGCCGCCATGTAGACTCAATGAAGCATGGAACATATCTCTCTGTTCCCTTCAGCCATCCCTGCTTGCTGTTAGCTGAAGCTGCCCATCCCGGGGTCTCACCGGCACCCCAAATCAGACACATCCTGGGGGATCGAAACTCTGCACTGCCCCCCCACCATCACCTCCACTCTCCCCTCCTCCACCCCTGGCTTCCCAAGCCCCCAACTGCCCTCCCCCATTCCAGTTCCCCTCCCCGCCTAGGCCCCCTCAGAGACCAGCCTCAGCCCAACCAGAGAACTTGGCCCCACTTAAAAAATGACCATGAAAAATCAGACATGGTAGTGCACACTTTCATCCCTGCACACAGGAGGCTGATGCAGGAGGATCACTGTGAGTTCCAGGCCAGCCTGGGCTACATAGTGAGTTCAAGGCCAGCCTGAACTATGTAGCAAGGCCTTGTCTCAAAAAAAACCAAAATGACCATGAAGCTGGGCATGGTGGCACATGCCTGTCATCCCAGCACTTGGGAGGCTGCAGCAGAAGGATCCTGACTTGAGGTCAGCCTGGACAACGTACTGAGACCCTGTCTCAAGCCCCCCCCCCAAAAAAAATCCAACAGGAGAACCCTCCTTTCCCTCTGCCGGAAGTAAAGCTGAGGGTCCAAGTTGAATCTGACCAATCTCCCTCTCCCTCTCTCTCTCTTCCCTGCTGGTGAGCAGTGAAATAATAATTTTTAATTACCTTTTCTCCCATTTTTTCCCTCGTCTTTTCCATTTATTTGAAATATCTATTTTATCATTTTCTGCATCTTTCTCTATTTTTTCGGCTCCTGTGGTTTTCCCCTCCTCTCTTCTGTTTCTCCCACCGCTCCCCTTTGGTTCCCGTCCCCACCCACCCGTGTTCTGTTTTCGGTGCTGCCAGGGGCCGCATGCCATACCCGGACATGTATCAGATGCTGAGACACATGTCTCCTCCCCTGGGGCTGGGGAAGAAGTGTCCGGCCCGAGTGGCATACAAGGTAGTTTATCTCTGCCGACCCGTGCCCAGCACTGGGGATTTTTCAGTGCTCATCAGAAACACCTAGCCGAATCTTTTTCCAGCCGTCCTCCTCCTCCTCCTCTTCTTCCTTTTTTTTTTTTTTCCTTTTTTCTTTTCTCCTGAGTACCTGGGTCATGACCATCCCTTGACGCAGCAGCACAATGTCCGTCCTTTTGATGAGTGTCTATGTGTTCTGAGACTCCATTATGGCCACAAGCCCGGGGAGGGTGGCAGGGAGCACCCAGGTCCCCAGCACCCCGGGCCACCAAACTGGAACCCCAGGGCAGTCGAAGTCAGGTCTGTGCCCACCCAGAGCGGCCCCATGCCCAGGCAAGGGGATGCCGGTCCGAGAGAAGGCGAGGGCCCCATCTTTGGTACCTTGAGTCCCCAGCACACACACCTGAAGCTGATCTCTGACCTAGGGCCTCGGGGGACCGACAGAGCCTCCCCTCCTCTCCCCTCCCTGCAGCTCTCCCCGCCCCCAGGACCCCACACACCTCCCACTGCTCCAGCCAGCAGCAGGCACAGCTGGACCCCAGACGGTGGCACAGACGCAGGCCGTGCACGCTGCCTGGCAGGGCCTGAGGGGCCTGGGGGGCAGGCACCGCGGCGGACCAGGGGCGCTGCATGCTGGCTGAGGGCCAGGGGCCTCCCGGCCCCCCAGACCCTTTCCTGGACTCTCCCTCGGCGCCCACAGACAGACGCTCTGTTCCCGCAACTCACCCCCTGGAAGTGACCCTAACGGTGGCCCGCCCTTGCCAAAGCTAACCCTGTAGCCCTTCCCCACCCACCCTCCCGTGTCTGTGAGTGCTCTGGCTCCTCACCCTCCAGCCACCCCTCAAGCATCCCTCTTGTCCTTTTCTTTGGCCTCTACTTGAAAGCTGTGAGAGGGAAGGAGAACCCTCCCCTCCTGGTTTCTGCAGGTTTGGCGGGGGGGGGGGGGGTGTAAAAAAGTCTTTCCACAGAACACCTCACTGGAAATACACCCATAGGGTGAGAAAAAAGACACTTCTGCTATCTAGGAAAAAGCTGTCATATTAAACATGCAAATCTAGCTGAGCATGGTCACACATGCCTATAATCTCAGCATTATGGGAGGCTGAGGCAGAAGGGTCACAAGTTTGAGCCCAGCCTGAGCAACATAATGACTTAGAAAGACCTTTTCTCAAGTTTAAAAATTTGTCGAAGGGCTTCAGATGTAGCTCAATACAAAGGCCCTGGGTCCAATTTCCACTATGGAAAAAAAATTATTTCTAAAATAGGGAGCCATGCCCGGTGTGGTGGCACATGCTTATAAACCTAGCACTTGGGAGGCTGAGGATTCGTGGCTAGCCTGGGCTACAGTGTTCAAGGCCTGCCTAACTCTATAGGGGGACCCTGTCTCAAAAAAGCAAAAATAGAACAGGGATCCCTTTGTTCCGTGCCCAACATGCACAGCTGTGCACACCCCCTTGTCTGTACGTTTTGCCTTCCTTCCTGTCCTGCTCCCAACCCCCACATTGTATCCTCCTCTCCGTTTACTATCCCCTACCCTGTTTCCCATCTGTGTCTTCTACCAGTGTGTATCTGATTCCCCTGGCCAGCCCCAAACCTGCCCTTGACTCTCATCTCCGTGCCACTCCAGCCGGAGCTGGTTCACACCACCCAGTACCCCCCACCCCCAGCCCCTCAGCGCGGAGGACAGAGCCCCTGCCTGGGACACAGGGACTCTCCTCCCCCGAGCCACAGGAATGCCCTTCACCCCTTCTCCCCGCTACCGCAGACAGCCAGGCCCGGCCTTGACCCCGACACACTTCCCATGGAGCTATGACTGAGTCTCGAGATTCGTCGCATGCGCCCTGTCTGTTCCTTCAGTGTCTGGCCTCGTTGCATGTCCCCGGGGGCCTCCGCCTGCGCTTCCCCAGGAATGACCACCCTCTGCCATCCGTCCGCCCCATCCCGGCCAGCAGGGGGCGGGTGGGAGCCGGCGGCTGTGTCTTGGACCCTCTGCCTGGCTGCTGCATGCGCTCCTGGGACCCGGCCTGTGCGCTTTCTCTTTGGGGTCAGAATGGATCCGAGCCGGCCGGAAGAACTCTGGGGGCAGGATGAGGATTTGGGACAACGCTGGCAGTGTTAGCTCCGAGGACCAGAAAAGGAAGGGAGCTGGGCACGGTGGCACGTGCCTGTAATCCTAGCACTTGGGAGGCTGAGGCATGAGGATCACTGCTAGTTCAAGGCCAGCCTGGGTGAGACCCTGTGTCAAAAATAAAATGAGGGCCAGGGATTTAGCTCAGTGGTTCCGGCACCGGCCTCTCAAGCACAAGGTCCCGAGTGTGAGCCCCCGTGCCCCCCCCCAAAAATTAAATTAAGTTAAGTAAATGGCAGAGGTGAACTAGGTGTAATGGTGCATATCTGGGATTTCAGTGACTCAGGGGGCTGAGGCAGGAAGCTCTCAAGTTCCAGGCCAGCCTGGGCAAGTGAAGGAGACCCTGTCTCAAAACAAAATTTTTCAAAAGCCTGGGATGACACTCAATGGTAGAGCGTTTGTTTGCCTAGCATGTGCAAGGCCCTGGGTTCTATCTCCAGCACCACAAATAAAAAATGGAGAATGGAGCTTAGGATCACGGAAGAGCCCCAGGCATCCACCTCACTGGTCCCAGAGAGCATCAGGACATTCATGGTGGGACAGGTGGCCAGAGCAGGGCTGTGCTGCCTTCAGAGTTCTTCCTGGGGCTCCCTGGGCAGGGTGGGTGTGGCTCACAGGGACCCAGGCAGGGGGCGTCAGAATGACCTCCCTCCCCTGGGGTTTTCTATAGAGGCTCCTGCGGATGGACCTGCCCGTCGCTGATGACAACACTGTCCACTTCAATTCCACCCTCATGGCGCTGATCCGCACAGCCCTGGACATCAAGATTGCCAAGGGTAAGGGCAGAGCAGGCAGGATGGGAAAGCAAGGCCAGCTGGAAATCCAGAGAATCCAGACACCCCGCAAGGGCTTACATTCCAGGGGCGCCCCGGGAAGATCCTGAAGGAGAGGATAGGTTGCACGGATATAGGGGGATGGTCCCAGGCCATGTGTGCAAAGGCCCTGCGGCAGGAGTGAATGAGCGCGGAGGATAAAGGGCCCTGACTTGGCCTCAGGGAGGAAGGGCCTTGTAGGGTCCACCCCTGAACACACTCCTGCTGGCCACTGTGAGGATGACAGACAGGGAAGAGGCACCTTGGGGCCCTGGATCAGTTTGATTTCTGCCCTGGAATACCTGAGCCTGGATACTTCCTAAAGAGGGAAAGTTTAGGCCCAGGGATTTAGCTCAGTGGTTCTGCCGCCTGCCTCAAAAGCTCAAGGTCCCAAGTTCAATCCCTGGTACAAAAAAAAAAAAAAAAAAGATTTTATTTAGCTCACAGTTTTGGAGATCCAGAGTCCAAACTTTCCCCCTTTATTTTATTTTATTTTTTTGGTACTGGGGATCGAACTCGGGACCTTGCGCTTTTGAGACAGGTGCCAGAACCACTGAGCTAAATCCCCGGCCCTCCAGAGTCCAAACTGCATGACACATGGGGCCGGGGATTTAGCTCAGTGGTTTTGCTGCCTCCTGCACAAGTGCAAGGACCTGAGTTCGATCCCCAGTACCAAAAAAAACCCCCCAAAAACCCCTGCATGACACAGGCTACGTGACCCGAGACTTCCTGGCCAGGTGCATGTCTGTCATCCAGCACTCTGGGAGGCTGAGTCTGGAAGAGTGCAAGTTTCGGTCTATCTGGGCATGGTGGCACATGCCTGGAATCCCAGTATTAGGGAGGCCGAGGCAAGAGGATCACTGCCAAGTTCAAGGCTAGCCTGGGCTACATAGTGAGATCCTGTCTAAAAAATGAAACAAAGAAAGTTCCAGCCCACCCTGGGCAACTTAGTGACTTAGCAAAAACTTTGTCTCAAAAGAAAAAAAAAGTCTGAGAATGTAGCTTAAAGCCAAACCCCTGATTCAATACCCAGTGCTGCAGAGAGGAGAGAGAGAGATCCCCAAATGTCCAGGCCAGGGCTCTCCCTTCATCCCTAAAGGGGACAAAGAGGCAGTGGACAGGGTCCCCAGGCAGGACAGACTGTGAGGAAGCAGTCACCACTGTGCACTGTGACCAGGGCAGCTTTGGTAGGCAGGTCAGGGTCCAAGTCCCCACATGGATGTCGGAGGCCTGAGAGTGGATTGGATGTGACCTGGAAGTGAGTGGCATTGCAGGGTGGAGAGAGGCACAAACGGTCATCAGTGAAAACTAGGACAGAGAGATGGGAGTGGCAAGGGCTGAGCAGATGGTCCCACCGAGGGTGGGAAGATCCTTCGTTAGGAGGGACAGCGGAGCGTAGGGGACACCTGTTCCTTTCAGGTTGACCTGGCTGTCACTGAGTGTCACAGACCAGGTATTTTGTAAAGAACAGAGGTTTCAACCAGGCATAGTGGTGCAAGCCTGTCATCCCAGCTACTCAGGAGGCTGAGGCAGGAGGATCACAGGTTTGAAGCCAACCTGGGCCACTTAGTGAGACCCTGTCTTATAATAAAATTTTTAAAGGGCAAGGGGTGCAGCTCAGTGGTACAGCAAGGCATGGGGATCCATCTCAGTAGCACATAATTAATAAATCCGATGCAAGAGGGTAATACTCAAGGGACAGTGGGAGGGAGGGGAAGAGGACTTGGAGCCCCTGCTTGGCCCCTGGTGGACATTGCTTGTGCAGGTGACTTGCCAGGCAGTGGGGTGCAAGTCACCATTCAGGGCTGGGGGTCTGTCAGTCCAGGCAGGCAAGGAAGCAGAAGGTGAGCAGTGCTTCCCTCATCTTGGGACACAATGGCACAGTCATGTCCTGGGAGGTTGGGAGGTCCATCTGCACCAGAACCCTTGACCTCCACTTTTTTTTATAGCAAAACATTTATTAGTACCTTTTAGGCATACATAGTGATAACACTCATCATAGGGAGTTTGCACCTGTACATGATACACCTCTTTTCTCTCCCTTCCCCGTCCCCTCAAGACCCCTCCCTCTATGTACAAAAGCTTTGTTCCCATTTTTTCCTTCTATTTTCACTTTTTTTACTTGTCCCTTCCTTCCTTTCTCCCTCCTTTATATATTCTAGATAATAATCCTTTGAGGAACAGCTAGCAAAAAGTTTTTCCTGTTCTGTGGGTTGTCTCTTCACTCTGTTGGTGGTTTCACTTGCTGTGCAAAAGCTTTTTTACCTCCACTTTTGAGAACCTCAGTGCCCGTGTCTGCTGTCTATGCCACTGTGGTAGTCAGCTTTCTCACTATGACAAAATACCTGAGAAAAGCAACTTACAGGAAGAAAGATTTACTTTGGCTCGTGGTATCAGAGGCTTCAATCCTTGGTCCCAGGCTCCAAGTCAGGAGCATCATGGCAGAGGGTTTGGGAAGCAGAGCTGCTCACATCTTGGTAGCCAGGAAGCAGAGAGAGGGGAAAGAGAGAAAGGAAGGAACCAGGAACCAGATGCACTGCCCTTTGAAGGCCTAGCCCGGGTGACCGCCACCACCACTTGGGCCATGTCTTCCCTCAGCCCCTGTGGCTGTGAGCTATCAGTGGGTGGGTTTCAGGGAGGAGTCCATGGACAAGTTCAGCCCAGTCTCCAGGCCACACCTCTGAGCCCTGTGGCCCAGGCAATCCGAGACCTCCGTCTGTGCCTCCCTGGGGACACCTCGCACAGAGACCAGGACTGCCCCGTGAGGGCATCCCTAGATAACAGTGTTTAGATCCCTCCCAAAGCCCATCGCAGCCATGCCTTAGCACACGAGTTTTGGGGAGCATTTCAAAGCCAAACCATTAACAGCCATAGAACAAGTACCACAGATTTAGGGGGATGTTTGTTTTTCATAGTATTGGGGATTGGACCCAGGGCCTTCACACTGAGCTACCTCTCCAGCCCTTTTTTTTTTTTATTTTGGGACATGGTTTTGCTAAACCACTAAGTTGCCCAGGCTGGGCTTGAACTTGCGAATCCAGGTGTTGGCAGCCAATTCATTGGGGCCATAGGACTGGGGTCTCCCTTTCCTGGCTGGCTTTACTTTGCTTCTGTTTTGTTTTATTTTGTTTTGATACAGGGGATTGAGCCCGAGCGCTTTGCAGTGAGTTACTTCCCCAGCCTTTTTTATTCTTTATTTTGAGACAGGGTCCTACTGAATCACTTAAATTGCCCAGGCCAAGCTCCAACTTACAACCTTCCTGCCTCAGCCTCTCAGAGACCTGGAATCACAAGCTTAATTTTTTTTTAATTTATTTATTTTCTTCTGCAGTCCTGGGGGTGGAACCCAGGGCCTTGTACAGACCAGGCAAGCACTCACCACTGAGCACACTCCAGCACACCCACTTTGTCTGATTTCTGAGAATGCTGAGCCTCCTCTGAGGCAGGCTGGGAGGCCCCTGGGGGATGGGCTAACTCCATCCTTCAGGATCTCCATCATGTTTCCTTTGCACCCAGACATTGTGCCTGCACACGGAAGCCCCCTTCCCAGGGCCACATCCCTTCCACTCTCCCCTCTCTGGTCTTCCCCACCCCAGGCAGGAAGGCCAGCTCTGACCACTCGCCAGTTAATGTAAACCCAATCACCAGAAGAGAATTAGCTGACTGTGGTGGCTCACACTTGTGATCTCAGCACTCTGGAGGCTGAGGCAGGAGGATCAAAAGTTCAAAGCCAGGGACCTGGAATTTAGCTCAGTGGTTTCGCTGCCTACTGCACAAGGGCAAGGACCCGAGTTTGATCCCCTGTATACCAAAAAAAAAAAAAAAAAGTTTGAACCCGGCCTGGGCAACTTTAGTGACTCAGCAAAAGCTTGTCTCAAAATAAAAACAGGGCTGGGGCTGTAACTCAGTGCAAAGCCTTGGGTTCAATCCCCAGTGCCACCCCCCCCCAAAAAAAAAAAAAAAAAGGTGGGCCCCAAGGTGGCGATCTGCTGCCATCTGGTGGCCAGAAGCCACGTTCCTGCTCTGCGTCCCACAGTGCCCAGGAAGCCCCACAGCAAAGGCCAGTAGTGCTGAGTCCAGGGTCCCTGCCATGACCCCTCACTTGTTCCCATGCTGAGAGCAGGCACACCTGTCTGACAGCCAACAGAACTGAGCCCCGAAGGCCAAGTGGCTGAAACTTCCAGTTCTGGGGGCCAGAAGCCCAAGGCGCTGGCAGGTGTGGTCTTTCCTGCTGTCTTGCTTCTTGGCTTTTAGTGGCGCCCTCTTGCTCCTCTTCACAGGTTCTTTCCTCTTCTGAGGACAGCAGGCCTTTTGTTGAGACAGGGTCTTGCTCTGTGTTTCAGGCTGGCCTTAAACTCACCGCAATCATCCTGCCCCAGCCTCCTTAGTGCTGCCATTACAGGCGTACACCACCACACCCAGTGCTATTTTAAAATATATATCATTTAAACAATAATCACCTTATTGTAGCATAAAATACTAGAATTCATTCCTCCTAGTTGTAAATTTGTCCCTAATAACTAATCCCTCACTACACCTCCCCTTCCCCAGAAAGTCACTTTGTTTTCCAGTACTGGGTATTGCATATTGAACCCAGGGTCATCACACTGAGCTACATCCCCAGCAACAACCGACCCCCACCGCCTTTTTCTACTTTTTTATTTTGGGAAAGGGCCTCACTAAGTTGCCCAGGTTGGGCTCAAACTTCCTGTCCTCCTGCCTCAGCCTCCCAAGTGCTGGTTTACAGGTGTGTGCCACCACACCTAGCCTAAGAGTCACTTTTAATGGGAAATATTCTCTTCCTTCCTAATTGCCAAGAAGTGGCTGCACAGGCCCTGGGAACCTCTCTTAGCCATGATAGTGGCAGGCATAATAATGAATTCCACCATAATAATGAATTCCTGGGGGAAGAAAAGACCGTCAGAGGGTGGTGCTAATTCCCCCAATGGCCTGGCCCTCCCAACCTGAATCCAGCCAGCTCCACCACATTCAGCTTGGCCCCAGGGACCACAGGAAATCTGTGTCACCAAACTCTGTGGCCATGTGGGGAAAGAAAGTGAAGTCAGGTGTGGTGGCACACACCTGTCATCCCAGCACTCTTGAGACTGAGGCAGGAGGATCACCACAAGTTCAAGGCCAGCCTGGGCTATATAGTGAGTTCAAGGCCAGAATTTATAGTGAGACTCAGTCTCAAAAAAAAAAAAAAGAACGAAAGAGAACGAAAAAAAAATACCATGAGGTGGACACACACTTGTAATCCTAGCTATTCAGGAGGCTGAGGCAGGAGAATCACAAGTTCAAGGACAGCTTGAACAATTTAGCAAGACCCTGTCTCGGGGATCCTGAGTTTGATCCCTGGTACCAAAAATAAATAAATAAATAAAACTTTAAGAAGGGCTGGGGGCGCATCTGAGGGGTAGAGCACTCACACGCATGAGGCCCTGGATTCCGTCCCCAGTACCGCAAAGAGAACGTAGAGTCACCAAGACCCCCTCACGAGGACTCCACACCGGTGACCTTATTTAACCTCACTCACCTCCCAGAGGCCCCAAATCTGAACCCCACAGTTGGGTTAGGTTTCTTCCTTTTGTCCCTCACCACATGGGTTTGCAGGGGACAAGCCAAACCACGGTGCTGGAGTAAGTGCCTGGGGGGGGGACACTGTCCCCACGCCGCATGCGTGCCAGCTGCTCTTGATCAGACCACCAAGTGAGGCATAGGCTGTGGCTGCCATCCCCCTTTCAGAGAGGGGGAAACAGGCACGGAGACGAAGAGTAATGAGGCCACCATCGGGCCCTGCCCAGGACCCACACTCATGGGGCCGCCCCCCAGTCTTGCCTGAGCCTGCTCTGGGCCGCCCCGTGGTGACCAGACCCAAGGTCAGGATCTGCCTGTGCCCACGTTTCAGGCGGAGCTGACAAACAGCAGATGGACGCTGAGCTGCGGAAGGAGATGATGGCCATCTGGCCCAACCTGTCGCAGAAGACGCTGGACCTACTGGTCACCCCGCACAAGTGTAAGGGGCGAGCTGGCCAAGCCGTGACCCCGCAGGCAGGACGACGGGGAGGGAAAGCGGGGCCCGGGTAGGCGCAGGAAGGCGAGGGCCACATGGTAAGCTCACTCTGTGCCCTCAGCCACGGACCTGACAGTGGGGAAGATCTACGCGGCCATGATGATCATGGAGTACTACCGTCAGAGCAAGGCCAAGAAGCTGCAGGCCATGCGCGAGGAGCAGGTGCGTCTTCCGTGGCCATGGCCACCACCGCACTGGGTTACTGGGCAGCTCGGTACTGGGGGCCAATCAGGACCACCGAGCAGGGGACCAATCAGAACATGGGGCGTGGCCAAGCCCCCCTCACGGGTCCCTGCCAGGTGCACGGATAGCTGGACCCATTCACTTCCTCCAGCAACACGGATTGAACACCTACTGTGTTCTGGGGGCGCTATGGCAGGGCCTGGATGCAGCTCAAAGCAAAACAGACCAGTATCCCTCTGACAACTAAATCAAGCCTGGGATTTACCTCAGTGGTTCCACCACCTGCCTCACAAGAGCAAGGTCCCGAGTTCAATCCCCGGCCTCCCCCTCCCCCCCAAAAAAGCAGATCTAAATTAAATAGCCTGGGAGCAAAAGGTGGAGCCAGTGAAGGAGGGAAAAGGGGTGCGATGTGAAGGGGTTCAGCAAAAGGGATGCCAGGTGCAAAGGCCCTGGGGCTATATCTCACCTGCTGAGTTTGGGTGAGGTGGAGTTGGTGGAAGAAAAAGGAAGAGGGGGAGGGGGGAGAGAGAGAGAGAGAGAGAGAGAGAGAGAGAGAGAGAGAGAGAGAAAGGGAGAGATGATAGGGCAGAACAGCCCTGGGGGCTGTACAGAGGATCCTAGTGAAATGGGAGCCCTGAAGGTTTCAGAATGGAGGGAGCCCACTGGGCTGGGTGCTCATGGGCGCCCCTTGGTGGCTTTGGAGGGAGGACTGCAGGGAGCAAGGGCAGTTGCTAGGAGACCTGGGAGGAGCCGTCCAGCGCTGGACCAGGTGGGAGATACCAATGCTGCCGTGAGAAGGGATCCCGTTCAGGGAGGATTAGAAAGAAAGATCCAAACAGGTCAAACTTGGGTGTGTGAGTGCCAGAAGGTGCCAGAAATACTTCTGAAAAGCAGGGCTTGGTGGTACACACCTGTCATCCCACCTACTAGGGAGGCTGAGGAAGGAAGATTGCCAAATTGGAATCCAGCCCTAACAACTTAATGTAGGGCTCAGCTCAAAGGGGAAAAAAAAGACTTGTCTAGCACCTGAGCTTCTGATACTCCCTCCATCTGTCCCCTGGCTGCTCTCTGCCTGCCCAGAACCGGACACCACTCATGTTCCAGCGCATGGAGCCCCCGTCCCCGACGCAGGAAGGGGGACCTGGCCAGAACGCCCTCCCCTCCACCCAGCTGGACCCTGGTGGAGGCCTGTGAGTGTCACCATGGCCCCCAGGAGACATGGGGCAGGGAGGTGCTGGGCTCAGACTCCACAACCCCTGGTGCCGCCTGCCATCCTGGCCTCTGTCCCCACAGGATGGCTCACGACAGCAGTGTGAAGGAGAGCCCATCCTGGGTGACCCAGCGGGCGAAGGAGATGTTCCAGAAGACTGGCACTTGGAGCCCAGAGCGTGGACCCCCCTCCGACCTGCCCAACAGCCAGCCCAACCCGCAGGTGCTGCTGCCCCTCTACCCCCAGTCCCTGGGCTGGCCTGGGTGCCTGGGAGGCAGTGCCTACACCACACACCCTGAGCTCACTGCTCTGCATGCACGGAGCTGCCCCTGGGGTCCTCTCTCTGCTCCGGCTCAGCCTGTGCCCCCTCTGCCCGCAGGCGGTGGAGATGCGAGAGATGAGCACTGAGGGCTACTCGGACAGTGAACACTACCTCCCCATGGAGGGCCAGGCCCGGGCCGCCTCCATGCCTCGGCTCCCGGCCGAGAACCAGGTGAGGGCTTGCACGCCCCAAACCCCGCTGCGCCCCTTCATGGGGGCACCGCCTTGCTTCTCTTCCCTCCCGCACCCATTCTCCTCGCAGGGGAAGGGCACCCCCTGTGGGCTGAGCGTGGTAGTCGCTTCCAAGCAGTTTCCCTATGTCTTATTTGGGGGTGCTGAGGGAGAAATTTGGGGTGAGGCAAGAAGAGGACCTGTCAGTCTGAGAGCTGCAATGGAGAATCCCAACTGCCAACAGAGTGTGGTGGGCACGCCTAGGATCCCAGCACTCTGGGAAGCTGAGGCAGGAGGATCCCAAGTTCAAGCTCAACTTGGGCAATTTAGTCCCAAAATCCTATCTCAAAATAAGAAATACAAATGGGCTGGGGATGGAGTTCAGTGCGAAGGCCCTGGATTCAATCCCTGGTGCTGGGGGGGGAAAGCCACTACACACATGAATCCCCAAACATACAACATACATGCACACCTGTGCACACAGACGTGGGTTATGCCTACGTGTCCATACGTGCGCACACACTTGCACCCATGAGTCCTGGGGCCTGCGAGCTGTGCCTGGGGCGGGTTGTGGGTCTGGGTTTTACTAGTCCCTGTCTGGTCTCTGTGGGCTGCAGGGTGGGCAGAGTGTGTGCCTGGTGTGTGTGTCTGTGTGTGCCGGCTTCTGTCAGCTGTGGGGCCACCTGTCCGGGGACACAGGAGGGCACGGCCAGCCGCCTGTGTGGAGCTGAGAACAGCGCCACATGAGCTTCCCAGCCTGTGTGTGCGGACGGCTGCACTGTGCCTGGCTGGGCCCGGACCATGGGAGCCTGGCCTCTGGCTGCTCTGACTTGGCGAGGGGAACACCCTGGTGCATGTGGCTGCCCAGTCCCTGCATCAGGACTCTGCTGCTGGGTGCCAAGAGAGGGAGGGAACAAGACATCCACTACCCGGGCTCAGAGCATGGCATGCAGAGGGGCCGGGGTTGTGGCCGAGCCATCCCATGTCCGTCTCCTGTGCCTCCACCATCTGTGTGTCTCCTGTCTGTCTCCGCTATACCTGGGGGGGGCAGCCAGCCAGGTCCTGGGACCCCCTTCCACCCTCCAGAGATGGAAACCTCTCTCTCTCTCTCTCTGTCTCTCTCTCTCTTCTCCACTGCTCCCCACACCTCCTCCACTTCCCCCACCACCTCACTCTTTCCAGGCTTCTATATTTATTTTCTCCTTTCTGTCTTTCTGTGTGCACCATCCCGTGGGGCTGTGACAGAGGAGAAGGGGCCGGCCACGTGGGAGTAACCTCAGTGTAGGTACCGGGCCCTGCGGCCGCCGGCTCCTCCCCACCCCCCCGCGGGGGACCCCGGCCCACTGCCCCTGTCCCCAACCCCACCCTCGCTCTGCAAACCTCACCCTTCCCTGTGTGTGTCCTGTGTGTGCAGGGGCCACACCCCCCCACCCCTCCTCTCAGGGCCCCAAGCCGGGAGTCCCCAGCCCCCAGCAGCACCTCGATCTCAGCTGCTTTTCCAGCCCCGCCACCTAGCCCAGCCCTGCAGCCTCACATCCCTTGGCTCTTGGGCAAGCCTGGTGTCTGGGTGTCCCTCCAACTCCTCTCTTCTGCCTTCTGTGGAGAGCCATGGGCCCCAAGTCAGGGCCTGACCCCAGGGGTGCAGGCTGAGGAGGCCCCCACCCCAGGGCCTCAAATAGCACAGCCTGGGCCTGGGCATCAGGAGCCAGACTTGGGGGTCAGGGAGGTGCTGAGTGGGGCAGCTGGGGCCCAGCTTCCCAACCCTCAGAGGGGCTGGGGCAGCTTGCAGCCTGGGCTCCTGGTCTGCAGCGGGTGACCAAGCAGCCACAGGTGGGAGACCCCAGAATGGTCCAAAAGGGGCAACCCTGTCTGGGGGGGCAGGCTGTACCCTGGAGCTGTGGCACCCCCAGGACCCAGTCCCTGATGGCCACACCATAACCACCACGGGCAGCTGCCCATGGGCCACACAGCCATCGTGTATCGGAGAAGGATTAGGGCATCTCCATGGCTCCCACTGACCCCAACCTATGGCCTGTCCCCCCAGACCATCTCCGACACCAGCCCCATGAAGCGCTCTGCCTCCGTGCTGGGACCCAAAGCGCGACGCCTGGATGACTACTCACTGGAGCGGGTCCCGCCCGAGGACAACCAGAGGCACCACCAACGCCGCCGTGACCGGGGCCACCGGGCCTCAGAGCGCTCCCTGGGCCGCTACACCGACATAGACACAGGTGGGCCCAGGGACAGGGGCCTCTGGGAGGGGACAGAGGAGGATGGAATTTGGAAGGAGGAAGAAAAGTGGGACCACAGTGCAGTGGTACATACCTGTCACCCAGCACTCGGGAGGCGGAGGCAGGAGGATCACTACAAGTTCAAGGCCAGCCGGGACTCCATAGCGAGGCCCTGTCTCAAAAAAGAAAGGAAAAGAGAGGGAAGGTGGGGGCACAAGGGACCAGGGGACATCTGCACCCAGGCTTGGGCAGGGAGCTAGCTGGCTGACAGCATGCTCACCAGGCTCGGCCCCAGATCTGTTGGAGTCCCCATCCCCGGGGTCACCTGGCCCCTCGATGGCCTCCGGCACGCGCAGCCCACCCTGCCTCCCCACCTCCCTCGTGGTCACCCATCCATCCATCCGTCTGTCCCTCCGGCCCAGGCTTGGGGACAGACCTGAGCATGACCACCCAGTCCGGGGAACTGCCATCGAAAGAGCGGGACCAGGAGAGGGGCCGGCCCAAGGACAGGAAGCAGCGGCAGCACCACCACCACCACCACCACCACCACCACCCGCCCCCCGACAAGGAGCGCTATGGCCCGGAGCGGGAGCGGCCAGACCACAGCCGTACCCGCGCCCGCGACCAGCACTGGTCCCGCTCACCCAGTGAGGGCCGGGAGCACACAGCCCACCGGCAGGTGGGTGCGGTCAGGGAGCCAGGCCGGGACCAGGCCCAGGAGAGGAGCGGGAGAGGGCCCCGGCCGCCCACACCCCCGGGGGAGCCCAGCCACCTGAGGCCAGGGCCCCTGACCCCCGGGGCAGCCCCCTCCACCTGCACCCCGCCACCGCCGGTGTCCCAGGGCCGAGGGAGGCTCCAGGCTGGGCGGACCCCGCTCCCTGCCCCTCCCGATCCCCACTCCATCCCCAGCCCCTGCCACCTGCTGCTATCCCTCCGCCTGCTGCCCACAGCTGCTTCTTGTGGATCACGTTTGAGTTGGGGCCACCGTGGTCCTTTCGCTTTCCTTTAACCCGGCTTCCCTTTCCGTTTCAATTATGATTTCTGTCCTATGGACGCCTGTGAGTAATTTTTGGAAACTTCTGCTATTTTAACCCCGAAACTTACAAAACTCCATTTCTCATTTCTCTTTTCACTTTGTTGTGTTGGTTTTTGACTCCCCCCCCCCGCCCCGTCCTCCCGTCCTCCTCTGTGGCTGTTGCTTTTCTCCTTTATTTCCATCCCCGTGCCCTGTGTCTCCATCCCCCGCGTCCCCTCTCCTGTCCCATTTGTTCTCCTTGGCCTCCTTTGCTCCCCCTCCTCTTTTGTGTCTCCTCCCGTTCTCCTTCCGGTTGATTTGGTTGTATCTTTTGTTTTGATTTCCTTTGTTTCAATTTTCGTGTAGGGCAGTAGTTCTGTAAGTGGAAGCCCAGCCCCCTCAACGTCTGGTACCAGCACTCCGAGGCGGGGACGCCGCCAGCTCCCCCAGACCCCCTCCACCCCCCGGCCACACGTGTCCTATTCCCCTGTGATCCGTAAGGCCGGCGCCTCGGGGCCCCCACAGCAGCCACAGCAGGTAGTGGCCAGGCCAGCCCGGGTGGCCACCAGCGGCCCACGGAGGTACCCGGGACCTGTAGCCGAGCCCCTGGCCAGGGAACGGCCACCCACGAGTGGCCACGGCAGCAGCCGGTCGCCTGGCATGGAGCGGCGAGCCCCCGGTCTGGCCCGGAGCGAGTCTCCTAGAACCTGTCGCCACGGAGGGGCCTGGTGGCCAGCATCTGGTCCAAACATGCCCGAGGCTCCCCGGCACCACAGCTACTACCGGGGCTCCGACTACGATGAGGCCGAGGGCCTGGGCAGTGGCAGCGGTGGCCTCGGAGAGGAGGCTATGGCCGGGCCCTATGATGTGCCACCCCCCACACGACACCCATCCTCGGGGACCGCCGGGCGATCGCCCAGGACTCCCCGGGCCACAGGCCCGGCCTGCACCTCGCCTTCCCGGCACGGCCGGAGACTCCCCAATGGCTACTACCCGGTCCATGGACTGGCCAGGCCTGCAGCGCCTGGCTCCCGGAAAGGCCTGCACGAACCCTACAGTGAAAGTGACGACGACTGGTGCTAAGTCCGGGCGAGGCGGCCCCGTCCCCCGCCTGGCTCCCCCATGCACCCCGCGCACACACCCCACAGGAGGAGCCGTCCCCGCCCAGTACCCCAGGCCCAGGAGAGAACCGGCCATCGATGGAGATCCCAGACTCTGGAGGGGCCGGGGGTCCCCAGAGCACCCCCAGGCCAAGACAGACCCTCCTGGGCATCAGGGCATCCCCCAGCCTCGACTTCCCCTCATGGAGGCCTGGGGTGGGGGATGGGCAGAGCAGCCACACAGCCGAGGGATTCGAATTAACTCAGCTCTTTTTGGACAACTTTGGGGAAAATGGAAAAATCTATATATAAAAAACACTACCATTTTTAAAAGAAAAAACGAGGAGAAAACAAATAGCTTCTATTGATGAGTTTTATCATCTCAGTGGAATCTTTCCTTTCCCTGGCAAGCGAGGAAGCTGGTGGTTGCTGTGGCAGAGGAGCCTCGGGGAGGGCAGAGGACGAAGGAAGGCAGTGGGACCCAGCACCCCAAACCAGACACACCCCACACGCGTCTCAGACCAGGAGTGCTTGCTGGTAACACCGAACCCTACTATTACTGCCTGCAAAAATCAGTTTAAAAGAGAAATCATCATAATAAACAATTTCAAAAAGGACAAAAAAATTAATGATTGAGAAAAAGAAGCATTTTCTTCTGACATTTGGTCTTGCTTGAAATAACAAAAGAAGAGATTAAAAAAAAAAAAGACCACGACCACCACCACCACCGATTCCTTTGCTTCTCTTTTTTTTTTTTTCTTTTTTTTAAAAATTTTTTTAAAATTTTTTTTTTTCCTACCTTGTTTGAAAACCGTGGGCTTGGGACTGTGAATTATTGCATGACATTAAAAGAGAAAAATTAAAAATAAAAAAAAAGTTGAACCCAAGGGCTTTGGATTGGAATCATCTTGTGTCTTAGCCGAGAGCTCTCCGGGGGTCTTTTAGGAAAAGAGCGGCAGGGGCTTCTGTCACTCCTGGAACTGGGCTTAAATTTCCTAACATGCTGGGCTGTGGCTTCCTAGGACAGCGGCTGCTGTTCCATCACCAGTGCCATTTAAAACGCTGGTCATCTCAGCTACTCAGGAGGCTGAGGCAGGAGGATAACAAATTTGAGGCCAACCTAGGCAACTATGGATGACCCTGTCTCAATATAAAAAAATAAAAGGTGTAGCTTGGTGACACTGGGTTCCGAAAAGGAAACAGAAAAACAGCTCAAGGTGCCTGCACCCTGGGGAAGAATATTCCACAAGGACTGATAGCCCTACCCAGCGCCTGGGTGCTGGCTTGCACCTCCTGCCCCAGCAGCCGTGCCTGCTGCAAGGGTTTCCTTAAAGGAGCACAGGGAGGGGGTGTCTATCCAAAAGGTCAAGGACAGAGCCGCGTGTGGCTTGCTGGGTGCCCACAATGTACCTGAAGTCATTCCCTGTAGCCTTCTACAATAGGAAATCTACTCCGCCTGGCCCCCTGACAGGGCCTATGAATAGAGCCTAAAACTGTAAAACTAAGCCAGGTGTGCTGGTACAGGCCTGTCATCCCAGCACTTGGGTAGCTGAGGCAGGAGAATTGCCACAAGTTCAAAGCTAGTCTGGGCTACATAGCGGGTACAAGACCACCCTGCACTACATAGTGAGACCTTGTCTCAAAAAATCAATAGGGGCCAGGGATTTAGCTCAGTGCCACTGTGCCTGCCTCCCAAGTGTAAGGTCCTGAGTCTTATCTCTGTTACCAAAAAAACAAAACAAAAAACAGTAAAACCATAAAACTGTACTTTTTTTTTTTTTTTTGCAGTGCCAGGAATGGAACCCAGGGCCTCACACATGCTAGGCAACTGCTCTACCACTGAGCTATGCTCCCACAACCCTTTTGTAAATTATTATTTTGAGACATGGTCTTGCTAAGTTGCCCAAGGTGGCCTCAAACTTGCGATCCTTCTGCCTCAGCCTCCTGAGTAGCTCAGATCAGCCGCATCCACCGCCATACTAGGCCATGAAACTGTGTCTTACTTAATTAGGAAGGGAGGAGGAGGAGGCCATGCCCACTCACGGGAGCAAAGAGCCACTTATCACTCGGCTTCAGCTGGGGCAGGGGGCTTGCTGTGGCCTGGAAAAGGCGCTCCCCTTTCTAGACAGGGCTTCTGAGTCCCCCAGAAGCCGAAGACAAGGAGGTACACATGGTGTGCAGGGAAAGAGGTCAGGCAGATGCTACCACGCACTTGACCCCACCACCTCCCCAAGGACAATTCCCCAACACTCAGCTCCAACTTTGGCAAATGGCTTAACCTCTCTGTGCTTCTGGTTTCCCACCAGTGAAACAAGCAATGACAGAGCTGTTCTTGGAAACTGGAGACCACATAGTCTCCATAGTGCTTAGCGCATCTTTCTTTCTTTTCTTTTCTTTTTGAGACAGGGTCGCACTATATTATATAGCCCAAGCTGCCCTCAAACTCATGGAGATTCTCCTGCCTAAGCCTCTCAAGTGCTAGGATAACAGGTGCACACGACCACACCCAGCACATTTTTTTTCCTTAAGGGATCAGAGTAACTACCTTCAGGGCTGAGGATGTAGCTCAGTAGAAGGACCCTTGGATAGTATGAACAAGACTCTGAGTTCAACCTCCAGCTCTAAAGCTTTTGTTTTTGGTGTTTGTTTGCTTGTTTTTATACTGGGCTTGAACCCAGGGGTCCTCTGCCACTGAAATACATCCCAGCCTTTTTTTATTTTTTACTTTCCAGATAGGGTTTTAGGAGGTGGGACTTGAACTTCTAATCCTCCTGCCTCAGCCAATCTCCGTGCTGGGATTACAGGTAGGTACCACCCGTCCTGGGTCAAAAATTATATTTAAAGCTTTAGTTCTGAGCCAGGTGCAATGGCGGTACCTGTAATCCCCACACTGGGGGGCTGTGGGTATAGAAAGATTCAGAGTTCAGAAAGATTCAGAGTTCAAGGCCAGCCTGCACTCCAAGGAAGCCCTGTCTCAAAAGAAAAAAACAAAACAAAACAAAAAACTGATTCTGTGACCCCGCTGTCTGTGGCGGCAGGAAAGCACTGTAGACAGTATGTGAATATGTGAAGCTGTGTGCCAATAAATCTTTATCCATAAAAACAGGCAAGAGCTGCCGGGGATTTAGCTCAGTGGTTCCACCACCTGCCTCGCAAGTGCAAAGACCAGAGTTCGATTCCTGGTACCAAAAAAAAAAAAAAAAAAAACAGGCAGGAGCACTTTAAACTTGTTGATCTCAGCATCCCCATCCTTCTTAAGGAGGATCCCAAAGATTAATTATTTATGTGGCTTGCAGCTACTGGCATTTACCATTTAGAAATTAAAATTGAATCCCAGCTTCTCTGGAGGCTGAGGGCAGCCAGGTGTGGTGATGCAGGACTACAATCCAGACAGGGAGCGTTCATCTCGAGCTTTCTTCTTCCTCTTCTTCCTCCTCCTCCACCTCCTTCTTTTCTCTCTCTCTCTCTCTCTCTCTCTCTCTCTCTCTCTCTCTCTCTCTGTCTCTTTTTCTGGCATTGTGGACTGAACCTAGAATCTCATGGATGCTGGAGAGACTCTCTACCCCTGAGCTCCACCCCCAGCCACTTAATGATATTTGTTTATTTATCTGTTTTGAGATAGGCTCTGAGGGTAGTGACAGGTGTGGCCACCATATCTGTTGTGTATAAATTCCTGGCAGTATTTTATTATAATGGCCCGAGGCATCACCCCTTCACTCACCCCACTAGACCAGTCTTCCCAGAGAGCAGAGGGGCACACAGAGAAACGGCTGTCACCCACCCACCCTGAGTCAGCCAGGATGGCCACGCTCCATGTGGCCTCTGTCCGTGCCACCCCGCTCCTGCTCAGAACGGATCCCTATGGCCTCCTCATCACACCCTGTTGTAGTCAGAAGGGTTTGGCAAGGGAATACATTAAATACAGGACACATAACTTATAAGGTTATTTTATGATAATTACCCAGAAAGTCGAATGCAAAGGAGTACAAGAGATTAACTGCACCCTAGAAGCCCAAAGGATTCAGCTGAGGGCCTAGATCCCAGCAGTTTCCCACACAAGTCCAGCTAAAGGCTTAGAGTCAAAGGCAATGTCCTCCTCGAGGCCAGCCAGAAGCCTAGTGCCCACTGTAATGTCTCATGCTTGTCTGTACTGAGGATCTGCACCTGGAAGGCCCAAAGGCCTGTGGTGGAAGCCAGAAAATCTGCACTGGTGAGATGAAGGATTTGTGCCACCAGCCTGAGGGATCCACATTGGAGCCAGGAAGTAATGCTCACAGTAAAGATCAGAGCTCCCCTGATGAAAACAGCAGCCATTCACATCAGGAAAACCATCCACAGCAAGCTTCTCCTAGAAAATCAACAGGCCAAGATCTTCCCCTCCATTTCTCTCTTTTTTTGGGGGGGGTACCAGGGATCGAACTCAGGTCCTTGCGCTTGCACAGCAGGCGGCGAAACCACTGAGCTAAATCCCCGGCCCTCCAGTTCTCTTTTTATGGCTATTGGTAACAATCTTCAGATGGATCCTCCACGCCCAGACCACACTGATTCAGTTCAGTTAAGCGTTACAAGTTTACCATTAGCCAATCCACCACACACCCCACACCCCTGAGCTCCCCAAGCATCCCCCAGCCCCTTCCCACCCTCGGTTCCCTAACATCCAACTTTGACCCTGCCAAGGGCCACTGCCCCCACCTTCTTGCTCCAGCGCTGGCACAAGAGCCACAGCCACCTGGGCCTCAAGACTCCCCGCCAGGAGGGTATGGTGCTGCATGCCTGTCAACCCAGCACTCTGGGGCAACTTAGTGACTTATTGAGACCCTGCCTCAACATAAAAAGTAAAAAATGGCTTAACAATTTAGCAAGACTCTGTCTCAAATTAACAAAACAGGGCTGGGGATTTAGCTCAGTGGTTACGCTGCCTGCCTTCCAAGTGCAAGGACCCTAGTTAGATCCCCAGTACCCAAAAAAAATTAACAAAATAAATAAAAGGGCTCTCTGCTCCCTGGGTTCAATCTCCAATACAATAATAACAACAAAGTCATTCAACTGAACAATTAAATTAAAGTTGGAACACCCAGAACTAAGTCCAGGGCTTGTTCTGGACCAGGGTGAACCAGACCTCTTGCTTGGGTGGCAAACCAAGGGCTGGTGATGCCACCTAGAGGGCAGATGGGAAACAGCTGAGGCCTGGCCTCTGCCGCTGAGTGCTGGGAGAGGCCAGGTATGGGGTGACAGTGGAAGAGGCCTTGGTAGCCTGAGGTCACCCAGAATCTCAGCCTTGGGAGAGACTTGGGACACCGGGGAAGTCACAGGCAGAGACCAATGCCCGCACAACCAACGGAGACTTTTTGGGGGGGGGGGGTGGCTGAGACTTGAACCCAGGGAGCCCTGAGCTACATCCCAGCTCCTTTTTTAAATTTTTATTTCGAAGCCAGATGTGGTGATGCACATCTATCATCCCAGCACTTGGGAGGCTGAAGCAGGAGGATTGCCATGAGTTCAAGGCCCCCCTGGGCTACATAGTGAGTTCAAGGGCACCCTGGATTACACAGTGAGACCCTGTCTCAAAAAACAAGCAAACAGGGCCAGGGATTTAGCTCAGTGGTTCCACTGCCCGCCTCGCAAGCACAAGGACCTGAGTTTGATCCCCGGTACCAAAAATAACCCAAAAAACAAAAAACAAGCAAACAAAAACAATAACAACAACAGCCAAGACAGGGTCGCACTGTGTACCTCAGACTAGCCCCCAATTTGCTATTCAGCCCAGGCAGACCTTGAACTCAGACTCTTCCTGCTTTAGCCTCCGCTATGTGCCATCTCCTTCGGTTCATGTTGAACCTCTTAAGGGGGGGTGAAGTTACCTTGAGATAAATCCATACTCAGAAAAGAACCCTT